GGTGGTGCTCCGTACCTTGGTGGGGTCGGCGCCCATACCACCCATCTGCATGGCCATCATTCGCTGTGTGTCGTCCGTGGCTGGAGGGCAAAGGGAGGGGGGGGAGGGGGGGACATGGGGAGGAAGGGAAAGGTGCGCATGCTTGGAGGATTCGATTCGACCGTACCATACCACCCACCAGCATGTTTCCATTTCATAGGCGCCCCAACAATATGCATGGGAGACTCGCTGAGTGTCGTCTCTGGCTGCCTGCCAAAAAGTGACATTCTAACTGTGGGCGATGACTTACCATTGTCTTCTCCAAGGATCAGCGTGAAGAGCCCCCGAAGGCCAAAGAGATTAAGAAAGTACCTGATAACCGGGATACACGATACGGGAGTGCAAGGAGGAATGGGATGGGAGGGCCCACAGGGGGAGAAGAATCAGAAGACAGTATGAGATAGTTCTAATCTTATGTGCGCAATTAAATGCCATTCTGATAGTATGGCCATGAATGCCCCTGAAATTAGTTATGTTAACTTAAAAAACACATACGGCTAGAAAGAATGAATTACCATAGCAATACACTTTATAACACACAATACTCACCACGAGCGGCTGCTAACGAAGCTGACATCCACGGTGCTCAGCTAAAGGCTACAGCTCACACCCGCTTATAAGTCAGCGCCGCTTACAGTCACTCTCTCGCCCCATAGTCACACCCCCCCACCCACCACGAGCGGCTGCTGACAGAGCTGACGTCCACTGTGCTGATGTCAATGCTGTTCTGCAGCATGGCTCTGAAGCTCGCTATCGCCACACTCACGCTACAGTCACTCAAATGAAAAGCACATTGAGACATGATAATACCGCGAAGCACCACCATTTTCACCATGAGCGGCTGCTGACGAAGCTGACATCCACTGTGCTCAAGTCAATGCCGTTCTGCAGCATCGCTCGGAACTTCTGGGTCAAGGGGAAAGGCACCTTGGCTGGGGGATGGAAGAGAAGGAGAGGGAAGGGGATGGGGAAGGAGAAGGGACGAGGGAGAGGCAAGGGGAGTCCAGCAACACAGGGAAAGGAGGGGGAAAAGAGGGGGAAAATAGGGGGGAAAGAGGGGAAAACAGGGGGAAAAGAGGGGGAGTAACGGGGGAATGGAGGGGACAAGAACGCCATTCTCTAACCCTCTGTACCCCCCTGCACCCCTCGACACCACTAACACCTCTCAGCACCCTCTCTACCCTCTCTACACCCATCTACACACACTCTTCACCCCTCTGTTCACCTCTACACATCTCTACACCCCTCTGCACGGCCTCTGCCAAACATACCTGCGACGAATCCAGAGAAGAAGAAGTTGACCCAGGCGAAGGTGAGTGACTGGGGGAGGGGGACGGAGGGGAGGGAGTGCGGAAGGGAGTGGGGGAGGGGGGGATGGGGACGGGGAGAAAGCGAGACGAATCCGGAGACGAAGAAGTTGACCCAGGCGAAGGTGAGAGACTGGGGGAGGGGGAAGGGGAGGGGGGAAGAGGGGAAGAGGGGGAGTGAGGTGTGGGAACATCAGAGAGGTGTTCTGTTTTTGAGAGTTCTCAAAAAGGAAGGGGGAGGGGGGAGGAGGGGAGGAGGGGGAGAGGGGGGAAGGAAGGCCGGGGAACATCAGAGAAGGCAAACGAAGTTGAGACGAATTTGATCTAGGCCAACGAGAGAGACTGGGGGAGGGGGAAGGAGGGGCGGAGGGGGGAAAGCAAGGATGTGGGGCGGGGTGGGTGAGAGGAAGGGAAGAAACAAGGGAGGCGTTGAAAGCAAGTTGACCCAGGCAAACGTGAGAGAATGGGGTAGGGGAACAGGAGGGGAGAAGGGGGAAAGGCGGGGAGGATGGAGGGGAGGAGAGGATGGGGGGAAGGAGAGGGGACGAAACCAGGGAGAAGGGAAAAGAGGATGTAAAGACGTTCACCCAGGTGGAGGTGAGAGACTGGGGGAGTGGGAGGGAGGAAAGGGAGGGGGAAGGGAGGGGGGGAAAGGGAGGGGGGAAAGGGAGGGGGGAAAGGGAGGGGGGAAAGGGAGGGGGAAAGGGAGGGGGAAAGGGAGGGGGGAAAGGGAGGGGGGAAAGGGAGGGGGGAAAGGGAGGGGGGAAAGGGAGGGGGGAAAGGGAGGGGGGAAAGGGAGGGGGGAAAGGGAGGGGGGAAACCAGTATCAGCCAGCCCGGTTCCTTCAAACGCGTCAGCAAGGCTGTTCGCCTGAAGTCCTGTACCATCGCCCGCCGCATCCCGCTACCCCTCGGCTCTTGCTGCTCATGCTTCTGGATAGGTAAGTTCTTCTTCATCATACTAATCGCCAAAGCGGGGTCAAGATGGTGTTGTCAACAACGCCCCATGCTATCATACTTACGTCCCTAAACTACCATATCGGGGCCAAGGCCATACAGCTCGCACCTGCGGTATGATCCTGGATAGGCAGGCTCTTCTTCTTCATACCCATGGCAACATTGGGATCGTAGAGAACACGGCCGCCTGGGACTGATGACAAAGAGCCACACGCCCCCACAGCTACTGCCATACATGCCGTACAACCATGTCTAGGGCACCACCCTGCCTGCGGGATGATCATTGATAGGTTCTTCTTCATCATGCCCATGGCAAAGTTGGGGTCTGATGATGGTCATGCTGGTAGTAGCCCACCCTTTTATCACACAGGGGATGCTCCCATGCCTAGGTGTGGGTGTACCTGTCGGATGACTATCGATAGGCTCTTCTTCATCATGCCCATCGCAACGATGGGGTCTGAGAAGATGGCCGCCTAGAGGTTTTCGAAGAGGCACACCCGGCGGCTACTGCGAAACGTGCTGTAAAACCATCACTACACATTACCTGCGGGATGATCATCGAGAGGTTCTTCTTCATCATGATATGATCTGAGAGCATGGCCGCCTGGGGGTTGATGGTGGAAAACCCTAGACCTGCGAACCCTGAATGTCGAGCACCTGGGGCATGAGTTATGACCATGCATATGTGGGCCAGTACCTGCGGGATGATCATGGAGAGGTTCTTCTTCATCATGTCCATGGCCACGTTAGGATCTGAGAACATGGCCGCCTGGGGGTTGCCGCCCTGCCCCTTCGGCACGTGCAGCAGGCCATTCTCCTGGGAGGCACGCACACGAAACACATCCACACAACACAGGCACACACGTGATAGGAGTCTAGTTTTGAGGCGCCTCAAAACGAGAACATGGCCGCCTGGGGGTTGCCGCCCTGCCCCTTGGGCACGTGGAGCAGCCCGTTCTCCTGTACGGGCATGCACCACACAATAGGAACACACGAGAACACTGGGGTTGATGGAACACATCCGCCTTTGGATTGTCGGCTGGGAATTGGATCCCTGTCCCTTGGCCACGTGCGTGCTGCAGGCCGTTCTCCTGTAAGAGCACGTGTCACACATGCGAAACACGCACACAAAAGACACGGAAACTTGCTTTGACAAGGCGCCTCAGAACGGTTAAGATTGGGATCTGATAACGATCGCCGCCCTGCCTCTTGGGCACAAACAGACCGGTCCCCCCCCCCCCACTTTTATAATGTAAAGCCCATCCCCCTTCCCCCCCCCTTACAGTCACACACACCTCATTGCAGAACAGGTGTCGCCTCTGTGTGAAGCAGCGAGCGGGAATGAAGGCGACTTTCCCATGCCTTTCAGTTCCCACCTCTAATGCTCTACACCCCCTCCCCCAAACCCCTCTCCCCCCCTTACCCCCCCCTTACAGTCACACCTCATTGCAGAACAGGTGCCGCCTCTGTGTGAAGCTGCGAGCGGGAATGAATCCGCCGGCACCTCTAAGGTTGCGCGCTCGAATCACGAGCTGCCTGGAGGGCAGACGAGGGGGAGAGGGAAAGAGGCAGCGCAACGAAAGGAATCACGAGAACGAGGGGGGCGAAGAGGCGGAGAAAGGAAGAGGGGGGGTGAAGCATCAGGTGCCTGGCGAAGCATCAGGTGCCTGGCGAAGCATCGGGTGCCTGGCGAAGCATCAGGTGCCTGGCGAAGCATCGGGTGCCTGGCGAAGCATCGGGTGCCTGGCGAAGCATCAGGTGCCTGGCGAAGCATCGGGTGCCTGGCGAAGCATCGGGTGCCTGGCGAAGCATCGGGTGCCTGGCGAAGCATCAGGTGCCTGGCGAAGCATCGGGTGCCTGGCGAAGCATCGGGTGCGTGGCGAAGCATCGGGTGCCTGAAACTCTACTGAATCACCGGAATGAATCCTCCGGCTCCCCTCACATTCCGCGCTCGAGTCACGAGCTGCTTGAAGCGGCGGAGGGCGAGAAATGAAAATTAAGGTTTGGTTGTTTCTGAGGTTTGGTTGTTTCTAAGGTTTGGTTGTTTCTAAGGTTTGGTCGTTTCTAAGGTTTGGTCGTTTCTAAGGTTTGGTCGTTTCTAAGGTTTGGTCGTTTCTAAGGTTTGGTCGTTTCTAAGGCGTGGCAACACTGATCTCTATCAACTCATTCTTCGCTGACCGCTATTCATTCCCCAAAATCTACCAACTCACCCTTCCCTGATCGCTTTCGCGTCAATCATCGCATTGGATCGCACAAGCTTCGTATCGGATCGCACAAGTGTCGCATCGGATCGCACAAGTGTCGCAGGACGCCGATCGCCTCGGGCAGGAAAAACAAGAGCCCTTTCCTTCCTGCACCTCCTCTCACGACCGCCAGAGGCACCAGAACCTCTTGAGTCACGCGACTCACCCTTCCTTGATCGCCTTGACGTCGATCTTCGCATCGGATCGCATGAGCTTCGCAACGAAGTGTCGCAGGACGCCGATTAAGATCATCACCACCGTCAGCGGCACCAGCACCCAGTCGCGAATCTGCGGATCTAAAACGAGATTCCCCATCCTCGCTATAGACGCTCCGCGTAGTAAGAGCCGCTGACCTTATTCTCACCCTCTCTCTCGTCTCCCCTTGTCAGACTTAAGGGGTATGTGCTTGCTGTAAGCGCGACGGCCTCCTAAGGCACGGCTGTTACCTACACCCGCTGCGTCCTAAACTTGCGTAAGCTCACTGAATACAAGTTGCTGGGACCGATGGTTTGGATTCGATATAAGCAGGTCATGTAGGTTACTGCTAACCCGACACAGAGTTGGTGGGATAAATTTATAAGTGCAACCATATCTCCACTCCATCAAATTTCACAGGGTGACCACCTGGTGTTAGGGAGTTACAACTAAGGGAAAATATACTAATGTAACGTCCTAGGTGTGTGCAACACAGCCATGGGACCCATACGTATTGCCAGTCTGCCAGAGCATAAATTGTCACCATTGCCACACTGCAGACGTGTTGGTATGGCAGGAATACTTTCCCTGGAGCTCTGCAAGACGAAGGCTGCTAGCTAGCCACCTTAGTGTTTCCATCGCTGACGATTCCAATCTAACAGCTTCAGCTTCGCAGCGTATTTTCACACCCGCACTGTCCCCACATTACTCCCCCTCAATCCATCCCTCCACCTCCCCCCAACGTAACCAACACAGCCTCCCTCGCCTTCCATTTCACCCTCATCGGACCCCCCTTTTCCGTAACAGACCCACCTGCTGCTACCCCTGCAGCAACTGCTGCACGCTTCATAGCTGCTCATTATTCTGCCCCCCAGCAGTTGGCTGCTGCACCCACCTTACCAGCGACATAAAATGGACATTATAGGCAAACCTGTTGTGTCCCAACAGGCAGGTGCTTGGCTTGCTCATAGCAACCACTTCATCCCTCACAGTCCACTGGAGTGGGGATAATTCCACATGAGCTCATGGATGGGACCCACATGAGTGGGTGCCATGCCACCCACTCCTGTGGACTTTTGAGTCGACTCATAAGTCCACTCTGAGACGTCTCAAAACCCGCAAACAACCGTTACCATCATTCATGCAGCCTAAAGCTGTGGAAACCCAGTGCTGCCACTGCTCCTCCCGGAGCTCCCTGTTGCCCCTCTATCCCCTCTCTATTCCTCCTTACTCTCTCTCCTCTATCTCCTCACATCAGCTTGGATCATCTCAAGCAAACAAGACATCTCCGGGTCGTGAGGATCGTCCCCTGGCAGCCCAATCCTTCCACTTCTGCCACTCTCCGCTTCATCTTGCACCTCTATCACCCCCGACACCCCTCGACCCGCTAGCCATTCGCCCACCCCCTCGCCACTTCTCTATCTCCTGGCATCAGCAGGGTTCATCACCAGCAGCAAAGACATCTCCAGATCATGGGGATCGTCCCCCGGCAGCCCAATCCGCCCACTCCCCTGCTCCCTGTCTCTCCTTGTGCCTCTATTCCCTCAAAACCCCGCCATATGCTAGCCACTAATACTCTATCTCCTGGCATCAGCTGGGTTCATCACCAGCAGAGAGGACATCTCCAGGTCATGCGGATCGTCCCCCGGCAGCCCAATCCTCCCACTCCCACTCCCCGGCCTCCCGGGACTCATCAGCACATACTTGATCGACTGCGCAAAGCTCTCCACCGACGCACCCCACCGCCCACTCTCCCCTCCCCTTCCAGAACTCGTCGCCCCTCCCCCCACACTCAGCCTCAAGCTCCCAAACCCCATCCCCCCCCGCCTCCCACTCGCGGTAACCGCGGCAGGAACAGCAGCGGAATACCCGTCCACGAGGAGAGCGTCATCCTCATTGAGATTATCGAATAAATTCGCGTCGAGGCGGAGGCGCTCCTCCATCGTTTGGAGCACCTCGCGCATGGTCGGGCGGCTGCTTGCGTCCTCTTGCACGCAGTCGCGCGCGATTGTGCCGAGTTCGATGAGCTCGGACTGGTTGAAGTAGCCGCCGAGCTGTGGGTCGACCATCAGGGGCATCATCTGCGCGTCCTCCAGGAAAGGGGCGGCCTGAGAGATTGAAGGGTAGGGTAGTAGAGAGAGAGATGGGGGGTTGGATGGACAATGAAGAGCGCGATTGTGCCGAGCTCGATGAGCTCGAACTGGTTGAAGTTGCCGCCGAGCTGGGGTCCACTGTGAGAGGCATCATCTGAGCGTCCTCCAAGAAAGGGGCGGCCTGAGAAATACAAATGGAGAAAGGTATTCGCAGGGAACACTTAGGGTTCAAAAGACAAGGAACGGAGCGATTGTGCCGAGCTCGATGAGCTCGGATTGGTTGAAGTAGCACCACTTAGCACTGCACTGAACCGAATCTCACCACGCTGGTGGTGTGAACCTCCGTCATGGCCTTCTGTCCAGTAATTAATTCCCGCGGCACGACGCCGAACCCATACACGTTCACCTTCTCCATCTGCACACTCGCCTGGGAGAATGCCTGGACCACACTACACTGCACTACACCACACATCACCACACCACCACCGCACTGAGCTGTGACTCACCACACTCGTAATATGAACCTCCTTCATGGCCTTCTGTCCTGTAATTAACTCCAGCAGCACCACGCCGAACCCATACACATCCACCTTCTCCATCTGCACACTCGCCTCACTCGACTCCCCCCGCTCCGCCCTCCCCGCCCGCGACTTGCGCTGCCGCCGCGGGTTCTCCTCAAAAGATGACGTGGCGCCGCCGCTGCCACGAGCGATGCCAAAATCAGAGAGCTGTGAGGGAGGGAAGAACAGGAGGGAAGAACAGGCGAATGACATGAAAAATTATGAGGTGGTTTTTGCTGCAGCCTCGGGTTCTGCCACGAGCGATGCCAAAATCAGAGAGCAGTGAAGAAGGCGGAGAACAGGAGAATGACAGAAGATGCGATGAGGTGGTGGTCCCCAGGGAGGTGGTGGACGGCCAATGATGCATGCAGCCAAGGCAATGCAAGTTACAGTCATACCTTGGCGCTCATGTCTTGCGCTAGCAGGATGTTGGACGAGGTCACAGCCCGGTGCACCAAGGGGGGCGACACCCCGTGATGCAGATACTCCAAGGCGCATGCCACATTCACTGCAATGCGCACCCGCGTCTCCCAGGGGAGGGGCTCCAATTCCGGCCCTGATGTGAAAAAGAGGGGAGAGAGAAGATATAGAGTGATTGACCATAGTGCAAATATTCCCAAGGCGCATGCCACGTTCACTGCGATGCGCACCCGCGTCTCCCAGGGGAGGGGCTCCAACTCCGGCCCTGAGGGTAGAGGGAAGGGGGGAGAAGAGAGGGGTGGGGAGGCAGGGGGTGTGGTTCGGAGTGGGAGGAGGGGGCTCGAAGTTGGTGCAGATACTCCAAGACGCATGCCACGTTCACTGCGATGCGCACCCGCGTCTCCCACAGGAGGGGCTCCAGCTCCGGCCCTGAGGGATGGGGAAGGGGAGGAGAGCCGAGGGGAGGGGAGGGGAGGGGAGGGGAGGGAGGGGAGGGGAGGGGAGGGGAGGGGAGGGGAGAGGAGGGGAGGGGGGGAGGGGAGGGGAGGGGAGGGGAGGGAGGGAGGGGAGGGGAGGGGAGGGGAGGGAGGGGAGGGGAGGGGAGGGGAGGGGAGGGGAGGGGAGGGGAGGGGAGGGGAGGGAGGGGAGGGGAGGGGAGGGGAGGGGAGGGGAGGGGAGGGGAGGGGAGGGGAGGGGAGGGGAGGGGAGGGGAGGGGAGAGGAGGGAGGGAGATGAGGGGGAAGGTCAATTGAGGTTGCTGTGTTGTGTGCTCTGCGCTAGGTGCAAACACAAAGTTTGGGCAGCCAGAGAGGGGGCCTCCAGTCCAGTGAGGTACAAACCCACCCATGCGTACCCACCCATGCGTGCACACCCATGCGTACGCGCCCCATGCGTACCCTTTCAGGTGTACGCTCCCATGCGTACACACTGATGCGAACACACCCATGGCTCAGTAAGTGAGTATCTACTTGCTGTGCAGGCAGACAATGAGGGTGCCTCTAGTGCAGTACTCAACAAGCAAGCAGCAACTTACTGTGCAGGCGGTCGAAGAGAGTGCCGTTAGAGAGGTACTCATAAACGAGGATGCGCTCCCCCTTGCCCACACAGTACCCCAGCAGGTTCACCAGGTAGCGGTGGCGCGCCCTGGCAAGAACCTCTACCTTGCACTTGAAGAGAAACTCGCCCAGCTCTGAAGGGGATGGGGGGGGAGGTGGGTGTGGGGGGAACGGTGAATGGGGGGGCAGTTCTGTTGATACAGTACACCCCACCCCAGCAGGTTCACCAGGTAGCGGTGGCGCGCCCTGGCCAGCACCTTCACCTTGCACTTTAACAGAAACTCGCCCAGCTCTGAGAAAAGGGGTAGAGGAACAGGTGGGTAGGGGTGGGGGAGGGGGCGGGGGAGGGGGAAAGATTGGTTCACACAGTACCCCAGCAGGTTCGCCAGCTACTGGTGGCGCGCTCTAGGCAGCACCTCCTGTACTTGAACTGAAACTCGCCCAGCTCTGAAGGGAGAAGAGAGTGGTTTAGAGGGATGGAGATGCAGTAGAGAGCGGTGAAGAGATTTTGGGGTAGAAGGGGGGATGTGGGTGGGAAGGGCCCAGACTGCTCCTGGGACAAGTCCAGCATACACATCCTCCACAATGCTGTCTGGGGGTGCCAAAGCTCGGGGTGCTGTAGAACTGGGATCATTACCAGCATGTGCTGTCGAACTGGGATCATTACCAGCATGTGCTGTCGAACTGAGATCATTACCAGCATGTGCTTGACATTGGAATGGACCGAATCCGATGGCCTTGCCATTGCACAAGTCTCACTCTGGGGGTCGTGTGCTCGCTTGATGATGGCACGGGCACACGGCTCGAATTGGTCCCTAAAAAAGTCGTCTGCCGGATACACCATGCCGAAGCTGCCACGCTGGGCTTGCCCACATGCATGTGACACGTGCACATGTGAATGCGCCGCCTGCACATCACTGAGACTCACTCTGAGGGTCGTGCGCTCTCTTAACTATCGCACAGGGCTCAGGCTCCTCCAGGAAAAAGTCTTCCGCGAGGTACACCACGCCAAAGCTGGGGGTTGGCTCACCCAGACGTGCATACGTCCCTCGTGAGCATGAGGCTCACTCTGCAGGCGGGTTGGGTCGTGCGCTCGCGTAGTAATGGCACGCGGCTCAGGCTGGTCTCTGGAGGAGTCCACCACCAGATACACCACGCCAAAGCTGGGGGTTGGCTCACCCAGACGTGCATACGTCACCCATGAGCATGAGACTCACTCTGCGGATCGTGCGCTCGCTTGATGATGGCGCGGGGCTCAGGCTGGTCCCGGAAAAAGTCCTCCGCGAGATACACCATGCCAAAGCTGCCGCGGCCGTAGATGGTGGTGAAGTTGCGCGTGGCCTTCTTGATCTTGGACAGGCTGTACTCCGCTACTGGCACTGGCGGGGACAGGGAGTCAAGGCGGGTCAAGGGGAGTCAAGGGGAGTCAAGGGGAGAAAGGAAAGAGCATCTGAGCTGCCGCGGCCGTAGATGGTGGCGAAGTTGCGCGTGGCCTTGTTGATCTTGGACAGTCTTGGACAGTCTTGGACAGGCTGTACTCCGCTACTATGAGTAAACCATGCATGAGGAGTCTATTTTTGAGGCGCCTCAAAAATTGGTCTTGGAGAGGGTGTATTCGGCTACTGGCACTGGCGGCGTGGAGAGAAGGAGACCAGGCGAGTCAAGGGGAGACAAGGGGAAGAAGAGAGCTTGGTGATGAAATTGCATGTGGTCTTGTTGATCTTGGAGAGGGTGTATTCGGCTACTGGCACTGTCGGGGTGGAGAGAGGGAGACAGGGGAGACAAGCGGAGACAAAGGAGGAGAAAGGGGGAGAAAGGGGGAGAAAGGGGGAGAAAGGGGGAGAAAGGGGAGAAAGGGGGAGAAAGGGGGAGAAAGGGGGAGAAAGGAGGAGAAAGGGGGAGAAAGGGGGAGAAAGGGGGAGAAAGGGGGAGAAAGGGGGAGAAAGGGGGAGAAAGGGGGAGAAAGGGGGAGAAATGGGGAGAAAGGAAAGAGCTTCTGAGATGAATGTGAAGGGAAGGCATGGTGGTGCCATTGCACGTGGCCTTGTTGATCTTGTTGAGGCAGTGTTCTGAGACGACTCAAAACTAGGGTTGAGCAAACTACCCGCCCGGGTCGGGTACCCGGTACCCGGACCCGCTTTTAGGGCGGGTCGGGTATCGGAAATCCTGAAAATTACCCGGCGGGTCGGGTCCGGGTTACCCGGGCCGGGTATCAATACCCGCTACCCGAAATGCTAGCTGACGTGTCGGGTAACGGGTACCCGACCCGGTCGGATAAAAAATTACCCGAGGTCGGGTATTCCACCTAGACATGGGCGTAAGTCGCGCTGTGTTTGAGGTTTTGCGGCAAAACGGTTTTGGAGGTGAGGGGGGATGAGTGGAGCCCTACCTAGCCTAGCCCTACCTAGCCTAGCCCAACTTTAGGATGTCCACTAGTAGGTGGCGGGTAGTATTACCCGCTTTTCAGGGTAACCGGGTCGGGTATACCCGGACCCGCCAGGCGGGTATTGTATTACCCGCCCCTTTAAGGCCGGGTCCGGGTAAGGGTCCTGGGCATATAACCCGACCCGGACCCGACCCGAAATTACCCGACCCGAGGTCGGGTATTGCAAAACCGGGTCGGGTCGGGTAATTACCCGGTTTTGCTCAAGCCTACTCAAAACATGGTGGTGAAATTGCACGCCTTGTTGATCTTGTTGAGGCAGTGTGCCCCGGCGGGAGGGCAACGAACGAGGGCTGCTGTGAAGACAGCCGCAGTGACAAAGCTTAACTCAACTGATGCAGCTCAGATCAGGGTCTCTTGTCCATCCCATCCCATCCCATCCCATCCCATCCCATACAACATACAGTGGTCGGAGCGCTTGTTTGTGTCCCTCAGAGTGCGCTTGGTGGTGCGCTTGGTGGTGCTACACTCAAATGACTCAAAAGAAAAGGCCCACTCCACATACACTGGTCAGAGCGGTTGTGTCCCTCGGAGTGCTTCTGGTGCCAGCTGAGGCAGAAGGCCGCAGCGATGAGGGCAACCAGGACTGTGGTGAAGACAGCTATGGTCACAATTCCCGCCACTGGCGTCCCTCCTGGGGTGGAAGATGGGGGAGAGGGGAGAGCGAGAAGAGGAGGGAAGGCGGGAAAGGAGGGAGGGAGTAGAGGAAGGAGAGAGAAGGGAGGGAGGGGAAAAGGGAGAGAGGGATGGGAGGACGTACACTGGTCTGGGCGATTGGAGGAGGAGCCTCCTGAGTTCCTCACGTTGCACACGAAGGCCACTATAACGAGGATGCTGAAGAAGAGGACGAAGAAGCCAAGCAGGATGTATGCTGCCACAGGGGAGGAGCCTGGGAGCAAGGGCAGGCGGGATAAGGGTTGGGAGGGAAGGGGGGGAGGGGAGGCGGGGAGATGAACATGGGAGGGAGTGGGAAGGTGATAAACAGGCAGACCGCTTTGAAGAGGACGAAGAAACCAAGGAGGATGTATGCCGCCACAGGGGGGGAGCCTGGGCGGAAGGACGTGGGGGAGGAGGGGGGGGGAGGGGGGGAGAAGGGTTGGGAGGAGGGTTGGGAGGAGGGGGGGGGAAGGGGGGAGAAGGGTTGGGAGGAGGGGGGGGGGGGAGGGGGAGAGAAGGGCTGGGAGGAGCGGGGGGGGAAGGGGGGAGAAGGGTTGGGAGGAGGGGGGGGGGGAAGGGGGGGAGAAGGGTTGGGAGGAGGGGGGGGGGGAAGGGGGGAGAAGGGTTGGGAGGAGGGGGGGGAAGGGGGGAGAAGGGTTGGGAGGAGGGGGGGGGGGGAGTGGGGAAGAAGGGTTGGGAGGAGGGGGGGGGGGAAGGGGGAAGAAGGGATGGGAGGAGGGGGGGGGAAGGGGGGAAGACGGGATGAACATGGGGGGGTTGGGAAGGTGATCGACAGGCAGGCAGCTTTGAAAAGGATGAAGAGGCCAAGGAGGATGTGTGCTGCTACAGGGCTGGAGCTTGGGAGCAAGGACCAGAGGGGGGTGGGGAGAGGGAGAGGGAGGAAAGGGAGAGGGGGAGGGAGGGATGGGGGGAGATGATCATGGGAGGGGGTGGGAAGGTGATAAACAGGCAGACCGCTTTGAAGGGGGTGAAGAAGACAAGGAGGATGTATGCCGCCACAGGGGGGGAGCCTGGGCGGAAGGACAGGAAGAGAGGATGTGGTGGGGGAGGGATGTAGGAGGACTCCCAGCATGTGGACGCACCAAGGAGAGAAACTCAACGCACCTTGGGAAGAGGTGGCATTGAATACAGAGAGGGGGATCGGGGGAGACTCGGCTGCAGGAGGAGGAGACCCTTGGGAAGCGGTGTCAGTGGTGGTGCTGCTGCTGCCGTCAGTGGTCGTGCCGTCAGTGGGTGGAGGGCTGGTGGTGCTGCCATCGGTGGTGGGCGGGGTGGTGCCATCGGTGGTGGGAGGAGAGGCGGCGTTGCAGACCTCCTGCTGATCAGGCACGTTGTCGAGGCAGTTGCCGTTGTACTCGAAATGCACCACGTTGGTGCTGGTGACCTCCGGCACTGGGCCTGTCAGCAGGTTCATCGACAAGGTCCTGAGTGGGAGAGAAGGGGGAGAGCACAGGCAGGGAGGGAGCACGGGCAGGGGGAGAGCACAGGCAGGGAGGGAGGCACGTTGTCGAGGCAGTTGCCGTTGAGCTTGAAATGCACCACGTTGGTGTTGGTGACTTCGGGGACTGGGCCGGTGAGAAGATTCGTAGACAGAGTCCTGAGTGGGAGAGAGATTGGCGACCAAGGACGGCAGGGAGGAGGGAGGGAGGGAGGGAGGGAGGGAGGGAGGGAGGGAGGGAGGGAGGGAGGGAGGGAGGGAGGGAGGAAGGGAGGGAGGGAGGGAGGGAGGGAGGGAGGGAGGAGGGAGGGAGGGAGGGAGGGAGGGAGGGAGGGAGGGAGGAGGGAGGGAGGGAGGGAGGGAGGGAGGGAGGGAGGGAGGGAGGGAGGGAGGGAGGGAGGGAGGGAGGGAGGAAGGGAGGGAGGGATGGAGGGAGGGAGGGAGGGAGGGAAGGAGGGAGGGAGGGAGGGAGGAAGGGAGGGAGGGAGGGAGGGAGGGAGGAAGGGAGGGAGGGAGGGAGGGAGGGAGGGAGGGAGGGAGGAAGGGAGGGAGGAAGGGAGGGAATAGAAGAAGGCAGTTGCCGTTGTACTCAAAGTGCACGGTGGTGTTGGTGTGGGCCGGGGAGGAGATCCATGGACAGGGTGCTGAGTGAGGGGGAACAGACGGGGGAAGAGGGAGGGAGGCCCGTTGTCAGGGCAGTTGTCGCTGTGCTCGAAATGAACGGTGTTGGGGGAGGAGATGTATAGACAGGGTGGTGAGTGAGGGAGAGCAGAAGGGGGGAGAGGGAGGGGGGCACGTTGCTGTTGAACTCAGAGTGCACCGTGTTGGTTGGTGGTGCTGACCTCGGGCAATGGGCTGGTGAGGAGATTCATAGATAGGGTCCTGAGTGAGGGAGAGCAGAAGGGGAGAGGGAGGGGGGTCGAGAAGGGGGCAATCAAGGGAGGGAGGGAAGAGAGGGAGGGAGGGAGGTAGGTGCCGTTGTATTCGACGTTCATGAGTGAGCATACGCTGCTCCCAGTGCTACTAATCCCTTCAAACCAGTCACATGCTACTCACAGCGTTGCCAGGTCATAGACGTTGTGTCAGCTTGCCACACTCTCAGCGCTCCCACTGCCTTCAAACCAGTCACTTGCTACTCACAGCGCTGTGACAAGAGCTGCACTCACAGCTGCTCCCAGTGCTAATGATCCCTCCAGACCAGTCACATGCTACTCACAGTGTCGCCACGAGAGCTGCAATCACAGCTGCTCCCAGTGCTGCTGATCCCTTGAAACCACTCACATGCTACTCACAGCACTGCCACGAGAGCTGCAATCACAGTGTGGCTAGGTGACTTTTTAAGTTTCGAGGCGCCTCAAAACTAGGCGCCTCAAAACTTGAATTTTTAATCGACTCAATCAAAAGTCACCTTCCTTCAAACCAGTCACTTGCTACTCACAGCGCTGCCACGAGAGCTGCACTCACAGCGTTGCCAGGTGCGGCAGTTGCGTCAGGCAGGCAGGGATGGTCCCCTGCAGCTGGTTGCGCGCCAGGTTGAGGTCATAGACGTTGGTGAGCTGGCAGAGCTCTGTGGGGATCCCCCCCGACAGCATGTTGTGGTTGAGGTACAGCTTGTTCAGCGTCACAAGCTGGCCGAACGAGGGCGGGATGTCCCCCGTGAGCTGGTTGTTGTCGAGAAACATCTCCACAATGTGCTGCAGCTCGCCCAGGTTGGCAGGTAGGGGGCCTGTTAGGTCGCAGTATTCGAAGGCTCTGGAGGGAGAGGTGAGGGTGGGGGAGTGGAGGGTGGGAGGGAGGGAGAGAGAGATTGGCCCCAGTGAAATTTTCCCCCCGACAGCATGTTGTGGTTGAGGTACGGCTTGTTCAGCGTCACCAGCTGGCCAAAGGAAGGGGGGATGTCCCCCGTGAGCTGGTTGTTGTCGAGAAACATCTCCACTATGTGCTGCAGCTCGCCCAGATTGGCGGGGAGCGGGCCGGTGAGATCGCAGTACTCAAAGGCTCTGGAGGGAGAGGTGAGGGTGGGGGCAGAGGTGGAAGGAAGGGAGGGAGGGAGGGAGGGAGGGAGGGAGGGAGGGAGGGAGGGAGAGATTGGCCCAAGTGGGATCCCGCCCAACAGCATGTTGTGGTTCAGGTACAGCTTGTTCAGCGTCACTAGCTGGCCAATCGATGGCGGAATGCCCCCAGTGAGCTGGTTGTTGTCGAGAAACATCTCCACTATGTGCTGCAGCTCGCCCAGATTGGCAGGGAGGGAGCCTTGACTTGAGTACTCAAGGCTCTGGAGGGAAGGAAGGGGGGGGCATGGAGTATTGCTCTGATGGAATGTGTATGAGGCATATGTTGCCATGCATAGAAAACATAATGACTAAAAAAAAACTGCATCGACTGCGTCGACTCACATGGACTGGATGCGTGGCATTTGCCCCAGGAACTCAGGGATAGTGCCGTTGGTACCCTAAATGTAGCTCACATTGACTCAAATTGTCCCCCTTGACTCACATTGACCTGCATTGACTCACATGGACTGAATGCGTGGCATTCGCCCCAAAAACTCTGGGATAGTGCCGTTGACGCCCTCATTGTAGCTCACATCCCTGCAGGCAGAAGAGCACGGGGGACAGAGGGGCACAGGAACGAGGGAAAGTGGGGATGGGTTGGAGGAGGGGCGGGGGGAGGTTAAGGGGGGAGGAATGATAGTGCCATTGATGCCCTTGTTCTACCTCACATTGCTGCAGGCACAAAGTGGGAGAATGGTGGAACATGGAGGAGGGGAAAGGTGTGTGTGGATTTGGAGAAGGGGGGGAAGGTGGAAGAGTGGGGGAGGACGCACGGGGAAGGCAGTGGAAGCTGGGATGCACTCACAGGTACGTTAGAGAGTGGGGGTGCTCGTAGTGCGTGAGGGGGTTCTTTAACTTCAGTGCAGGGAAGCACTCACATCAGGTACGTAAGGGGGTTCTCTAAGTGTAGGGCAGCACTCACAGGTACATGAGTGATTCAAGCTTGCTGTAGGAGTCCGGAATCGGCCCCTCCAGTTTGTTGTTGGCCACATAGCTGCGCAGGTGGGGGAGAGAACATGGGCGAACATAACAGGTGACAGGGGGGGTATTGCATTTTCGGTATCAGGGAGGGTGAAGTGATACCTTGGAGGGTGTTTGCCAAGCTGGTCACACATGAGAAGATATTCGTGAGAAACACGCACATAGGAGACGGATTCACTCTCTCACATGGAACGCATTCGATTCAATCACTTGCTGAATGGATTATCTCATCTCACATGGCGGATAGATTCGGTAGGTCTCCGAGCTCGGGCGGGAGAAGGCCTGTGAGCTGGTTGTCGTCCATGGCACTGGAAGGGGGGGGGGGGGGGGGTGTTGGAAGGGAGGGAGGGGAGAAAAAGGGAAGCGCGCTGCGAGAAATGGATGGGGGAAAAGGAGAAGGATGCCAAAGCATCTTGAGAAGCCCCGTTTGCTGGTTGCCGTCCATGGCACTGGGAGGGCGGGGAGACGATAGACTAGACGGGATGAATCAAGACAGGAACGGTGACGTTTGAGTCGACTCAAAGGCCATGAGGGGGAATAGTTAGGCGTCTCAAAGGTGCCCTTTGGGCTGGCCGGCGTCCATGGCACTGGGGGGAGGGGAGAAGATTTACTAGACGGGACGAATGGGACGAATTAAGACAGGAACGGTGATGAAGGTCATTCATGAGGGGGGGGGGGGGAATAGTAAGGCGTCTTGAAAGTGCCCCTTGAGCTGGTCGGCGTCCAGGGCACTGCGGGGGGGGAGAAAGGGGAAGGATGAGTGATGAAGGAGATGCGACCGGATTCGAAGCATCTTGTGAAGCCCCGTGAGCTGATTTTCGCCCATGGCGCTGGGAGGAGGGGGGAGGGAGGAGGAGGAGGGAGGGGGGGAGGGAGGGGAATGAGGGATAAGATGGAGGTGATGTGAGGGATAACTTTTTAGGCGCCCCACAAAACGATGGGAGAAATTCTGAGACAGAGAGGGGGGCGATAGGGGCTTTGCTTGAAGCATACACGAGAAGCTGTTGTCCAGCAGTACAGCGAAGTGGCTTATATGGAGTATAATGGAGGGGCTTACATGGAGTGGAGCGACTCTGCGAGGGCTAGTTGTGTGGGAATAGGGCCTGAGAGCATGTTGGTGTACATCTCCCTGCAGAGGTGATGATGCATGCACATGGGGCGCAGGGGATGGAAGGACGTGGGATGACTTTTTAGTCGACTCAAAAGTCATCTCGCAGGGGATGGAAGGACATGGCGCGCATGGGCCATGGCGAATGAGCATGCATGCAATGAAGCAGATGCGTGGGAATGGGGCCTGAGAGCATGTTGGTGTATGTGGAAGGACATGGTGCACATGGGGCGCATGGGGCGCATGGGGCGCATGGGGCGCATGGGGCGCATGGGGCGCATGGGGCGCATGGGGCGCATTGGGCGCATTGGGCGCATTGGGCGCATGGGGCGCATGGGACACATGGGCCACATGGGGCGCATCGGGCGCATGGGGCAGTGGATAAGGCAGCAAGGCATGGCAGATGCAGGCATGCAGAGAGCCAGCTGGGTGGGGATAGGCCTGAGGGCATGTGTTGTGTATACCTTCCTTCCATGCATACACATACAACGCTCATCACAGACTAAAGTACGCGCATCACAGATTAAAGTACACTCACCCCCGATAAAAGTACGCTCATCTGCTAAGTGCCACCTTCAACCTTCAACCCTGAACTAGAAACCCGAAACCTTAAAGCACTCACAGGATTTCAAGCTTCTTGAGGCTCCCTAGCCATTCCGGGATCGGTCCTGTTTTGAGTCGACTCAAAACCCACCTCGAACCTTGAACCCTGAACTCGAAACCTAAACCCTAAAGCACGTACAGGACTTCAAGCTTCTTGAGGTTCCCCAGCCATTCGGGGATCGGTCCTGACAGCTGATTGGCTGGGAGGGAACTGCAAGCGGTGAGGGTGTGAGTGAGGAGGGCGGGGTTGGGATGGGGAAAAGAGAGAGAAGAGAGGACAGGAGCGAGAGGTTGGGTTCAACGTTTTGATTTCAGAGTTTAGGATGCATGGATTAGGGTAGGATGCTTACATGAGTTTCAGTTCCTTGCAGTAAGCTAGCTGTGCCGGCAGCTGGCCCGATATCTTGTTGCTGCCCATGTCACTGAGGGGGGGGGGGGGAGGTAGGTAGAGAGGGATAGAAGTGGGGTGAAAGGTAGAAGGGGGGGGAGGTGGGAGGGGAGGGTCTGTCTGTCTGTGAGAGGCTACAACCAGCTAGCTGTGCCGGTAGCTGGCCCGATATCTTGTTGCTGCTCATGTCCCTGGGGGGGGAGGAGGAGGGGAGGGGAGGTGATGGAGTGAGTGAGTGACGGAGAGCACGTGAATACTTGTTGGGGTAGAGCAGGCATAAACTGTTCGTCTGAGCTGATGATATTTAAGCTGATGATATTTCAGCTGGTTGCATTGCAGCGAGTCTTACAGCTGATGTATTCAAGAACGAGCCTTTGCAGCAGACAGGGAGTGAGCCTTAGAAGTTGGAGCAGACAGGGAGTGATCTTACAGCGGATAGGGAGTGAGTCTTAGAAGTTAGAGCAGATAGAGAGTGATCTTACAGCAGATAGGGAGTGATCTTACAGCGTGGTCAGATTTGGCAAAGAGCCCAGGCCGTTAGGCAGCGACCCGTTGAACTGGTTGTTGGCAAAGCGACTGGGGGGGAAGGAGGGGGGGAGGAGGGGGGGAGAGAGAGGGGGGGAGAGGGGGGGGAGAAGGGGGGGAGAGGAGCAGACTCTTAAGTCAACTCTGAAGTCACTGAGCAAACTCTGAACGCCCGTCGTCCGCTCAACGCTCAAGACCGTCCAACGCTCAAGGCCGCCCAACGCTTAAGACCGTCCAACGCTCAAGACCGTCCAACGCTCAAGACCGTCCAACGCTCAAGACCGCCCAACGCTCAAGACCGTCCAACGCTCAAGACCGCCCAACGCTCAAGACCGTCCAACGCTCAAGACCGCCCAACGCTCAAGACCGCCCAACGCTCAAGACCGCCCAACGCTCAAGACCGCCCAACGCTCAAGACCGCCCAACGCTCAAGACCGCCCAACGCTCAAGACCGTCCAACGCTCAAGACCGTCCAACGCTCAAGACCGCCCAACGCTCAAGACCGCCCAACGCTCAAGACCGCCCAACGCTCAAGACCGTCCAACGCTCAAGACCGTCCAACGCTCAAGACCGCCCAACGCTCAAGACCGCCCAACGCTCAAGACCGCCCAACGCTCAAGACCGTCCAACGCTCAAGACCGTCCAACGCTCAAGACCGTCCAACGCTCAAGACCGCCCAACGCTCAAGACCGCCCAACGCTCAAGACCGCCCAACGCTCAAGACCGTCCAACGCTCAAGACCGCCCAACGCTCAAGACCGCCCAACGCTCAAGACCGCCCAACGCTCAAGACCGTCCAACGCTCAAGACCGCCCAACGCTCAAGACCGCCCAACGCTCAAGACCGTCCAACGCTCAAGACCGCCCAACGCTCAAGACCGCCCAACGCTCAAGACCGCCCAACGCTCAAGACCGTCCAACGCTCAAGACCGTCCAACGCTCAAGACCGCCCAACGCTCAAGACCGCCCAACGCTCAAGACCGCCCAACGCTCAAGACCGCCCAACGCTCAAGACCGTCCAACGCTCAAGACCGTCCAACGCTCAAGACCGCCCAATGCTCAAGACCGCCCAACGCTCAAGACCGCCCAACACTCAAGACCGCCCAACGCTCAAGACCGCCCAACGCTCAAGACTGCCCAATGCTCAAGACCGTCCAACGCTCAAGACCGTCCAACGCTCAAGACCGTCCAACGCTCAAGACCGTCCAACGCTCAAGACCGTCCAACGCTCAAGACCGTCCAACGCTCAAGACCGTCCAACGCTCAAGACCGCCCAACGCTCAAGACCGCCCAACGCTCAAGACTGCCCAATGCTCAAGACCGTCCAGCGCTCAAGACCGTCCAACGCTCAAGACCGTCCAACGCTCAAGACCGCCCAATGCTCAAGACCGCCCAACGCTCAAGACCGCCCAACACTCAAGACCGCCTAACGCTCAGGACCGCCCAACGCTCAAGACTGCCCAATGCTCAAGACCGTCCAACGCTCAAGACCGTCCAACGCTCAAGACCGTCCAACGCTCAAGACCGCCCAATGCTCAAGACCGCCCAACGCTCAAGACCGCCCAACACTCAAGACCGCCCAGCGCTCAAGACTGCCCAACGCTCAAGACTGCCCATCGCTCAAGACCACCCACCGCTCGAGACCTCGCACCACTTCCCGCTTCTACCCCAACACCCCCCCACCGCCCCTCCCCCCACTGTAGCACCCACATTTCAACGAGCTGTGAGTGGCGTGTCCCAATGGATGACTCGAGCTAATTCGTCGTGCTTTGAGGCGCCTCAAAACTAGCCTCTTATAACACTCCCTCCCTCCCCTCTCCCTCTCCCCCACTGCTTCCGTCCCCTCCCCACCCCCCCCCCTTCCCACCACCACCCACATTTCAACGAGCTGTGAGCGGTGTGCCCCAATGGATCCCTCCAGCTAATTTGCCGTGCTTTGAGGCGCCTCTAAACTAGACTCTTATAACACTCCCTCCCTCCCCTCTCCCTCTCCCCCCCGGCTTCCCCCCTCCCCAGCACCCACATTTTAACGAGCAGTAAGAGGTATACCCCCATCCAATCCGGAATGGCAGCCACCACACACAGAAGCAGGAGGACTCATTCCCCCCTTCCCCTCCGCCCCCTCCCCAGCACTCACATTTCGACGAGCTGTGAGAGGTATGCCCCCATCCAATCCGGAATGGACCCCTCCAGCTGATTCGCTTCCAACGACCTGAACAACACATGCATGCACATGGGGATGCACACATGGGGTTGCACACATACACACATGGCGATGTACATATACACACATGGCGATGTACATACACAAACGCTGACGTTATTCTAGTGGTCGGCAGAGATGACTGAAAAGGCTGTTGTGTCTAGGAGGGGGGAGGAGCAAATAAAGAGCAGCTTGCGACTATAGACGAGATTGTAGCTGTAAACGATACGCCATAACAAGTCCAGTAGGTCAGACTGACAGGAATGTAAGCTTGTTGAGAGACCCAATCTCCTGGGGAATCGGTCCAGTGAGTGTGTTGTACCCAAGATTTCTGTAGTGGACGGAAGGGGAGAGGGGACGGGAAGTGGGGAGATCGTTGGTGAGTATCTTGGCTGTCCGTGGCTGCCTGCTCACCACCAAGAGACCCAATCTCCTGGGGAATCAGTCCAGTGAGTGAGTTGTACCCCAGATTGCTGTAGTGGAAGGAAGGGGAGGGGGGCGGGCAGTGGGGATTTCGTCGGTGAGTATCTTGGCTCGCTGTGGTTGCCTACTCCCTGGGAATCGGCCCATTCAGGGAGTTGTACGGTGGACCCCAGTTTGCTGCACGGGGGAAGGGTTAGGGGAGGAGTGAGGGGGAGGAGGGCTCGGGGGGAAGCGTTAAGGTAAGGAGTGAGGGAGGGGAGGGCAAAGGGGGAAGGGGCAGGGTAAGGAGTGAGGGAGAGGAGGGCAAGGGGGGAAGGGGCAGGGTAAGGAGTGAGGCAGAGGAGGGCAAGGGGGGAAGGGGCAGGGTAAGGAGTGAGGGAGAGGAAGGGAAAGACAATGACATTCATGTTAAAGGTGACAATGACATTCACGTTAAAGATGACAATGACATTCACGTTAAAGATGACAATGGCATTCATGTTAAAGATGACAATGACATTCATGTTCAAGATGACAATGACATTCATGTTCAAGATGACAATGACATTCATGTTAAAGATGACAATGACATTCATGTTAAAGATGACAATGACATTCACGTTAAAGATGACAATGACATTCATGTTAGAGATGACAATGATATTCACGTTAAAGATGAGAATGACACTCATGTTAAAGATGACAATGACATTCATGTTAAAGATGACAATGACCTTCACGTTAAAGATGACAATGACATTCACGTTAAAGATGACAATGACATTCATGTTAAAGATGACAATGACATTCATGTTAAAGATGACAATGACATTCACGTTAAAGATGACAATGACATTCATGTTAAAGATGACAATGACATTCACGTTAAAGATGACAATGACATTCATGTTAAAGATGACAATGACATTCACGTTAAAGATGACAATGACATTCACGTTAAAGATGACAATGACATTCGGTTTCTGGCGAGTCAGCAAACAAAGACCACTCTAGCTAGAAAAGCACACGGTTAGAAACCCCACGCCCAAACCCTGAAACTCAATCCCTAAACCCTAGTGTCAGTTCCCATCCCAGTCAACCCCATCTGGGCAGGTAGGAGCTACAGGTGCTCTAGTCTAGTCTAGACTCCAGAGTGGGTCAAATCGTAACAACCACCTCAAGGCAGCACGGAGCCCTAGCAGCAACATCCACCAGCAGTGGCATAGGCGCTGTGGCAGTAGTACCGGCGAAACGAGTACTCACAGGCGCTCTAGAGCATCCAGCTGCGCCAGCTGTCGCCCTGGGATTGGCCCCTTGAGCAGCTCGTTGGCCAGATTGCTTCAGGGGAAGCAGGACGGGACAAAGGTGGAGTTGAAGGGGAGGGGTGAGGCGACAAGGGATCAGCAGACAAGGGATCATCAGACAAGGGATCAGTAGACAAGGGATGGAACAGGGGGGGAGAATGAGCATCCAGCGCCGCCAGCTGTCGCCCTGGGGTTTGCCCTCCGAGCAGCTCGCGAGCCAGAATGCTGCAGGGGAAAGGGAGCGGTAACAGGGAGGAATTGGGAGGGGGAGGGGGGGAGGGGGAGAAGGGGGGGAAAGGGGGGGAGGGGTTGGGGGGATCCGAATGTGGGAGTATTTTGAGGCGCCTTAAAAAGGAAGTATTTTGAAGAAGTGGGAGGGGGGGGGGGCGATGGAAGAGGGGGATTTGAGTGGAAGGGGGGGCTTCGAATGATGGGGTCGCACGCAGAGGCGGAGGATGGGGAAGGACGGCATTAGGGGGGCGTTGGTAGCATGGGAGTGGAGACTGAACGATGACGCACATGAGTCAAACACTGCCCACCCCCACACGGCCCACACACTGCCCACACCACGAAACACGGCTCAGATTGTCACCACCTTTTTTATCTGATACTTAGCCATTCGCATTGTTTCTTTCAAAGCCAATCCGTCACCACGCACTCCAAATCATTCCAGTTTTGACTTCCCATGCTCGTTGATGTTGTGTGCTTACATTTCAATGATCCTGCCAGGCTTACAGTTCAATGATCCTGCCCCCCTCGTTGCACTTGATTCGCTCCTGCCACTCTGCACTGCACGGGTCGATGTTGTCTGGGAACGACTGCAGCGCTGTGGGATTTGATATCATGAAGGCCGCTTTCAGATTCAGCAGCTCCTCCGCTGGAAAATACCGGGAGGGGGGAGGGGGGGGATAAGGGAGAACGGGGGAGGGGAGGGGGAGGGGAGGGGGAGGGACGAGGGCGGAAGACGAAAGGTGAGGGGTTTGGACACTGCAGCGCCGTGGGGTTTGATATCATAAAGGCCGCTTTCAGATTCAACAGCTCCTCCGCTGGAGGAGGGCGGGAGGAAAGGGGGGGGGGGGGGACATGGGGGAGGGGAGGGAAAGGGACGGGGTGGAAGGGGAAATGTGAGGGGTTTGGACACTGCACGGGTCAATGTCGTTTGGGAATGATTGCAGCGCCGTGGGATTCGATGGGGGGAAAACGGAAATGAGAAAGGAGAAGGGAAGGGAAATCGGCAGTCAGTCAGCGCTTCACCCTCAAGTACTGTTTTCACCATGGCTGGAAGCATGGCACAGCGCTTCACCGTGATACCGTGTCTGCCATGCTTCCATCCATGTCAGTGCTACCAGGCCGTGCTGTTACCTTGTCCCGACGGCGACGGCTACAGCAACAAGGAACTATCCGTCAAGGCGGGGAGTGGAGCAGGGATGAACGATCACCCGGAAAACAACGAAAAGTGGACTTACTGTCAGGGCTTATGGCGAGTAGCGCAGCAATGTGGGGATTCAAAGCGCCTTAAAACGAGAAAAAGCGGACTCACTGCCAGGGCTTATGGTGAGTGCAGCAAGGATGTATCAATTCAAAGCGCCTTAAAAACGACGAAAAGCGGACTTACTGTCGGGGGCTTATGGTAAGTGCGGCTGGAAGAAACGCTTCTGAGTAGCCTCAAAGGCAAGGAGAAGGAACTTACAATCAGGGCTTTTTGCGGGTGCAGCTGGGAGGAAAGAAGAGAAGCGGACTTACTGTCAGGGCTTTCTGCTAGTGCAGCTGGGATGAAAGCGACTGTAGTCAGCCACGTCACGAGCCATAGAACTCTCAGAATCGTACGCTGGCCAGGCGCCATTGCCGTAACTGGTTTCCGACGATTATTATGCAACCTGGTCCGTTCTTGCGTCGATGCAGATCGTAACGTGGATGGCGACTGTAAAGCGGATGCGATGCGTTCCGTTGTTGAGCTGATCATGGTCATAAGTTAGATTGTAGCGCGGGTTCAGTCGTGTGAAGGACAGATGGGGGAGATTCAAGCGGAAGCGGATGCCTGCAAGAGAAAAGGTGCACAAAAATTAGGGTAAAATGAAATAAAGACGGCTTATTTGAAGACGCAATAACAAAAACGGCCATTGTTAGAGCACCGAGAAAGATGAAGACAATCCACCAGGTGGAATAGCAGGTAACTTGTGGAATGGCAGTTTTACTTATTTGCGTCTCGACATATTCGTGAAAAGGCCAGCCGCGGAGAGTAAAGGCCAGCCGTGTGGCACATCACACGGGGATGTCGAGACTGCAGCGAATCGGCAGCGATGTCGCAATGCAGACATGCTGCTCCATGCTTTTGAGTCGATATAAAATCAGAATCATTACACGCGGTTTTTAAGTAAAGGCAATATACTCGTAACATGGGAACGTCGAAACTTCAGCGAACCGGCAGCAATGTCGCAATGCAGACCACAATGGCAACGACCACCTCTCTTCTAAACAGTGAATCGCATACAAGGTACCAGACTATCTCAGAGACCAGAATCAGTGAAATTTCGAGCTCATTTTAACTAGTCAACCTCAGATTCGCAAAGAATGCAATGTGGTGCTCATTCCTATTATTAACTTTATTAGTTCCTCCGTCAATAGATGGTGTAACGTCAAACCGTGGGAAAAATGAAGCTCACCTGGCTAATGCCGTCTCAAGCGAGAATCCGAGAAGGCGACATGTGGCCAGGCGGAGAGAGAAATATCACCGGACACCCGCATTGGAGAAAATGTCTTTTTAAAAAAGTATTTTCCTTGTCCGTTTCTAATGTCACCCGCAACCAGCCCGGAATGCCTTATGCAACAACCACGGCTAAGCTGGAGCCTAAGCTACAGTACGGGTGAAATGAACCAACTAAGAACCTCCAATGTGGATATCTCCTACAATATCTGAAGTTCAGGACGACAAAATACCGCCTAAGTGCCGCTCGCACGAATTCCAAAATGCTGGGCTATGGTCTAAACTATTAGCACAGACGAAGCCTGGAAATAGGTCACAGCACAGTAGCAACCGAGACCGTGAGTCAATGTAAGAAGCTACATAGCCTTTCTCTATCGTCCCCCTAGCTGTGGGAGCAGAGCAGAGCACCTACTAATGTGGCTCACAATAAAGCGCATTTTATATGCGAGACTTCCAACAGGACCACTGCAATTGTAGTCTAGCGGATTTCTGAATCCCCGTGACGTTGAAGCGCCACCAACCACGGACAGTGTGGAAGGGGGGGAAAGGGGGAGGGGGGAGGGGGACGCCGTGGATGATGGAAGGTGAGCCGCGCGGTGCTGTTTTTGGCGGGAGGCTGGGGGTTGTTGTGGGGTCGGGGGAGGGGGATTGTCGGGAAGAATATGCTTGGTGTTCGGTGCGGAAAGACAGTGGTTGGGGGGAGGTTGATGGGGGTGGCTAGGGGAGCAAATGTTGCGGCAGGGGGACACCACAGGAGGACCACAGGTGACAGGCCTCTTTTTCGCGCTTGAACTTCCGCTAACATCAGCTCCGCAAGCCCAACCAAACCAGCCGATCTCCCCTGCCAAACAAAAATTGTTTCTTGGCGTGAAGGGCAGTGTGCAGGAGCTACGGGCAAAGGGCGGAAAGGCCATCAGGACGTTGTGATTGGCTCGCTGTTTCGTTTGGGACGCTTGATGTGGGGCGTGGGCGGTGCTTTTGTCCAGAGAGAGCCCCAGCCTCCTGCGAACACATTCAGTCCCCAAACCGGGAAATGGAACTGCTTTGCAGTTGATGGATGGGCTAGTTATAGGTACGGAACGTGAGGTCTCACTCAAAATTCACGTTCTGTACCCATACCTAGCCTATCAAGGTGCCCAAACCAACCAGCGGCTTCATTGTCACCGCCAAACCAGCTTCAATAACAGGCTCGTATGCACTGTGCAGTGTCTGTGAGTATGAACAGCCACGAGCCCTTGTCCACTCGACAGTTTCTTCCAACAGCCCAAGCTGGCAAACAGCTGTCAGTTTTTGTCCTCGATATTGTACACTTCGTTTAGCATTACGCATGTAGCACAAACACCTTACATCGATGAATCCATGCAGTTGAAATGCACACTCTGGAAGTGCTGAAGTGCCTTGCTACACGTCATCAGCCTCCTGCACCTGAGGTGGTTTCCTGCAGTCAATTCTATCTGCTAATTGCCACGTCTTATGCGCATCCAACCAATTCGAAATGGCCAAGCAAGCAGCAACGCCCAGATTGAACACCCAACGAACCAGCTTCCCGCCAATTCACTGACAGGTTGCCAAACACCGAAGCTGTGGCTCTGCCGAGCCTGAGCCCACAAAACCTCCTTACCAGGCCCAGGCACCAGCCAAGCAGCAAATCCGAGGGGTGCATTCGGCGCGATACTGGCGTGAGGCAGACCGAACGAGGAATCTGACCGTTAGGGGGATGACTTCAGCAGCCATAGTCATTAGGCGGGTGTTCGCGTGCCACTTCAGAAGACGAATACGAACGAATAAGCTCCTGAACCTGTCGTCAACACTGCCCAGCACACCAGCTCCAGCCATTGCTTGTAACATCTAGCGGTGTCTGGACAACGTGGATTTTATTATCATCAGTGCCGTAAGCAATGACATTGCAGAATTTGCCGCGGAGCTCGCTCACGTCGAGGCCTGTCATAGACATGATCCTGCGATGCCTCGCGTACCCGCTGCTTTCCCACGCACTGACCCGCTCATCGTCTTCTGCTGTCTTAATTTTCGAGACGCCTCAAGACCTGACCGACGCATCGTCTTCTGCTTCCCTAATCTCCGCAACAACAATAAGGGACGATCGGCGAAATGCGCGTAATTCCAGTGGAATCAATGATCGCGATCAGAGACTAGCCCCGTGTGCGCCACGTGGCGCAATCGCAGCATGCCAGGCCGCTCCTATTACTGAAATACTTAGCGATGGAGGAGCACCCGGCGAGCCGAGAGGTGAAACCCACCAAGTCGAAGCATCACCATTTGAAACTATTTTGCGCGAGCCAATAGCATTGGCGAGGCGTGCTCTTGGCGCGGAAACTTCTGTCGCAAATCTGCCTACTCAGTGGTTCTCGGCTGCCGAACCTGTGACCAAAAGTTTGAGAGAAATGTGCCACCTCCACCACCAACAGCAACACCACCACCACCAATTCCATCAATGTCGGCATTACCACCAACGCCAGGGCTCAAGGCTGCTGGCAGCAGCAGCAGCACCACCAACAGCAGCAGCAGCACCAGCACCAGCAGCAACAGCACCGACAACAGCAGGGGTTTCCGGAATTCGGCACTTTTCGCTGCCGTACCCGCGCGGCCCTGGCGGCTGGTCGCAGAATAAAGCGGCGGCGTCCGGCAAGGCGTCGTTCTACGACGTGACGGTGGAGCGATACGCGGCGCTGCCCATGACGGCCATGACCATGCAACACATGATGCAATTCGGCGAGCACGTTCTCAAGGACCCCTCCTACCTGCTGCGACAAGCAAGGTAAGGCCCCCACAGGCCAGCGAACAGACCCCTCCCCTGTGCCTTCTACTTGGTCTTGTTGTGCACTGGAAGCGTCTCGAGGCGCTGCCCATGACGGCCATGACCATGCAGCACATGATGCACTTCGGGGAGCAGGTCCTAAAGGACCCCTCGTACCTCCTCCGCCAGGCCAGGTAAAGACCTCTCCTCTGCGCCTGGGCAAGCGAATTGCAGCCCTCTTGCTCTCTCATCCCTTTTAGTCCGCCCCCTTGCCACCCTTTTCTCCCATCACTTCGACAGGTTTGTGCATCGCGAGCTGCCTATCCGCCTGGCCAATCAAATAGCACCCCTTTGCTGTTCCCCCATCCCCATTTCCCCCAGGTTTGTGCATCGCGAGCTGCCTATCCGGCTGGCCAATCAAATAGCACCCCTTTGCTGTTCCCCCATCCCCATTTCCCCCAGGTTTGTGCATCGCGAGCTGCCTATCCGCCTGGGCAAGCGAATTGCAACCCTCTTGCTCTCTCGTCCCTTTTAGTCCGCCCCCTTGCCCCCCTTTTCTCCCATCACTTCCCCCAGGTTTGTGCACCGCGAGCTGCCGATCCGCCTGGCGAAGCGCCTCATGGATCTGCAGTTTCTGCCCTACATTGTCGTCACCAACCCGCACATCAAGCAGGTGCGGTGGCAGCACCTACACAGTACCATATGCGCATGTAACAGGCACAGGGGGGTTAAGAGCGCCTCATGGATCTGCAGTTTCTGCCCTACATTGTCGTCATCAACCCGCACATGGCAGGTGCGATGCGGTGGCAGCATTATGTAGATGCCACGTCAGTATGGGAAGGTGCCACGTGGACATCTGTAGCAACCCCCTGCAAACGTACTCCTTGTACTCTGATTGTGCGACCCTGCAAGCAGCCATAAACCCTGTCCCCTGCACGAACTCCCCAAGCAGCCATCAACCCTATCCCCTGCACGAACTCCCCAAGCAGCCATCAACCCTGTCCCCTTGCACGCACGAACTCCCCAAGCAGCCATCAATCCTGTCCCCTGCACGAACTCCCCAAGCAGTCATCAACCCTGTCCCCTTGCATGCACGAACTCCCCAAGCAGCCATCAACCCTGTCCCCTGCACGAACTCCCCAAGCAGCCATCAACCCTGTCCCCTTGCACGCACGAACTCCCCAAGCAGCCATCAACCCTGTCCCCTGCACGAACTCCCCAAGCAGCCATCAACCCTGTCCCCTTGCACGCACGAACTCCCCAAGCAGCCATCAACCCTGTCCCCTGCACGAATTCCCCAAGCAGCCATCAACCCTGTCCCCTTGCACGCACGAACTCCCCAAGCAGCCATCAACCCTGTCCCCTTGCACGCACGAACTCCCCAAGCAGCCATAAACCCTGTCCCCTGCATGAACCCTGCATGTTATTCCTTCCTCGTCTCCCTGTTGTCCCTCCTCTCTCCAGGTCTTTTGACTCTTACCGCAGGGCTCTGGACTGAACCTACTTGTGGGTGGCATCTCTTGAAGTGCTGCGGACACTTGAGAATGGGGAATCATTTGCTCTCCCTCTCCTCACCTCTCCTCTCCACCTCGCTCCGGGTCTGCGACTCTTACCGCAGGGCCCTGGATCTGCTCGTGGCATTCCCTGAGGTGCTGCGGACACTTGAAATGGAAACTCGTTTGCTCCCCCTCCTATTCCCTCTCCTTCCCTCTCCGCCTCGCTCCAGGTCTATGACTCTTACCGCAGGGCGCTTGACCTGCTCGTGGCATTGCCTGAGGTGCGCACGCAAGAAGACAACGAGAAATTCACAGAGCTTCTGGCGCTGGTGAGTGGTGGGAGGCGGTTGATGAGCGGTGGGTGATGGGAGGTGGGCGATGGGCGGTGGATGGTGGGAGGTGCAAGCACCGGTTTGATTCGTCGAAGCCCTTTGCTTCTCTGACGTGTGCGCACGCGAGAAGACAATGAGAAGTTCACAGAGCTGCTGGCACTGGTGAAAGGTGATGATGGGTGCTGAGTGGTAGTGGTGGGAGGTGGGTGTTGATTCTTTAGGCGCCTCACAAGTGTTGAGTTGTTGTGGTGGGAGGTGGGTGTAGGGCGTTGGGTGGGAAGAGCAATCACTGCTTTGATGTGTGGAATCCCATAGCTTTCCTGAGGAGGGCACACTAGAAGACAGTGAGAAGCTCACAGAGCTGCTGCTGGTGGTGAGTGCTGGGTGGTTAGCAGTGGGTGACTAGCGGTGGGTGATTAGCCGTGGGAGTGGGTGGGTGCAAGCAAGCCCTGCTTTTCTGTGGTGTGCACCCATTCAGACAATAAACTGTTTACAGAGATACTGGCGCTGGCGAGGGATAGGTGGGTTAGCGGTGGGTGACTAGCCGTGGTTGATCAGCAGTGGGAGTGGGTGGTGCAAGCACTGCTTTGGTTTTGCCCACTCACTCTCTAACTCTCTCTCTCCGTCCGCCCCCCGTCTCCCCCTCAGCTCGTGGAGGAGCAAACCCAGTTCATAGGGGTGCTGGCACGTGGAGTGAGGGAGTGCTCCATACTCCTCCTTTAACCATGTCTCCATATCCATATTCCCCTCTCATATGATCAGCTGGTGGAGGAGCACACCCCGCTCATAGGCGTGCTGGCACGTGGAGTGAGGGAGTGCTCCATTCGGTTCGGCCTCTGGTGGGACGAGAGCTCAAACTCGATAGGACGCTTTTCAAGCAGCCATCCTCCCTTGCCGTCGTCCCCAAACCCGATGCATCCAACCCTTCCCCCTTTCAGTTGGTAGAGGAACACACCCCTCTCATTGGTGTGCTGGCACGTGGAGTGAGGGAGTGCTCCATTCGGCCTCTGGTGGGGCGAGAGCTCAACCTCGATGGCTTCCTGGACAACATGTGTGTGCCCTGCTTTTATCAGAGTTTACTTAATTCTATTTAATATTATCAGATTCAACCAGCTTTGTATGTTTGGTTTCTATTTTATTTATTTCTTGCATGTGTGCGTCGAGGTGCGACGAGGTGCTTGGGGTGGGATGGTCATACAACATGCTTACACGTGCATATGCATGCGCATATCGTGTTCTGTGCAACAGTTTCATTTACACTTGTATACAACGTACGACACGTGTACAAATGCACGTGTACAAATAAACGTGTACAAATGCATGGGCATCACATATTTCCTTTCCTTACAGGTTGCAGTCAGTCACGAGTCAGTACAAGAATGCAATGGCAGAGCAGCACATTGCATCATTGCATCATGCATCATGCATCATGCATCATGCATCATTGCATCATTGCATCATTGCATCATTGCATCATTGCATCATTGCATCATTGCATCATGCATCATTGCATCATGCATCATGCATCATGCATCATGCATCATTGCGTCATTGCATCATTGCATCATGCATCATGCATCATTGCATCATTGCATCATGCATCATTGCATCATGCATCATTGCGTCATGCATCATGCATCGTTGCATCATGCATCATGCATCATGCATCATTGCATCATCCAGCGCACGGCTCCGCTAACCCTGCTTTCAAGTCGACTCAATAGCACTTGCCACTTGTGGCTCTCTGTTCTGCGGTGATTGCAGGTTGCGATCGCGCATCAGTCGGAGAGTAGTGGCAGAGCAGCACATTGCACTGCAGCAGAAGAGACCAGGGTTCATCGGGGTCATCTGCACCAATGTAAGCACGTCTTAAAATTCGTCTCCTGTCTAACGGTTTTTATGTAGAAAGGCTTTTGAGGCGCCTCAAAAGTTGTTATGTAGAAAGGCTTTTGAGGCGCCTCAAATGTTTTTATGTAGAAAGGCTTTTGAGGCGCCTCAAATGATTTTATGTAGAAAGGCTTTTGAGGTGCCTCAAATGTTTTTATGTAGAAAGGCTTTTGAGGTGCCTCAAATGTTTTTATGTAGAAAGGGGGGACTTAAGTTACATCTCTCATCAGTTGGAGAGTGGTGGCAGAGCAGCACATTGCACTGCAGCAGAAGAGACCAGGGTTCATCGGGGTCAGCTGCACCAATGTAAGCACGTCTTAAGTTACATGTAGAAAGGGGGGACTTAAGTTACATCTCTCATCAGTCGGAGAGTGGTGGCAGAGCAGCACATTGCACTGCAGCAGAAGAGACCAGGGTTCCTCGGGGTCATCTGCACCAATGTAAGTGCGTGCTCGTTTCAATGACTTGGCAGATTCACCAGCGTAAGCATGGAGTTCGACTCAACTCAAGAGCAGCACACTGCACTGCAGCAGAAAAGACCTGCAGTCTAATCTGGTGCACTGGGGTCATCTGCACAATTGTATGCGCATGCCTGTCTTGACTTGTGCATGTGAAGTCGAGTGTTAAATCGAAGGCAAAAACCCTCATCTTTCTCCTCCTCCTCCCCACTCCCTTGTCCAGATGTCAGTGCGAGAGGCGGTGGAGGATGCAGTGGAGTGGAGGAACCAACGGACACTGCAGGCATCTGTACAGAGGCCGAATGTGGAGCACTCCCTCTCAACCAACAGACATTTGGCTGCTGCCCTGACCCTGAGTTCGTGCTCTACCTCCCACCCCACCCCCCCACCCCCCCACGCCCCCACCTCCTCCCAGCTATCCCCTGCTCTTCAGCTGTCAGTGCGAGAAGCGGCGGAGGACACAGTGGAGGAGGCAACGGACATGTGCATGCGCACCTTCGGCTGCTGCCTTCACCCTGAGTTACCACCCCACCCCTCACGCCCCCACCTCCCATGCCCTTCAGATGTCAGTGCGAGAGGTGGTGGAGGATGCAGTGGAGGAGGCAACCGACATGTGCACCTATGGGGGCTGCTTAAACCCTGAGTTCGTGCACTGCCTCCCACCCCACCCCCCACGCCCCCACCTCCAATTCCCTTCAGATGTCAGTGCGAGAGGTGGTGGAAGACGCAGTAGAGGAGGCAACGGACATGTGCACGCGGACGTTTGGCTGCTGCCCTGAGTTCGTGCTAACAGGCGACCTCAGCACCACATTTGCTTACATCCCCTCGCATCTGCACTACATGCTGTTTGAGATACTCAAGGTGGGCTCTTGTTTGTTTGTACACGCTGTAAGGTGTCTCGAAGCACAGTCTTAGCTCCACCTAAGTTGCATACCCTCCCATCTGCACAACATGCTGTTTTATGTACCACTGCCTGTATTCTCTGTTAAGTAAACTTAGCAGATGTATGACCAACCCCACATGTCGCTTCCCTCTGTTCCTCCCCTGCGTCCGATCAGAACGCGTCACGGGCGATAGTGGAACACCACACAAACCAGTCAGGGGATCCGGTGTTTTCTTCAGCCAGCTTCCCCCCCGTTGTAGTCACGGTCTGCTCTGGATCAAACGAAGTTACCATCAAGGTGAGTCCATGCTCCGATGTAAGAGCACCTGATATTCGGCCAGGTCCCCTCCTTCCTCCCCCGTTATATTCACGGACTGCCGGGATCGAACAAAGTCACCATCAAAGTGAGCCCACTCTGTTGGAAGAGCGGTTTTCAGCCAACCAACTCTCCCCCCCGTTATATTCACTGTCTGTTCCGGGTCTAACGAAGTCACAGTCAAGGTGGGGCCATGGTCCGAAAAATGAGCGCCTGATGTTCAGCCAACTACGATCCAAGCACCCACAAATCCCCCCCCAGTTCTAGTCACCAACAAGGATCCATCGAAGCACCCATTGATCCCTGCATGTATTCCTGCACCCATCCCTGCGCCCATCCCATAGACGTTTGAGTCGACTCACCAGTCATCATGCCTGCCTGGAACCATCCCTGCACCCACCCCATTGACGTTTGAGTCGACTCACAATCTATCATGCCTGCCTGGAACCATCCCTGCACCCATCCCATTGACGTTTGAGTCGACTCACAAGTCATCATGCCCGCCTGGAACCATCCCTGCACCCATCCCATTGACGTTTGAGTCGACTCACAAGTCATCATGCCTGCCTGGAACCATCCCTGCACCCATCCCATTGACGTTTGAGTCGACTCACAAGTCATCATGCCTGCCTGGAACCATCCCTGCACCCATTCCATTACTGCATGCCATCAGGTCTCTGATCTCGGAGGGGGCATTCCCGAGAAGCTCCAAGCCAAGGTGAGCAGAGGGGAGGGAGGGGTTGGAAGATAGGAGAGGTCGGGCAGGGTTGGAAAGTGGGGAGTAGGAGGAGGGGTGTGCAACCCATCCCTAGGAGGAGGGGTGTGCAACCCATCCCTAGGAGGAGGGGTGTGCAACCCATCCCTAGGAGGAGGGGTGTGCAACCCATCCCTAGGAGGAGGGGTGTGCAACCCATCCCTAGGAGGAGGGGTGTGCAACCCATCCCTAGGAGGAGGGGTGTGCAACCCATCCCTAGGAGGAGGGGTGTGCAACCCATCCCCATCCCTGCGTGCCACCAGGTGTCTGATCTCATAGGGGGGATTTCATAGCTCCTTTAAGGCACGGTGAGAATGGGGATGAGAAGGGTTGGGAGCTGGGAGGGGTCGGGCAGGGTTGGATTGTGGGGAGGAGGAGGGAAAGTTGTGCAAGCCGTACCCAACCCTGCATGCCACCAGGTGTCTGTCTTCATAGGGGGGATTTCAGAGCAGATATAAGCCAAAGGTGAGGGGCGGTGTGAGAAGAGGCGATGGGAAGGGGGGTGAGTGGAGGGGATGGTGGGTTAGCGGGCCAGCGGGCCAGCGGGTCAGCAAGTTAGCGAGTTAGCGGGTCAGATGGTTAGGGGGTCGCGGGTTAGTGGGTGAGCGGGTGAGTGGGTAATCGGGTTAGGGGGTCAGCGGGTAACCGGGTCAGCGGGTCAGCGCCTCGCTGGTGGGCGGGTGAGCGGGTGAGCGGGTGAGCTGGTGGGCGGGTGAGCGGGTGGGCGGGTGGGCGGGAGAGCGGGTGAGCGGGTGAGCTGGTGAGCTGGTGGGCGGGTGCGCGGGTGCGCGGGTGAGCGGGTGAGCGGGTGAGCGGGTGAGCGGGTGGGCGGGTGAGCGGGTGAGCGTGTGAGCGGGTGGGCAGGTGAGCGGTTGGGCGGGTGAGCGGGTGCGCGGATGAGTGGGTGAGCGGGTGAGTGGGTGAGCGGGTGGGCGGGTGAGCGGGTGAGAGGGTGGGCGGGTGAGCAGGTGAGCTGGTGAGCTGGCGGGCGGGTGCGCGGGTGCGCGGGTGCGTGGGTGAGCGGGTGAGTGGGTGGGTGGGTGGGCGGGTGAGCGAGTGGGCGGGTGAGCGAGTGAGCAGGTGGGCGGGTGAGGGGGTGAGCGGGTGAGCGAGTGAGCAGGTGGGCGGGTGAGGGGGTGAGCGGGTGAGCGGGTGAGCGGGTGAGCGGGTGGGCGGGTGGGCTGGTGGGCGGGTGCGCGGGTGAGCGGGTGAGCGGGTGGGCAGGTGAGCTGGTGGGCGAGTGCGCGGGTGAGCGGGTGAGTGGGTGAGCATGTGAGCGGGTGGGCCGGTGAGCGGGTGGGCCGGTGGGCGGGTGGGCGGGTGGGCGCGTGAGCGGGTGAGCAGGTGAGCGTGTGAGCGGGTGAGCAGGTGAGCGGTTGGGCGTGTGAGCGGGTGCGCGGATGAGCGGGTGAGCGGGTGAGCGGGTGAGCGGGTGGGCGGGTGAGCGGGTGAGAGGGTGGGCGGGTGAGCGGGTGAGAGGGTGGGCGGGTGAGCGGGTGAGTTGGTGAGCTGGCGGGCGGGTGCGCGGGTGAGCGGGTGAGCGGGTGAGCGGGTGAGTGGGTGGGCGGGTGAGCGGGTGAGCAGGTGAGCGGGTGGGCGGGTGAGCGGGTGCGCGGGTGTGCGGATGAGCGGGTGAGCGGGTGAGCGGGTGGGCGGGTGGGCGGGTGGGCGGGTGGGCGGGTGGGCTGGTGGGCGGGTGCGCGGGTGAGCGGGTGAGCGGGTGAGCGGGTGAGCGGGTGAGGGGGTGAGCGGTTGAGCGGGTGCGCGGATGAGCGGGTGAGCGGGTGCGCGGATGAGCGGGTGAGCGGGTGCGCGGATGAGCGGGTGGGCGGGTGAGCGGGTGAGAGGGTGGGCGGGTGAGCGGGTGAGCTGGTAAGCTGGGGGTGGGCGGGTGGGCGGGTGAGCGGGTGGGCGGGTGAGCGGGTGGGCGGGTGAGGGGGTGAGCGGGTGAGCGGGTGAGCGGGTGGGCAGGTGAGCGGGTGGGCGGGTGAGCGGGTGGGCGGGTGAGCGGGTGGGCGGGTGAGCGGGTGCGCGGTTGAGCGGGTGGGCAGGTGAGCGGGTGAGTATGTGAGCGGGTGGGCGGGTGAGCGGGTGAGCGGTTGGGCGGGTGAGCAGGTGGGCGGGAGGGCGGGTGGGCGGGTGAGCGGGTGGGCGGGTGGGCGGGTGAGCGGTTGAGCGGGTGAGCAAGTGAGCAAGTGAGCGGGTGAGCGGGTGGGCAGGTGAGTGGGTCATCGGGTGAGCGGGTGAGCGGGTGAGCGGGTGAGCGGGAGAGCGGGTGAGCGGGAGAGCGGATGAGGGGGTGAGGGGGTGAGTGGGTGGGCGGGTGAGCGGGTGAGCGGGTGAGCGGGTGAGGGGGTGAGGGGGTGAGCGGGTGAGGGGGTGAGCGGGTGAGCGGGTGGGCGGGTGAGGGGGTGAGCGGGTGAGCGGGTGAGCGGGTGGGCGGGTGAGCGGGTGGGCGGGTGAGCGGGTCATCGGGTGAGCGGGTGAGCGGGTGAGCGGGACAACGGGTCAGCGGGTGAGCAGGTGAGGGGGTCAGCGGGTGAGGGGGTCAGTGGGTCAGCGGGTCAGTGGGTCAGCGGGTGAACGCATCAGCGGGTGAACGGGTGAGCTGGTGAGCGGGTAACCAAGCTGCCCCTTCCCCGACTGCCCTAACCCCATATATGGCGCTATGGCTACTCTTTAGTGGAGGAAGCACCGGCTAGACGCCAGCCTAGCTTCTTGCTTGCATCACTCTTGAGCCGACCCAACCCCTCCTTTCCTCATGCCCACCCCCAGGTGTGGCGCTATGGCTACTCTTCAGTGGAGGGCGACGTCACCACCTCCAGCACGTTGCGATCAGCAGGTAAGGCTTGGGCATCAACATTCGTACTTCTCGCCTCCCAGCCATTCCCTTCCCAGCCGCTGGTCCTGCAGGCTGCCAGGTCACCCCGGGATGAGGCGCTCTTTTGAGTCAACTTAAGGGGCACCGTGCGATCGGCGAGTAGGGATTTATCAAGTTCGCACCTCCCAACCTTTGACTTCGCGGGCTGATTTGTAGGCTGTGGCCGGTGGTCCTGTGGACTTCAAGCCACGTCAAGGACCGAGCTCAATTGAGTATCAGGATTCTGAAGCGCTTACCCCCTTCCCCTCCCCTCCCTTCCTTTCCTTCTCTCCAAACCAGCCGATGACCCTGTGGACTTCAAGCCACATCAAGGTCCGAGCTTGAAGTAGTCTCAGGATTCTGAAGTGCTTACCCCCCTCCCCTCCCCTCCCCTCTTTTCCTCCCATCCCCCTCCCCTCCCCATTTCCCCCCTCCCCTCCTTTCCTCCTCCACTCCCCTCCAAACCAGCTGGGGGCCCGGCTGACTCCCAAGGCACCCCCATGGCCGGGCTCAGGTTTGGGCTGCCCCATTCAAATCGTTTACCGCCCCCCCTCTCTCCTCCTCTCCCCTTCTCCACCTCTCTTCCTTCCCCACCTCCCCCCTTCCCCCAAAACAGCTGGGGGCCCGGTTGACTCTCAAGGCACCCCCATGGCCGGGCTCGATCGAGCATCAGTATTTTAACCGTTAACTTGCCCTTCCCCTTCACCCCCCCTCCTTTCCTCCTTCCCTCCTCCCCAAACCAGCCGGGGGCCCAGTTGACTCTCAAGGCACCCCCATGGCCGGGCTCGGGTTTGGGCTGCCTTACTCCCGCTTGCTCGCACAGTACCTGGGCGGCAACATCGAGGTAGGGCGGCAACATCGAGGTAGGGTGGCAACATCGAGGTAGGGCGGCAACATCGAGATAGGGTGGCAACTTCGAGGTAGGGCGGCAACATCGAGGTAGGTGGCAACATCGAGGTATGGTGGCAACATCGAGGCATGGCGGCAGCACCGAGGTAGGGCGGCAACCCCGAGGTAGGGCGGCAACATCGAGGTCGTGCGGCAACTTCAAGGTAGGGCAGCAATGTCAAGGGCTGCAACATCAAGGGCGGCAACACAAGGGCAGCAACATCAGGGAAGGGCGGCAACATCCGGGTAGGTTTGCTGCAGTATGAGGTATGGGATACCTGCCTGCCCTGCTCCCACTTGCTTACTCATCTCCTCGGTGACAACATCGAGGTAAGGGTGGCCTTATGTAGATCCACTAGTTTGCCCCATCCTTTCTCCTTCCCCCCCCACCCCCCCCCTCCCCCCTTTCCCCCCCTCTCCCCCTCCAAATCCACAGATGGTCAGCATTCCTGGATATGGCTCGGATGTGTACGTGAGGGTGCGGCGGGTGGTTGACCAAACAGAAGCAGTGGAGATCTGAGTACACAGTTTAGTTACATGCCAACGCCCATCTCAGTTGCTCTAATCTTCCTATTCTCGTTGGGTGTTGTCCAATGATGGTGCATCCAGACGAAGACATGGAACGGCATGCATATGTGCATGCACAATGATTGTGAAGTACCAATGCACCGATTATTTCAGGATACGAATTAACTGTCCCCAAAATTGTTTGACCACAAACAAATCGGATCGGGCTCCAGCTACCCTGATATTTCTGTTGACACATGTACATTAAGGTATATGGGAAGCAATTTTCGCTGAGTATACATAGCCACGCTTCAACTATCTTGTTGTGGCTATAAGTCGGTGCGATTTCATAGAAAGCGAGTATATGAGCAAGATCTATCGATCCAGTAGCATTTAGCCATCTCAGCAGGACTGGTCAGCGTGGTAATCGGTCGTACTTGTACGACAACCTTGAAGAAAATTGAAGGGGAGATCCAGGGCCGGAGTTCTCAAGAGATGCAGGGTTCGTTACACAAAAGTTCGAAACTTTTAAGAAGTGAGTGCGTGGGTTCCGCTTCTTGTTCATATCTTGGGTTCACGTGGGGTGATTTATGAACTGTGGCCAAAGAACGAGCGATGCTTGAGAACAGACTCTGGAGCGGTTTCATCAGCCAAGCACTCTCGTACAGTCCCCGCGAGTCCGAGGCTCCCCTCCCGAACCGCACCGTGGCTACCATCACCGGCAATGGCCCATGGGCCATGCATTTTTGGCGGCCGTGCTGTACAAAGATTGTGCCCTTTTCAAGCCCAGTTTGTTTTCAGATGAATGCTCCAGAGTCGAGCACATAAATTCACGGGCGAATGGGGCCAATATAGGGTAGTATGGTTTCCTCGTTGGCATTTTCCAGTCTAAATCGAGTGACCATTGTTGTTTGTTTTGCCTACCTGGGGCAACAGTGTAAGGTTTGAGAACGTCCCGTTTGCACGTTTTGAGGTCTCCGTATCAGATTCGGTAATTGTTGCAGATATTTGGTTCTGTGTCGAATGAGCCGTTGCCCGTGCTTTCGGACTAACTAGCTTGTAAATAAACGTGTAACTTAAAAAAATTGACTATTTACTGGACGTCAGGTGTAAAACACGACCGCGGCGCGCTGAGTGGAACTTTCGCACGAAGTTTTGAGAACAGACTCGGGGCCCTTTCGGACCAGTCGGCTGCGTGAACAAATCCGATTGGTGCTTATTTCAACTGGGGGAGGCGTACGTACGAAGGAAGGACCCGTCATCCCCGTACGGCTGTACAGTACTTGCCAGAAACACCGATCGGTCACTGGACAGGTCGTACGATACCTGGTTGCTTGGCTGCTGTCATCCCATCCCATGATTCCCATCCCATCACTCTCCCTCAGTCGTACCGTTCGTACGAAGTTGTGACATGACACGTCTGCGGATTTGTTTCGCGCCTAGGCGGAACCTTGGAGTTGCACTGCCCCCTCCAGCAAGCAGAGAGCAGCATGCTTGACGGGAGGAAGCCATGGCCACGCTGATTCTGTTTCCCTCGTACAATGCGACCAACCATTTCCTCTCCTTCCTTTCTTCGTGGTTCTCTCCAAGCTGAAGCCTGTCTTGCCGATAGTCACCTCATTTGCAGACTTTGTTGAGCTTTTCTTCCCTTCGCCACAGAAGCAGCTTCTAGGTCGGTTTCGCGGATTGCTGTACTAGCGGCCAGGTCAGCTGTCGAACCAGCCACGTCATTCCCGTCTGCAGAACTCCCTTCTCCAACTGGTGAAGGGACAGGTTCGGCTAGTGCAGTGAGTACGACAGAAGGGCTTTTGCTTGTCCGAGTTACGAAGACACTCTTCAGTGTCAGACAACGGGTGGACACGGAAAGAGAGACCTGCGATGTGCAACAGTTGCACGCCTCAACCTTCCCCCTGGGGCACTTTTTGAACGAGCGAAGAGAGCAGAGCAAGATATTTTACCGTGAAGTAGCTCGCCATTGTGGACATTGAAGGAAAGAAAAAGAGGACACAGCTGGTCCAGGACAGCTCGTTTTATCTCCCACGTTTCGCTCTCCACGCGTGTCGTCTGGGTTGCCACGGGCTTTGATCGTGGTCTGGAGACATAAAGGCACGCCTTACCCTCATTGCCTCGAGTTCCCGTACCACTGCGTTATCGGAATAGTACTCACTGTATATCGTAGTGGGGCATCCTCCCTAAATAAGTGTTGCCTAGTTCCGTCCGTCCAGACGTCTTCGCCAGCACCTTGTGCTTAATCGGCGAAAAATCTTCAACTGGTAACCACGTAACCACTACCAGCCATGGATCACGATATGAGCTCCATGGGCCACGATATGAGCTCCATGGGCGGCGGAGGAGGCTCCGCATCCGCCGGCGTGGACACCTCCAGTCCTAACTACGACCCGGACGCTCCCACCAACAGCACCAGCAGCGCAACCGGCGGGAGCGGGTCCATGTCGATGATGATGATGCAGATGTGGTTTTACTGGGGCCCGAAGGTGACGATTCTCTTCGAAAACTGGACGACGAGCGGGTGGGGGTTCTACCTGCTCGCGTGCTTCCTCGTGGTCGTCTTCTGCGTGCTCCACGAGTTTCTGACTTCGTTTCGACTGAAGCTGTCCGCCACTCGCCGCTGCCGCGTGAAAGACGCCGAGCAAGGGTAAGCGTTTCTGACATGTTACCCTCCCTCCCCCCCTCCCCCCCACCCCCCTGTCCTCTTCTGCGTGCTCCACGAGTTTCTGACGTTGTTTCGACTGAAGCTGTCCGCCACTCGCCGCTGTCCCGTCAAAGACGCGGAACAAGGGTAAGTAAATTCGGCGTGTTTCCATTCCTTCCCCCCCCCCGCCCCCCCTCCCCCCCCTTTCCTCCTCCCTCCCCCCTCCTCTCTCCCACTTCCTCCCACTTGCCTCTTTTCACCAAGTCGTCCGCCTCGTTGCTCCATTGCCGCAGACCTCTCTCGCCTCTTCCCATCGCCCCTTGATCGCCCTCCCCTTCCTCACACTCCTCACTGCTCATCCCTTTCCCCTGCACCCTCACTCTCACCGCTCCTGGCCTCACCTGTCTCTCCTATTCCGTACTCTCACTGACCCCCAATCATCCCTACCACCCCCGTTCGCTACACTCACTGCCGTTACTGCTTCCACTCATCGGTTTTATCGCTCTCAATCACCTGGCCTTACCTGTCTCCCCCTTTTCCCGCACTCTCACTGACCCCCCATCATCCCTACCAACCCCCACTACTGCTCCCACTCATCGGTATTATCGCTCCAACTCACCTGACCTCCCCCCATCTATCCTCTCCAGTGCTAGCGACGGCGTCGGCAAGAAGTCCCGCCAGTGGCGCTCCCTCCTTGACCACCTTGCTGTGACTGGCAAATGCGCTCTCAAGCTCACAGTCAGCTTCTGCTCCCAATAATTCTCTCCATCGCTCCCACGCACCCCACCCTCCTGAATCCCCCCCCTCTCCATCGCTCCCTGCTCCCTCTTTTTACCCTCACCAGTGCTAGTGACGGCGCTGGCAAAAAAGCCCACCAGTGGCGCTCCCTCCTTGACCGCCTGGCTGTAACGGCAATATACGCACTCAACCTGACATTCAGCTACGCTATAATGCTCATCGTTATGAGCTTTAACATCGGCCTCTTTATTGCGGTGGTTCTCGGCCTCACTATTGGCTTCTTCTTTTTCGGAGCCAAGAGGCGGAAGAACTCGTCTGAACGGCCGGAGAATGAGGAGGTGCTTGAAGAAAACTGCTGCGGCGGTGGGACTTCTGATGCTTGCTGCACTGCTCCATAGAGGGGATGTTGTTGGGGTTTTTAAAACTGGTATAAGAAACAAATCCTTGTAGATAAGGGTGGGTAAATGAGGGCGTTTCCACAAGGATGTATCTTTGATGTGGGTTTGTTCGTAAATTGTGATTGTTCTCGTAAGTAGTGACCACCCTTGCTCATATGCACAAAACGAGGAGCAGCCAGATGCCAGAAGTGGCAGTACTGATGCAATAGAGTTATCAGAAGGGTCTAGTTTGTGCTTTTGTGCGTCTTGTGCAATTTACAGCAATGCAGTGCCAGGTTTTATTTCATCGAATTTAATCTCGCGCCTTGTATCCAAAATCGGGTGCGCGAGAAGCGCATATGCCTTATCCCGTTTGTTGCGTTCTTCCTGACAATGAGTCGCCGAATTGTGGGAGGATATGCCGCCAAAATTGTGTGACGGTTCTCCTCGAATCGCTACTGCGGCTCGGTTTGATCTGGTCTTGGTGAGCATGGTTTTCAAAACTTGCAGCCCTGTTCCCACAACGAATTTCCCTATTTTTCAAGGTCGTCACACTTCATGTTTCGGTTGTCGGTGCCCAGGAGAAACGAGTGTATTCCACGAGGCATATTGTGGCGAGAGAATCCAGAACAGGCCTTCAAGTTCTTTCGTGCTGGAATCTGATGGAACGACGTGCCGCTAAAATCAAATCATCCAACCGAACCTAACCCAAACCTATCCAGTTCTCCACACATTTTCTTCCATCATTTGCGAAAGCCTGAAACTGCTGCTGAAACTGAAGCTCATAGCTCTCTCAAGGTTGGAGCTTCTCAGAGTTCTTAGGTTGAAGCTTGCCCGCTCTCCCGACCCGCGTGTCCTCGCCTTCCGCTATCTGCTCTACGATACCCTTTGAGCCACCTCATTCCTGTCATCACGTCTTCCGCTCCGCTCGACAGGCTAGTCAAGGGACTCGCGCCGACTAGGCTACAGCCGGCAGTTTGCAGTAGAACAGGTTTACAAACGCCACGCAGGTTTCGCGATATTGTACCTTGCAGCTAGCCACGTCGCTAAGGGAGAAAGGGGGTTAGACTCAAATCGAGGTGCGATATCATCATTTTTAATTCCTTCTAGCGTCGCGCGTCGCGTTCTGACGTCTTCTGTCCTCCCTTCTCGTACCTCGCCACATTGCAGAGTCGTATACCACCGAAGCGCCTTAGGTAGCGTCGCGGCGGCGAAGTAATCACCCAGTCAGTTACCGCCCCAGCCACTCTCATGACCCACAAGTTCTTCTCGACGGCGCGGAGGCTATTTTAGTGTCAAAACATTGGGAGCTATTTCCGCTGAAATCCCTGGAGGTGGTTCTTTAGAAGACGCCGAAGTTTCCTGAAATCCTGAAGGCAATCTCTAAACTTACTCGAGAGCCACACGCGATCCTTGGGGGCCGCCACTTATCGTTTTTAAAACGAGAGACTAACTGCTTTTCTGTGGCCGCCACTTACTAGTAGTTATTTTTGTCTGCTTTTATCGCAGCCCCGACCGGCTGGAAGCCGCCAGCACTCTTCATTAAGGACCGCGCGACCGGCAGGAGGATTCTTTTTTAACCGCTAACCGTGAAACCGTGTAACAGCGTAATCGTGAGCGTAACCGTAAGTGAAGTCAATAGGGTAACCGTTAGTCACGACATTGCGCGATGGATCATGATATGATGGATCACGATATGAGTGGCATGGGTCACGACACAAATGCCATGGGTCACAACATGACGGCCGTGGGTCACAACATGACGGCCATGGGTCACAACATGATGGCCGTGGATCACAACATGACGGCCGTGGGTCACAACATGACGGCCGTGGGTCACAACATGACGGCCGTGGGTCACAACATGACGGCCGTGGGTCACAACATGACTGCCATAGCTCACAACATGAGCGGCTCTACTCCAACTACTAGCATGTCGATGACCGGCGACGGCGGAATCTGCACCGGTGGAGCCTGCGGCGGAGGAGCCAGCGGCGACGGGAGCGCGTCAATGTCGACAATGGCGATGACGCCGACAACGGGGACAATGGCGTCGACGGGGATGACGCAGATGTGGCTCTACTGGGGCCCGACCGTGACGATCCTCTTTGAGAACTGGAGGACGAGCGAGTGGGCGGTGTATATCTTCGCGTGCTTCGCCGTGCTTGCCTTCTGCGTGCTCCACGAGTTCCTCACGTCGCTGAGGCTGAAGCTCAGCCAGGCCGCCAGCGGCCGCTGCCGCGTCAACGACGTCGAGCAAGGGTAAGCGTTCCTTACATGTTACCATGTCCCTTCCCCCCTCCCCTTCCCCCCTCCCCTTCCCCCCTCCCCTTCCCCCCATCTCCCCTTCCCCATGTACCATGTTACCACTACCCCCCCATCTCCCCCCTCCCCTTCCCCCCCCCACCATCCCGTCTGCGTGCTCCACGAGTTCCTCACGACGCTGAGACTGAAGCTGGCCGCCACTGGCATTCGCCAGCGGAGTTGCCGCGTCAACCGCGTCGAGCAAGGGTGAGTGGTTATGACGTGGTTCCCTCCCTATTCCTCCTCCTCCCCTCCCACTCCTGCACCCTTCCTCCCCCCACCCCACTCCTCATCTCTCCCCTTCTGCACCTCACCTCGCATGTTCCATCCCTTCTTTTCCTAACCTTGCCCCGTTCCTTATCGCTAACCCTTCACCCCACTCCTCATCTCCCCCCTCTGCGCTCTTACTCGCCTGACCCGTCACCCTCACCAATCACCCCTTCTGCTCCCTCCCGCTGACCCCTCATCATCCCTATGACTCCGGCTTGCTGCTCTCATTACCTCCGTTGCTCCATCTCACTACTTCCATCACTCCCACTCACCTGGCTTCTCCCCTATCCGCTCCAGTGCTAAGGGTGGCGCCAGCAAGACTTCCCGCGACTGGCACCCTCTCCTAGACCGCCTCGCTGCAACCGGCATATACACGCTCAACACCACATTCAGCTACACCATCATGCTTATTATCATGAGCTTTAATATCGGTCTCTTCATCGCGGTGGTTCTTGGTCTCTCTATTGGTTTCTTCTTGTTTGGATCGAAGAGGCAGGGGAACTCGCCGAATAACCAGGAGTTCCAAAAGGTGCAGGAACAAAACTACTGTGAAACTTCTGGTGATTGCTGCGCCGCCCCATAAGGTGCAACTGTATGGGAGTACTGACACCGTGGTTTGGAAAACACTGATCCTGTACAGACAGACGAAGAGAGTAAGGGGAGGAGATGGATTAGAAGAGGGAAATGCTGATGCCAGACCCATGAGCAAGATGCGGTTGCTAGGTGAGTAGGATCTGTTGTACGGTGTGCACGTGTTGCGTGTGTTTTGTATGTGCATGTCAACTATGGTAATATTGTAGCAGAAATGGCTTTTCCTGTAGTCGGGGATGATTGTGATATTGCAACACACCCAATTGAAGCACATAGCAAACATGTGTTCAGGTTTCAAGCTGCCAGTTTTTCATGTAGTGGGCGGGTGGAGGGCACCAATGATGTGTGAGATATCGGAGCCTTTTTTGGTGGGAATAGGAACAGCTGGCCGCGGCTGGTGTAACAAATTGTTGTGCTAAAACCCGAAATCTGAGCCAAGGGTATTACGCCTAGTAACGCGAAGGGGTGCTTGGGAGAAGCGAGAGCGTGGATTGGCTGACGAAGCGTGTCCCTGAAGTAACCACAGTCCCACCCTGCATGGCCCTTCTTCCTTTCCTCTGGTGGCTGACCACCAAAGGCGCTCAAATACACCCCCATGGCCCGCTCCCTGATTCGTTACGTTCGCAACTGATTTCGCAGAGCCGCGCTGAGCCGTTCGAACCTCTCCCCCCTGCGCACAGGCTGCGCCTGCTTCAGTCTTGCGCGCTGGAAAACTGCCAAGGTGTTGCGCCGACTGTCTTTCATCGCATGCCACTCTCCCTGCTTCCTCCCGCTCTCCCCCGCTTTCCCCCCTCTTTTCCCCCACTTTCCTCCGCTTCACCACGCCTTCATTGCCAGCCGCTCCCCTCCCGCCCCCTTCTCCCCCACCCTTCCCCTCCGTTTCTGCCTGCTCCCTAGGGTGTAAGTAAATACACCTGCCTCTTTTTCGCCTCCTCTTCTCCGGCTCCTAAGGCCGTCTCGCTCGTCTTAGGGTTAGTCCGCGTCCTCTAAAAACACTACCTAGCAGAAGAAGCAGCAGCCATGGTGTCCCTTAAGCTCCAGAAGCGGCTCGCGTCGAGCGTGCTGAAATGCGGGCGGAACAAGGTGTGGATGGACCCCAACGAAGTGAACGAGATCTCCATGGCCAACTCCAGTGCGTCTCCTCTCTACACCCTGACTCATTATTAGGATTCTCGTTAGCGCGTATGTCGTTCGGGTGTCGTTGACGTCTGCAGGTTAGCTCTCCCTATGTCTTACCACGCAGATCGTTGTGTCATCTCCAAACTGGTGAAGGACGGATTTATCATCCCCAAGCCGCAGGAGATGTTCGGAAACTCTTGAATTATGTGCGTCCTCCCCCCCCCCCCCTCCCTCTGTTCTCCCCCTTCTTCCCCCTCCCCCCTTCGCCCCCTTCTTCCTCCCCAGGATCCGCAAGCTCGTCAAGGACAGCTTCATCATCCGCAAGCCGCAGAAGATGTGTTCTGCGTCTTATTGTGTACCTTACTCTCCCCCCCTTTACCACTCCCTCCCCCCCCCCCCCCCCCCTCCTCCCCTCCCCTCCAGGGCAAAACATCCGCAAGCTCGTCAAGGACGGCTTCATCATCCGCAAGCCGCAGAAGATCCACTCCCGCTTCCGCGCCCGCCGCCTGCTCGAGGCCAAGAGGAAGGGCCGACACACCGGGCATGGTAAGGTTGATAGAAATAGCGCTTGACAGAGTCTGACCTGGCGCGGGCTGCTTGATAGAGTAGCAATAGTCTAGTGGTAAGGTGCCGCCGCCTGCTCGAGGCCACGAGGAAGGGCCGACACACCGGCGGGGAAAGGCCACGAGTTAGGGCGAAGAGTTAGGGCGAAGAGTTAAGACGAAGACGAAGGGCCGACTGACCGATAGGGGAAAGCGCCCGCCGACTGTTCGAGGCCAAGAGGAAAGCAGACAAGACCGCCCACGGTAACAACTAGGTTCTCTTCAAATGTGATAGTGATTCGTAGTGATAGTGACTATAGCGACAGTGAGCTCCGTCGAAAGGCGCCCGCCGACTGCTCGAGGGCAAGCGGGAGGGCCGACACACCGTGCGCCTTTCGGGAGGGCCGACACATCGGGCGCCCTTCGAGCGCCTTTCGGGAGGGCCGACACATCGGGCGCCCTTCGAGCGCCTTTCGGGAGGGCCGATACACCGTGCGCGATTCGTTCAATAGATTCAGTGATGGACAGTGATAGTGGTAACTAGGATGTATTTTGAGTCGACTCAAAATACACATGGACAGTGATAGTGGTAACTAGGATCGTGGCAGAGACCGCATGCGCGGGCTATCGCTGTAGGCCCTTCGGGAGGCGCTTCCTGTCCTCTAGGCATTCGGAGTGTGTTTCCGAGAAATTTCGAAAGCACTCGCCGTCCCCTAGGCATCTGGGACCCGATATTAAGCGCTGCTGACTCCGAGTAGCGGTAGCTTTGGGTTAGAAATAGGCTTGTCGAATCAAGCGACCGATTACGCCAGGATGAGCTGTGGTTGAAGATGCGAGATCCTGGATATGCCAGCGTTCGCCCCAGTCGCTGTTTTGAGCTCATCTCGGAGTGGGTGTTTTCTACAGTAAATTCGCGATATTACTCACCATTTGGAAGGAGTGGCAGTTTCTGGATCCGCCGTACTTCCCCGTATCGTCCGTAGGCTCCCGGGTGCGTGATAGGAGTCTAGTTTTGAGGCGCCTCAAAACTAGACTCCTATCACGCGGTTTTTGAGGCGCCTCAAAACTAGACTCCTATCACGCGGTTTTTGAGGCGTCTCAAAACAGTTTCTGGATCCGCCGTACTTCCCCGTATCGTCCGTAGGCTCCCGGGTGCGACCGGTTGCAGACATTACGCGAACGTCGGCTGGTTTAAGTCTTCGGGCAGTTTTAGGTGTAGCTGGCCGTTTCTCCACGAGGTAGGAGGAGCGGAGTCGAGCTAGCATAGGTTTCTGAGTCCACTCAGAAGTATTTTTGGGCAAACCTACGTCTAGCTGGCCGTTCCTTCCGGAGCAGGAGGAGCGGAATTGAGGCCCTCGTGCGAAGTCGACCGACTGGTGAGGCGCCTCAACATTTGAGTTAAGCTGATTTTTGAGAATTCTCGAAAACCAACTCACCTAACTTACCTCCAACTTACCTCCAACTTACCTCCATCTTGCCTCCTGCTGACTCAGCATGACTTCTGAGTCGACTCAGGAGTCATCTTCGAAATGCGCACTCTGTTCATGCTGACTCAGCATGATAATGCTCAATGCTTCTGATGCCGGGTGCACCGCCGCGGCACCCGGGAGGCGCCGCGGTACCGCGGGAGGCGCGGCGGTACCGCGGTACCCGGGAGGCGCGGCGGTACCGCGGTACCCGGGAGGCGCGTCTCCTCAGGTGCAGCGGCTTCTGTTGATGCCAAGTATCCATCAACTCGCTATCCATTAACCCACTGTGACCCCGTCCCCCACCCCATGCCCCCCTACTTTCTGATCACTCGCGTAGGTAAGCGCCACGGTACCCGGGAGGCGCGTCTCCCCACGAAGGTGCTGTGGCTGCGCCGCATGCGCGTGCTGCGTCGCATGCTCAAGCGCTATCGTGAGGCGAAGAAGATCGACAAGCACCTGTACCACGAGCTCTACATGAAGGTACGACGAGTGGGCTTTAAGTTGGGTGCAAGGGCTTTGAGTGCAGGTGAAGAGAGGTGAGGAGGGGTGAGAAAAGGTGAGGAGGAGTGTATAGAGAGGGTGAAGTCAGGGTTTGGAGTGATGGCGAAGGGAGGAGGTGAGTGAAGACCAACCAGCACCTGTACCGCCGTGTACACGGCTGCGAGAAGCAGCCGTGTTTCATACTCGCGCTCGTTCCTCTGTATCACATTCGTTTCTATCTTCATTTAGGTGAAGGGTGGCGTGTACAAGAACAGGCGCGTGCTCATGGAGACCATGCACCCTGAGAGTATTCATACTCGTTACTGTGCTCTCCGTTCTCGTTTCTAACCTCCAGGTGAAGGGTGGCGTGTACAAGAACAAGCGCGTGCTGATGGAGAGCATCCACAAGCTCAAGGCGGAGAAGGTTCGCGAGAAGACGCTCACCGACCAGTTCGAGGCGCGCCGCGCCAAGAGCAAGGCGTCCCGGGAGCGCAAGATCGCGCGGCGGGAGGAGCGGTTGGCGCAGGTGAGATTCCCATGAGCGGAAGGAGAAGGAGGGGAGGGGAAGGAGAAGGGTTTCGGGATTGTACAGGTGTTGTTGTGATAGAACTTGGTTTTGAGGCGGCTTCAAACGGGTCAGTTTGGGGCGTGCACGCCAAGAGCAAGGCGTTCTGGGAGCGCAAGATCGTGCGGTGGGAGGAGAGGTTGGCGCAGGTGAGAGGACGGGGGGTGTTTTGTGATTAAAGACTGGATTTCTGTGGTTCTTGAAGGGTGTTTAGGCGGGTTCAAGGCATGCTGCGTCAAGAAGAGTAAGGCTTCCAGGAGAGGAAGACGTGCGGTGGGAGGAGAGGGTCGGGAGGAGAGGGGTGGGAGTAAGGCTGGTGAGGCGAGGTGAGATAATCTCACCTGCGCCACCCGGTGCCTGGTGGTTTTAGACTGGCGTATTGTGGTTTTGACAGATGGGTTCAGTGCGGTGAAACACATGATGCGTGAGGTGTGCAGGCTGCTGGTACTTTCCTTTCTGCCCCAACTCTCACTTACTCCCAACCTTTTTTTTCAGGTTGTCTCACCTTTCCCTCACTTGTCATGTTTTCCATCCATCTTGTTTTCTGCAGGGCGTTCAGGAGCCTGTTGCTACGGAGGCTGCTGCTTTTTTTGCCTCGTGCCTCAAATTTACTCCTTTCTTTCCGCCCATGGATTGTTCCCTCCCTTGCCTCCCGTGTTTTCTGCAGGGTGTTCAGGAGCCTGCTGCTACGGAGGCTGCTCCTGCGGCCAAGAAGTGAACTTTATAACATGTTACGGAGAAGGCTTGATGGTACTGACGAATTTAGATGTGTTAAGATGATGCTGGGTTTTGAGATTGGCTGTGCTGAGCATAGGGTTTGTGGTACACCAATGTTCATGCTTACACCCAAATCTCATTTTCAAGTGATTTTCACTGCACTATCTTGTACAGGCTTCTGTGATATGATATGGAAGCGAGTACGAGGATACTTTTTTCCCTTAGCCAAATATTGGCTGCGTTCTGCAGGCAGAAAAGGGAAGTGCAGATTGCATCAGAGCACCTTCCGAAAGCCTGATTTTTTGCTTCGGTTCGAGGGTCAGCCTGCAAAATTTCGTCCAAACCTGGCACAAGGTACCCAAACCTAGTTACATCAACATGCCTGCAGAACAGGTCCATGTACAGATGACATCTACGTCAGGGAAACACCCCCCTCGCTTCCCTCCCTGGCAAATTTAACGCAAAGGTGACGCAATGCTGACGTTCGCTAAATCGCGGAGTTCACCTCAATTTGGCTCCTCTCTCAATGTGGCGTTACATCAGCCTCAATTTGGCTCCTCTCTCCTTTCGCTTGCGCTTTCCACAGTTTGGCGCGTTGCTTCCAAGCGAGGTTTGGAAAGTGCACCTGGTTTGAGTGGTAACCAGTGCTCTCGAAGTCGCTTGAGGAGCTTCCTCAATGTCGACGTCGACGTCGACGTCAAATGCCTGTAGAACACAGCCATTATATTGCAGGCGGTAGCAGCTAAGTACACACCAACTTCGTGGGGTCCGGATTCGCTATGAGCAGCTGAGGGAATGCGGATACTAAGACGATGTTACACCAGATCACTTCTAGATATATGTCTTAGAAACTTAGGACACGAGCCTCTTAAACTTAGGAGGCTAGGTAGGCTAGGATACTAGAAGTGACGCCATGGAATATCGTGAGGAGAAGTTTATCTAGGGGTAGGCAAAAGTGACGAGAAAGAAGGGTTCGAATAGGAAGAGAGGGGAGTACAAGGAGGGGTTTGTACCCCCTACAGAAAGGTTCAGTAACAACCTACCAAGCCTATATTAAATTATAACTTATATAATTTTAACACACCCCCTAGGCTTGGTAGTCGCACACCCACCCAACCCACCCCCTAACCCCGCACACCCTCAAGCTCGTGCTTAGCCGGGTATCTGACCCTCGTGCAAAGCGTTGACACACCCCCGTACACGAGGCAGCCTACGGCGTCTGGGCGGGTCAGCGACAAGCAGCGGCGGAGCTCTGGCTCAAGGCGGCTGGGTCGCCGACAACAGGCGGCGACCGCCGCGGCTGAGGGCTCTCGGTGATGTGGCAACGTCCGGGCAGAAGACAGCAGCTGCGACAGGAGGAGGGGAAGACGCAGGGGGAAGGGAGAATGGGGGGGGGGGGGGGGGGGCGGGGCGAGTCTTCAGCGACGCGCCATAAATGGCGCGGCGCTTACTGGCGGGAGGACGTCGTCCTGAGGGACGCCCGTGGCTGGCGAGCGGGCGGCAGGCCCGGCGACGCCACAGATGTCGCTCGGCCGGCCGCAGCCCGACGATGCCGTCGGCTGCCGTAGACGCCGCCGCAGCGCACCGTCAATGTCGCAGCGGTGAGGCGGACGGGCGACGGCTGCACCAAGGGGCCGTCGCGACACCTTGGCGCCGCGACGGCAGGCAACGAGGGGCCGTCGCGACACCTTGGTGCCGCGACGGCGGGCAACCAGGGGCCGTCGCGACACCTTGGTGCCGCGACGGCAGGTAACAAGGGGCCGATGCAACATCCTGGCGTCGCGACGGCAGGCAGGCAGAAAACCGCGAAGGCTGCGAATGCAGCAGGAGTACGCAACGGGTACGTAGGGAGAGGGTCCGGTGGACACGACCGGCTCTGATACCATCTTAGAAACTTAGGACACGAGCCTCTTAAACTTAGGAGGCTAGGTAGGCTAGGATACTAGAAGTGACGCCATGGAATATCGTGAGGAGAAGTTTATCTAGGGGTAGGCAAAAGTGACGAGAAAGAAGGGTTCGAATAGGAAGAGAGGGGAGTACAAGGAGGGGTTTGTACCCCCTACAGAAAGGTTCAGTAACAACCTACCAAGCCTATATTAAATTATAACTTATATAATTTTAACAATATGAAGTTTGGATGCACTATAACGTAGATGGAGCAACAGGCCCAAAACATGCTTTAGCTAGCAACCCCTTGGAGAACAATTTTCAGTCACACGCACCAGAGAGCCTATCAATCCGCTCAAGGCAGGCTTGTGCGCGGCAATCTCCTGGTCAATAACTTGAAGCCGTGAGTCCGCTCGCGACACCCCCCTTGTCAGAAATTCCCTCGAGAGCGCATCCAATTGCACGACTTTAATAATTGCACAGTACAGCAGATCTATGTGATAAATACATGGACTACACCTCGTCACATGCGCCAGAAAGCCTATCAATCCGCACAAACTCATCATCAAGACTATTCTCAGGCTTGCGCGCAGCAATCTCCTTGTCGATAACTTGAAGCCGCGAGTCAGCTCTTGACATCCCCTTCGTCAGAAATTCCCTCGAGAGAGCATCCAAGCGCGCCACGACTTCAGTCATGTGCGGGCGCGAGGATGGAGGCATGTCGGTGCATCGGAGAGCGAGCTCGACCACTTGGAAAAGTAGCTCGTCCGGCGTAGCACTGAGGTGGGGGTCTCTGAGACCCTCGGCGTCTTGAGCTTGCACGCAACGCGCAGCCTGTAACGGGGATGGCGAAAATATTGGGGGGGGGGGGAGGAGGGGTGAGGGATGGGCAAAATATTGTGGGCGCGAGGACGGAGGCATATCGGTGCATCGCAGAGCAAGCTCGACCACCTGAGTGTGGGAGAAGGGGGGGTTGGGGGAGGGTGAAAGCGATTCGGTGCAGGCATGCGCGAGTATGGAGGCATGTCAGTGCAGCGCAGAGCAAGCTCAACCACCCACAAAAGAAGCTCGTCCGGCGCGGTACTCCTCAGATGGGGGTCTCTGAGACCCGCGGCATCTCGAGCTTGCACGCAACGAGCGGCCTGTAACGAGGATAGCAAGAGATTGTGGTTGCTGAAGTATGGAAGTAAGGATCGTGGTGCGCAGTGGAGGGTAGTGTGGAAGAAACACATACTATGCATTAAAGACACATGCATTATGTTTGCTAAGAAATCACATGTACTGTGCTCACCCAGTCTTTAATGTTGGTGTCTTGGCCCGACTCTTGAATCACAGTAGGTTTTGTCAGCATCACCTCCAGCATCAGCACGCCAAAGCTGTTAGGGGTAGGGAGGATTAACATAAACTATATATCTTGGAGCACAAGCTGTTGGTGTCTTTCCTGTGCCAGTCTCTTGAATCTCCATCGGCTTTGACAGCATCACCTCCAGCATCAGCACGCGAAAGCTACGAGGGGTAGGGAAGATCAACAGACACTTAGTATCTCAGCTCACTGCGTGACCTTTCCTCTGTGCCAGTCTCTTGAATCACAATAGGCTTAGTCAGCATGACGTCCGCCAAAGCTGTGAGGGACAGGCGAGATGAACAAAGAAGAAGAGAGATTGGTGGGGAAGCTTTTGAGTGATTGGTGCTTCCCCACCAACTCAAAAGCAAACAAGAAGAGAGATTTTGCAGGGTGTTTTTGAGAACTCTCGAAAACACCCTGCAAAACTAACTCAAAAGCAAACAAGAGAGATTGGTGGGGAAGCCACACGACGGTGCACGTCAGCCGTGGGGGTGGTTTTGTTGGTGGAGTGGAGTGCACTTCTGAGGCCTTCAGAGGTGCCTCAAAAGGCTTACCATGCACGTCAGCCATGGGGGTGGCCTTGTTGGTGGAGTGGTGCTCAGCCAGGGTTCACCAAAAGGCCACGTGATAGAAGATCTGTTTTGAGATCTCAAAACGAATTTTCTGCTCTTGGGTCGACTCAAAAGCAGATCTGTTTTGAGATATGGATCTCAAGGCAATTCTTATTTTGCAGACATTTTGAGGCCTTTTGAGACGCCTCCAAAGGCTTAACTGTCCACGTCAGCCATGGGGTTGGCTTGAATTGACCCATCTGCATGCACCTGATCATTCACCTGGGCCCACCGGCCACGGGTTTGGCTTTGTTTTTTCCCACTTGCTGACACAAGCCACCTACCTGTGCACGTCAGCCATGGGGGTGGCCTTGTTGGCGCGCATTCTGCTTTAGGGGGGCCTCAAACGCGTACCTATGGACGTCAGCCATGGGGGTGGCCTTGTTGATGCGCATTCTGCTTTAGGGGGGCCTCAAACGCTTACCTATGGACATCAGCCATGGGGGTGGCCTTGTTGGTGCGGGAGTAAGCGGGGTCCACATAGCCCGGAGTGCCGACCACTCTGGTGGGATTCACCGTGGTGCCCTCCGTCATGCGCACCAGCCCAAAGTCCGACACCTTGGCCTGGAGAAGGGGGAGGAAGGTGAAGGCAGAGGGGGGGGATAACGGGGCGATATGAAGCGATGCGTTGGATTCACCGTGGTGCCCTCCGTCATGCGCACCAGCCCGGAATCAGACGCCTTCAGCTGGAGAAATGTGTCGAGGAGGGACATGGGCGTAAGAAATTGCAGTCACGCGCACCAGTCCCAAGTCCTACACCTTGGCCTACGAAGGGAAGGCAGTAAGGGAGAAGGGGCTGATGCACAGGCACTCGTGTGAGTCACTGTGGCGCCCTCCATCTTGCACACCAGACCGAAGCCTGACACACGTGCCTGGAGAAGGGGGATGCAGTGAGGGGGATAAGAGGGCGACCAAAGCCACTCATTGTTGTAACATATATATCTATACAACATGCATGCCTAGATTAGGAGGTGTAGTCATTCTAATTATTGGGGGTTGTTGGTTGGGTTGACCAACCCCACATTTGGGTTGGTCAAGATTGGATTTGGTCCTAGACATTTGGTTGGCACTATTCCAACCAAATGGTCCTTGGTCCTAGGAACCAACCAATCACCAAGCACCACACTTTGTGGTTGCTTGCCTTCCAAGCAATCTCTCTCATTGGTCCACATTGTGGCCAATCGGAGAGCACCACACTTTGTGGTTGCTTGCCCTACAAGCAACCTCTCCCATTGGTCCACTTTATGGCCAATAGGAGAGCTTCCCTTCCAACTCTTTCTTGCTCCTTGTTTTGTACAAAAGAGCCTCTTGGCTCCCTACTCAATTCAATCTTTTTTCTTCCAAGCTAATTCCTTCACTCATTGGATTCACAAAGCGACCTTTGCTAAGGTGAGGGGGTAGGGGAGGGGGTGGAAATTAGATATTGGTGTTTTGTGCACCGGGAGAACGTGAAACACTTTCGCTTGTAGGGAAATTTGCCATTATATCAACGTCATTGGTGTTTACCAACAAATACCTGCTCATGGAAAGAACACTGTTCACCCATACCGAACCTTCCTCCTCATTCCCCTCCCCTCACCTGCATGTTAGCATCGAGCAGCACGTTGGCGGGCTTGATGTCTCGATGCACGATGTCAAACTGGTGCAGGTACTCCAACCCCCGCGCCACCCCCGCCAGCACCTCCATGCGCTGCTGCAGCGTCAAAGTGCCTTTTTGGGTCCCTGCAAAAGGGGAAAGTGCGGTGAATTAGAACAGATCGGTGAAAGAGAATTAAACAAATACGTTCTTTTATACGTCAATCGTAAACGAGCACTGTCAACTCTACTTGGCACTGCTACAGCATTATCGCTCTAGCATACGCATCTGTAGTTGGCAACAAAAGACTTAGTTATTATAACCAGCCTCTGTATTGCTTAATTTGCGACAGTGAAAGCATGACACATCTCACGACTTTTGAGGCGCCTCAAAAGTCAGTGACACATCTCACATCTCAGTGAACAGCCTCAAAAGTCAGTGACACATCTCACATCTCAGTGAACAGCCTCAAAAGTCGCTTAATTTGCGACAGTGAAAGCATGACACATCTCGCGCAGAAACCTGGCTTTCAAGGTCACTCCAAACAGATTGAGCTCCGCTACTTCTTCATTCGTGAGCAGCTTGCTTTAGAAAATACATCTCACGCTCGCCAATGTTGCCTCTTCCGCTGATCTTGCGGACATCTTCACAAAGGCCCTCCATTGTGACATGAACTGGTGACTATGACCCTCATTTTGATTTAACCCTACTTTCCACTTCATAAGGTGTTCTCTCGCACAAAGTGTCTAAGGAAAAAAAAGTGTTACTTGGCGCTTCTTATTAAATAATTCCTAGCTTCCCCATCCTCTTCAGCCTCACATACCTCCACTGAGGTACTTCTCGAGGTCCCCATTGGAGCAGAACTCATAGATGACGATCTGCTCGTGGTGCTCTGTTGCCATGTCCATATCCACACAGTACCCCAGCAGCCGCACCAGGTGAGGATGGCTCTTCGACGCCATCTCCTCCACCTAGAAGGGAGAGCATGGGGAAGAGGAAATGGCGTCGAAGAGCCATCGACAAGCATGAAGAGAATGAATGATGGCTCTTTGGGAAGAGGAAATGGCGTCGAGGAAATGGCAAGCATGAAGAGAATGAATGATGGCTCTTCGGACGACAAGGCAAGCAGGGGACAAAAAAAAACTTATCCAGCACAATCTTCGTCAACTCTGGGATTTCAAATACCACTACTCTCCACAACCATCCTCATTGAGAAACCTTCAAAATCTTCAAAATTGAAACGTCATTGAGTCATCCACACACTGCCTTCGCCTGCACTCACCTCTCTTTGCCCACACCCCCAAGGGATCATCATGAGACAAACAGCCTCCCATACTCCCTAGCAATCTCTAGCTCATGGCCTTCAACCCACACGCACCTCTCGCTTGAAGTCGTTTGTGAGTATCTTGGCTCGCTTCACGGCCCACACCACAGAGGGGTCAACAGGAGACACTCCCCGATACACCTCGCCATACCCTCCCGACCCAATGTGGTTCGCCTGCGCCCAGTTGTTTGTCGACTTGGAGACAGTGTCAAAGGAGAAGCGCTGGCACATGTGGGCATGGCTTGGCATAGATGAAACTTCGTCCGCATGCGCATCACTCGCGCCATACTCTGGCTCATGTGGCCCTGGAGGTGGGGGGGCGGCAGCAACGGATAAGATGGAAGATGAAACGGATAGAGTCGCACTTGGAGACAGTACCAAAGGAGTAGCGCGGGCACATGTGTGCATGGCTGTGTATGCCTGCTGTCGCCCGGTCACCCCCGTCGTGATCTGGGTTGTAACGCCTGGGTGGAGTGGAATCTATTTTTGAGACGCCTCAAAAATAGACTCCTCGTGCAAGGGATGGGATGCAAGCTTTGCAAGCTGACAGGGTTACATGCGGGTGGCTCTTGAGTGAGGAGTCTATTTTTGAGGCGCCTCAGAAATAGACTCCTCACGCATGATCTGGGTTGTAACGCCTGGGCGGAGGGGGGGGCAAGGGATGAGATGCAAGCTGACAGGGTTACATGCGAGTGGCTCTTGAACCACGGAAAGGCCACAGACAATTCTCTGGCTCGTGAGGCCCTGGAGGTGGGGGGGGGAAGGGATGGGATGTAAGCTGACAGGGATAGAGTTTTGAGGCGCCTCAAAAGGGGGGCAAGGGATGGGAGGGATGCCAGCTGACAGGGTGTTTTTGAGGATTCTCAAAGACAGGGATAGAGTTGCACGGCTTGGAGACAGCGTCAATGGAGCTGCACTGGCACATGTGCGCATGGCTTGGTGCTGGATGCCACTCCTTCCACCAATCGCTCGCACCAGTCACTCTAGCTCGTGAGTCCCCGGTGGGTGGGGCCCAGGGATGGGATGCAAGCTGACAAGGCGACAGTCATCTCGGAGACACTATCAAAGGTGCAGCTCTGGCACATGTGCGCATGGCTTGGGATGCCTTCGATCAGGCCATCACCCCCATCATACTCTGACAGGCCATCACCCCCATCATACTCTGACAGGCCATCACCCCCATCATAATTAAGATCATGACGTTCTGATGGGGGGGGGGGGGGAGGGGGGGGGGAGTAACAACTCTATTTATCAACAGAGCATTTTTCTACGGTTGCTGCCACATAAAGTAATGGTGGCCAAGTGGTTCTCCCTCGGACTTGGCATGCCTTCTATCGGGCCATCACCCCCGTCATACTCTGGATCAGGTGACTTTACAGAATTCTCAAAAGGCACTAGTGGTGGTGGGGGCAAGGGATGGGAGGCAAGTTGAAAGGGTTAGAGTCGCCGTGGAAAAAGTATCAAAGCAGTAGCGCTGGCACATGAGCACATGCCTGGACATGCCTTCTATCGGCCCATCACCTCATCATGCTCTGGATCATGAGGCACTGGTGGTGCTGGGGGGGGGCAAGGGATGGGGGGAAAACTGAAAAGGTTAGAGTCGCCTGGGGAAAGGTTAGCGTTGGCACATGTGCGCATGGCTTGGCATAGATGAAGCAACTTTTATCGGGCCGCATGAGTGCTGACTGTTGAGTCGACTGAAAAACTTGGCATAGATGAAACAACTTTCAGCAGGCCGCATGTCTGCTCACATCCTTCAAGTCGACGAAGCGACTAGCCTAAGTGGGCTACCCTCTTAGGCGACACTGTTTGTGATGGAATCAATACGCGTGCACTCCAATGTGTTTACAAAGGTGGAGCTGGTGGCAGAATTTGTGTCCATTACGACGATCAATACTTCACCTTGCGTGGGCCTTCGCTTGTAGAGAAGCAGTATTCCAATAACGAGGAGGGCGATAACGAGGACGCCTCCAACAGCAATGCCAATGATAGCTCCCAGAGAGAGACCCGAGGAAGAGGAGGGAGAGGAAGGAGAGGAGGAGGGGGGCGCGTCCATGGAGGGAGGCGGAATGGGAGGAGGAACGGGGCCACTGTAGCAGGAGGAGCAGAAGTCCTTGCACCAGTGGCAGAATTGCGACGAGGGGGTCTGCTTCACCACGCAGGGCTGCCCAGCTCCTTTGGGGCACACAGCACCACTCTCGTTTAGCTCACTGGGGGTGTGGGGGGGGGTGGAGGGGGGGTCGTGAGGGGGGAGGAGGGGAAGGGCCATTGTTACAACATTACACCTACCAAAACAAGGCCAACACTCAACACTCAGTTGCCAGCGCTGCTTCCCTCGGCTACACGCACAGCCTTCCCTACCACTATTGGTTATACCCCTACCTACATCAACAGTAGCCTCCCTTTTAGTCCCAGTCTTAACACTCACGGTTCTGTGAGGTGGAGGAGACTACCAAGGGTGAGTGTTGAGGCACCCCCCCCCCCTCTCACTCAACCCATCTCGCACACACTCACAGTTCTGTAAATGTTGAGGCATCCCTTCCCCTCTCACTCAACCCATCTCGCACACACTCACAGGTTAGTCAGTCTCAGGAGAGTTCCAAGGGTGGGAGGAACGGTGCCTGAGAGAGCATTGGTGGCGAAGCCCCTGCATGGAGGGCAATGCAAACGGCGGGATGATGTTGATGGCATGATAGCGTGTGTAATGAGTATATTCTTGAGTCGACTCAAAAATAGCCTCATTACACCCTGCATGGAGGGCAATTCAAATGGCGGGATGATGTTGATGGCATGATGGCGATGACAGGATTGGTGGCGGTAACGCCCCTGGGGTGCATCAGAACCAGTCCCTAGGGTGGGAGGGACAGTGCCAGAGAGAGCATTGGTGGCGAAGCCCCTAGATGGAGGGCAATGATGCGAATGGTGGGATGATGTTGATGGCATGATGGCGACATTTTTGAAATTTCTCAAAAATGATGCAAATGGTGGCACGATGGTGATGACATGATGGTGGTGGCATGATGGTGATGGCATGATGGTGGTATGGTGGTGGTTTGTGAGGTTCCGTGTGTTTTAACTTACAATACAAGTATGTGATGCTAAAAGCGTGTAATCTCACAGGTATGCGAGCTTACAGGTATGCGAGCTTACAGGTGTGTGAGCTTACAGGTACGTGAGCTTAGTGAGGCTTCCCAATACCGAAGGAATATATCCCGAGAACTGGTTACCGTCAAAATGCCTGCAGAGAGTGATGGGCAGTATGGGCAAAAGCATCGAGTCAGAGCCTTGCATAGGGAGAACTGATTACCGTCGAATTGCCTGCAGAGAACAGGGAAAAGTACGGGTTAAAACTAGTGCGTTAGTAATTTCGTTTTGGAACGCGATTTTTTTTTAACACACGGTTACTGTCAAAATGCCTGCAGAGAATGGGGAGTAATAGATGAACTACTATACAGGTGGGTTGCAGAGGCCTTATTTTCATCAAATCTGTTGGTTAGTACAACAAAACGATCTCCATAGGGCGAGACCGCGTTTGAAGGGGAGGAGAGAATTAAAGAGCAAAGAGCTGGAAAAACTCTATCGTTTCTAGCACAGCACTGTGTTGCTAATTGTACGGCTCATGCTCACAGCATGCCGAGCTAAACTATTTAGTCAGAGGGTTGCAGTGGGAGAATATATTAAACAGCGAAGGGCTGGAATAACTGCAACGATGCTGATTGTACTGCTCGTGCTCACAGCATGTTGAGATTGGTAAGGTCAGCAAAGAAAGACGGGATGGTGCCCCGAAAGATGTTGCGGGCGAAGTCACTGGGAGGAAAGCGGTGGTGGAAGGGATGTGATGATGTGTAATGAGTCGATTTTTGAGTCGACTCAAAAGTCACTGGGAGGAAAGGGGTGGTGGAAGGGATGTGATGATGGGGATGGGGGAAGAGATGCGATGGGGATGCATGGTGCGAATGTATCGATTGACAAGCATAGTGGCTGTCTTAAGAGACATTGCAGGCGAAGCCACTAGGAAGGTGGGGATGGTATTATATCCCATGCTGTGTGCTTTCACATGCATCCCATGCTGGGTACATGTGAGAGAGCTTCTTACGGGCGGAGAGGGGCATGAAACAAGTCCTTACAGCAGATGCATGCTCCTCATAAAACATCGAAGTGCATGACACACATACATCCCATGCTGCGTGCTGTCACATACATGTGAGAGAGCTTTTTAAGGGCGGAGAGGGTTCCTGGAATGCTGCCTGTGAACTGGTTGTAGAGAAGAACGCTGATAGGGGCCAAGAGAGAGAGGGGAGGGATAGATGGGAAGCAGGGAGAGGAGTGGGACACGAGGGAGGGGAGGGTTTCTGGAATGCCTCCTGTGAACTGGTTGTAGAGGAGGACGCTGGTGGGGTGGGCGGGAGGGAGAGGGGAGGGAGAGATGGGACGCGGGGAGAAGGGAGGGAGAGATGCGAGGAGAGGGGTTCTGGAACGCCTCCTGTGAGGTGGTTGTATGGGAGGAGGATGCTGGAGCGGTGGCCGGGAAGGATGAGAACGATGAGGGGGAGTGACGGGTGGGATGGGGGGGGAGTGATAAGGATGATACAAGTAGATACTTCCTTACATGATGCTCCTTTGCACATGCCGCACAGTGTGGCTTGCACATGTTGGAGTGTGGCTTGCACATGTTGGAGTGTGGATGGCACATGTTGGAGTGTGGCTTGCACATGTTGGAGTGTGGCTTGCACATGTTGGAGTGTGGATTGCACATGTTGGAGTGTGGCTTGCACATGTGTGGCCTGCACATGTTGGATTGTGGCTTGCACATGTTGATGTGTGGTTTGCACATGTTGGAGTGTGGATTGCACATGTTGGAGTGTGGCTTGCACATGTGTGGCCTGCACATGTTGGAGTGTGGCTTACACATGCCGCATGTTGGTGAGTTGCCCAAAACTCGAAGGGATGGATCCACTGAAAGCATTGTATGCAATGTCCCTGTTGCGGCGGGGGGGGGTTTTGAGGCGATTTTTGAGGCTGATTTTTGAGGCTGATTTTTGAGGCGATTTTTGAGGCGATTTTTGAGGCGCCTCAAAACTCGAAGCCACTGAAAGCATTGTATGCAATGTCCCTGTTGGGGTGGGGGGGAACACGAACAGGAAACACGGAGAGAGAACGCTGAGAGGCGGGACTCTCATAGAAGTTGGGCTACTGAAGAGCCGGGGCTCACAGAGATCGCCATCTCTTCTCTAAGAGAACGCTAAGAGACGGCACTCACACGGAATAGGGCTACTGAAAGACTCTAAGAGCCGGGACTCACAGAGAAGTGCCATCTCTTGGCGTTCTCTCCAAGAGAACGCTACGCTAGGCTAAGAGCCGGGCTGGAACTCACCGAGAAGCTAAGATTCTGAGAGGTGCTATTGCCAAAAGCACCTCCCCAGTGTGCTTTTGAGTCGACTAAAAACAATTGAGCTACTGAAGGACGCCAAGAGCCCAACTCACAGGGAAGTTAGACTTCTGAGAGATGCTATTGCCGGAAGCACCTCCCCAGTGAGGTCGTTGGCTCCCACGTCCCTGCGGTAGTGACACGAGGGATAATGAGAACACATATCGGCAAAGTAATTGTAAGTCAACGCAGGTCAACAAAGTCATCGTAAGTCAACGCAGGTCAACACAGAAAACTTCTGAGAGACGCTATTGCCGGAAGCACCTCCCCAGTGAGGTCGTTGGCTCCCACGTCCCTGCGGTAGTGACACGAGGGATAATGAGAACACATATCCCTAAGTCATTGTAAGTCAATGCAGGTCAACAAAGTCATCGTAAGTCAACGCAGGTCAACACAGAAGACTTCTGAGAGATGCTATTGCCGGAAGCACCTCCCCAGTGAGGTCGTTGGCTCCCATGTCTCTGCAGTAGAAGGGGTTGAAAATGAGTCAACGCAGGTCAAGGTAGGACACTGCAGGTCAATGCCGGTCAATGCAGGTCAACATGAGTTAACACCAGGTGAAAGCAGGTGTCCAACCATTTAGCAAGGGCATAGAGTGGAGTGGCGTTAGTGAGTGAATCACAGTGATTGGAGTCTCCAGAGGTGTGAGATGGACGGCGGGACGTCTCCTGAAAAGTTGTTGTAGAAGAGTGACCTGCAGGGGCACACACACGGCACACATGAGGAGCACTTTCGTACGAGCTGAATCAAACGATAAGTCAGCTCCTGAGAAGTGGTCGTAGAAGAGCGACCTGCAGAAGTGAGTGCATTGAGTGATGGAGCATGCATTGATGGCACTGAGGACTCAGTGAGTGATGAGTGCAGGCGGCATCACCAGATGCCGCAGCACAGAGCAGCAACACCAAGCAGCTGCAGCCGAGCAGCGCGGCACCAGAGGCGACTTTTGAGGCTCCTCAAAAGCCAAGCAGCGCAGCACCAGAGGCAGCAGCACACAGCAGCAACACCACGCAGCCGCAGCCAAGCAGCGGGATCAACAATAACTGGACAGGCATCCGCAGCCAGGTACCTAAAGATTTGCGGCGGCACTTACAAGAAAGTGAGACTGGAGAGCGACGTCAGGACACTTGGGAAGGGCCCTTCGAAGGAGTTGTTTGCTAGATGGCTGGTAGGTGAGCAAAAGGGTTCCATATGAGGTCAGTCGGCTTTTAAGGAACACAGGGGAAGGGAAAAGGCTCTGCTATGGAAAGGGTTCCTAGCTGTGGAAAGGGTTCGTAGCTGTCGAAAGGGTTCCTAGCTGCGGAAAGGGTTCCTAGCGGTGGAAAGGGTTCGTAGCTGTGGTAAGGGTTCCTAGCGGTGGAAATGGTTTGTAGCTGTGGAAAGGGTTCCTAGCTAGTAAGTGCACAACACAGGTGAGCAACACAACACGAGGTGACATGACAGAAGAGGACAACACTGTAACATGAGCGACACCTCGTGTGTTGCTCATGAAGATGAGGGTAACGCAATCCACGTGATTTTTGAGTCGACTCAAAAATCACCTAGAGGACAACACTGTAACACGAGCGACACCTCGTGTGTTGCTCATGCAGATGAGGGTAACGCAATCCACGAGCACCACGCCAGGCATGGCAACACACAGCGCACAGCAGAGAAGTTCGAAATTCAAGCGAAAGAAGGTATATCGATGCACGTTGGAAATGCTTTTGAGTGGACTCAAAGGCCAGAAATGGGCATCCTTTGCAGCAGCGATTCGTCAAGCCAGGGCCAGTTCAGCGCTTGGACAAGAGATTAGGAAGGGAGATCCCAGCCGAAACAAGAGCACAGGATGGAGAGGGGTGCAGGGCACGGAGAGAGTGAGGGAGTGGAGGGTCCGTGCAGCGTGCAATAGAGCCGAAAGTCGACATTTGAGGAGCCTACAAAACCAGCTTCTGAAGAACAGGAGACGAAGGACCAACCAGCTTGAATGAGAGCCATGGCATGGAGTGAGGGAGTGGAGGGCACTGAGTGTGTGAGGGAGTTAAGGGCACTGAATGAGTGAGGGAGTTAAGGGCACTGAATGAGTGAGGGAGTGGGTTAGTGGTTTGTGGAGATGGAGAGTGAGTGAGTGAGGGAGTGGGTTAGAGAGGGGAGGTGAGAGAGAACGGACAGAGTGTGTAGATTAGAGAGTTGGCTCATGGTGGGTGGGAGGCTCCCACTAACGTTGTTGATGTCCAGATTGCTGCGAGGGAAGGGGGAGTGGGAGCGGCAGTGGGAGCAGCAGGAAGAGAGGGGAATGGAAGGGGTGAGTCAACAGCGAAGAAGGAGAGGGTTGGCGCATGGTGCATGGGAGGCTCCCACTCCCATGCACCAGGGTGGTGGGATGGGCCGGCCTGGGGGGAACAAAAGAAATGCGTACAGAACTTGCAGGGCATTTTTTAGAATTCTCAGGGTGTTTTTAAAATTTCTCAAAAATACCCTGGGTGGGCCGGGGGGAACAAAAGAATTGCGTACAGAACTTGAAGGCTGGACAGCGATCCTATCGCTGGAGGCACGGCGCCTTCAATAGCGTTGTAAGATAAATCACTGCAAGCGATCAAAAGTAAGGGAAACAAAAGGGGGGGAGCGGGCAGGCAGGGCAGGGGGTGGAGGGGGGGGCAGGCAAGAGATGAAAGAAGTGCTCCTTACTGAACTTGCAGGCTGGTCAATAAGATAATAGCAGGAGGCATGACACTTGGTGACGTTTGAGTCGACTCAGGGGTCAGTACACACGAGGCAGACCACCGCTAGCACTACAAAGATCAAGAAGCGCTAACAGTACTCGCAGGCTGGATAATGGCCCTATGGCAGGAGGCACGGTACATGGTGACAAGACTTTGAGTCGACTCATGGTCACAAGGCAGATCACCACTAGCACTACAAAGATCAAGCCGCGCTTACAGCACTCGCAGGCTGGATAGCAAACCAATAGCAGGAGGCACGACGCCTCCGATAGAGTTGTAAGACAGGTCACTGTGAAGGAGAGCGGGAGGAGGGAGATGGGAGAGCAGGGAGAGAGCGAGAGAGGGGGGAGATGGGATGGGTACAAACATATGAAGCTTTGGCAGGAGGCATGGCACTTGGTGACGTTTGAGTCGACTCATGGGTCACCAGACAGATCACCACTAGCACTACAAAGATCAAGCCGCGCTTACAGAACTTGCAGGCTGGATAGCAACCCAATAGCAGGAGGCACGACGCCTCCGATAGAGTTGTAAGACAGGTCACTGTGAAGGAGAGCGGGAGGGAGGAGCGAGAGAGGAGGGAGAGAGTGAGAGAGGAGGGAGAGAGGAGGGAGAGAGCAAGAAAGATTTCAGACGTCTCAAAACAAGAGGTACGATGCCTTCAATAGAGTTGTCGGGCAAATCGCTGCGAAGGAGAGCGAGCGAGAGTGAGCGAGAGTGAGTGAGAGAGGAGGGAGAGAGGAGGGAGAGAGGAGGGAGAGAGGAGGGAGAGAGAAGGGAGAGAGGAGGGAGAGAGGCGTCTCAAAACAGGAGGCACAACGGCTCCAATAGAGTTGAAGGAGAGAGCGAGAGTGAGAGAACGCTGGTCACTTCTGGTCAATGCTGGTCACTGCTGGTCAATGCTGGTCAAAGCTGGTCAATGCTGGTCAATGCTGGTCAATGCTGGTCGGTGCTGGTCAATGCTGGACAATGCTGGTCAGTGCTGGTCAGTGCTGGTCACTGCTGGTCACTGCTGGTCAATGCTGGTCAATGCTGGTCGGTGCTGGTCAATGCTGGTCACTGCTGGTAAATGCTGGACAATGCTGGTCAGTGCTGGTCAGTGCTGGTCAGTGCTGGTCACTGCTGGTCACTGCTGGTCAATGCTGGTCAATGCTGGTCAACACTGAGGGGAAAAGATCAGCTCCCATCTACCCCACGCCTCCAACCAGTCACCGGTTCCCTTCCTTTTTACTGCCACAACCAGTTACCCCCACCCCCTGCTTCCCCACACCCATCCTTCACAGTGTGTGTGTGCAGGGGGACAGACCAAGCCAGACTTGTCTGCCCGATACTTCACCAATCAGCTGCGTCCATTCCCCCTCGTACCACATCCCTTTCTCCCTCCCCCTTCCCTCCCCCTTTCCCTCCCCCTTTCCCTGTCCCCTTCCCTCCCCCCTTTCCTCCCCCCTTTCCTCTCTCACAGTGTCTGCAGCAGGGGGAGCTGGCCAATGCTGGCAGGGATGCTCCCTGACAGATCGTTGAGGCTCAGATCGCTGAGGAGGGGGAAGGGAAGAGGGGGGGAGAGGGGGGGACGTGTTGGAGGGAGAGTGCGAATGCTGGCAGGGATGCTCCCTCATAGATCGTGTGTGAATGCGTGCTGGTGTGTGTGTGTCTGTGTGTGTGTGTGTGTGTGTGTGTGTGTGTGTGTGTGTGTGTGTGTATGTGTGTGTGTGCACGCGTGCATGTGTGTGCGTGCTCGCATGTGTGTGAATGTCTGTGTGCGTGTGTGTGTTTGTTTCAGCAAGAAGTCAGCGTACTTCAGTGTATCTCAGCATCTCTCACATCTTCACCAGTGTAGTGAGGTTGCCTATAACGGAGCAGACGCTTCCGACCAAGCCAACCTCAGACAAGGCACTGCAGGGCAGTTGAAAGGATAAAGTGGGAAGGACAAAGAACGAAAAGGGAAGGAAGTAAAGGGAAGGGGGAAGGACGAAATGGGAAGGACGAAAAGGGAAGGAAGAAGAAGAGTCGCATGTGGATAAGGGGAGGTGCGACTTTCAGCTTGCGTCGGAGCCGATTCAAAGGGTAGCCAGAACCAGACAAGGCACTGCAGCAGGGCGTCAAAAGGACGAAATAGACCACGGGTGCATTTCTCACGTGGTGTTGACTGTTTCATCTGCGAAACACACGGGGCCGTCGTCCATCATGCACGGAGCCTCTACTGCCTGTAACGCGTACAGCTTGGTTCATCACTGTACACTGCTCACACGGTGTGTATTACTCACATGGTGTTGACTGTTCCATCTGGGTTACACACGAGACCTTCGTCCATCATGCACGGAGCCTCTACTGCCTGTAACGCGTACAGCTTGGTTCATCACTGTACACTGCTCACACGGTGTGTATTACTCACATGGTGTTGACTGTTCCATCTGGGTTACACACGAGACCTTCGTCCATCGTGCACGGAGCCTTGGGACTCCAGTTGTAATCCGTAGCACCCATCTCCACCGCACATTTCGCCAGCACCTCGCCTGCACGCACAGGGGGAGTGGAGGGGAGCGATAAGGGTGAAGAAAAACTAATCTTGAGGCGCCTCAAAACTGGGGAGCGACAAGGGTGAAGGAAAATAAGCAGTGAAGCATAAGATAGGACGAGGATTGACTCTGTGGGTCACTTTCATGCAAAATTATTTTTCAACATGTTGGGCGTAGTCTCTGAAGTCACGCACGCTGTGATTCGTTCACAATGCACTGCGAATCTTCGAGAATGAGTCGACTCAAAAGGCACCACATTGTGACTGCTGATTCACAAGAACGGCTACGGAAAGCATCGAATAGCATCGCATGACTCACTCTGTTGGACTGTGGAAAATCAAGTCATGAAAGACTCAATGCGAAATACCTGAAAGAGCTGCAAATGCCTCACTGGTGCTAGCATGCGGCTACTAACACGATGCGAGAATGACACAAGCGCGTTTAATCTAACTCAAGCACAAACCTTGTTTCTGCTCCACGAGAACCGCTTCGGAAAACGGCGAATAACTTAACACAGTCGAACAGAGAAGTAACGACAGCAGTATCGGGGAATTCGCCAACGGGCTCCGCGATCGCCGCTCCCTGCGACGAGATACGCGAGACTTGAAAATGCTGCTGCGACGTTTCTGATATGCTAAATCCGCGACCAGTAACTGCCGGAAGCCATGACGAAAACCGCTGCATCTCCGAGGTAAGCGCTGCCGCTGCCTCGGCCAAGACGCTCTACTAGCGTCGCCGTGATAGTTTAACACTTTCTGCGAAGCTTCGTCCATGGCACGCACTGGTGAGCTGTGAATTTCTTCGGCGGAACGAAGGCCTAAGACTGAAAGCTGCCTAGGTCAGTATTGCGCACTACTACGGACGAGAGTTGGTGCCTAGGAGGAGATAAGTAGCTATCCCGTTTCATACTGGAAAAGCGCATCTATGTCGTAATCTCTCCCTGTCGCTTGACTAGTGACACATGTTCATCGTTGGCTTTCAGTCAGAACATTCAGGTTCAGGACTAGGGAAGCAACCTAGAATCAAGCTCAGGTTCAGGAAAGCAAACTCAGCCTGCCACAATTTTCCTTGGACTGAATGCCTCCTGCCTGCTTCCTCTGTCGTGGTAGGAGTGATCACGATTTTCCGCTTTGGGACACCACGGAAGGATGGAGTGCGCTTGCGTAACAAGGGTTACGGCTCGGTTTCACCCCACTTCTACAACGCGATGGAAGGTGGAAAAGCTAAGAAAGAAGTGAGGTGGGGTGGGGGGGAGAAGCTGTCAGATGAGATTGTACCTGGGGAAGAACCGCAGTGAACTGACAGGCAGCCACCCGGCCTGATTGGATGAGTTTTGGTCTGGTAACGCAAAGATTTCAGAGACGATATTCTCAAGGAAGACAGACTTGCCTAACAAATGCTGTTTGGGCGTGTAACAATGTCGTCAGTGCAACTATTGGTTCGCATCATTTCGATTTTTCGCGAGCCGAGGCTCTTGCCGAGCCATACCAGTGAGGTTCGGCCGCGGCACGTCAGAAAGCTGGGGGAAGACACAAGACACCAAAGTGTCGCAGGTTTGCTGGTCGTGCGAAGGTGACACAATAGAATTTCTCGAACCTGACGGTAACTCTCGCCTCTGTCATCAACCCATCACACACCTTCGCGATGAAGGCCAATTTTTCCTGCGACAAGCCTGACGACGGGTCCGCCTGGTAACATTTTCTACCACTGCTGCTGGAGCATTTACAGGAGCGAACCTGACAGAACCTTGGTAAATGGACTGAACCTGCCACGATGGTCAACGATTTTCTCTGCTCAGTCTACAGTCTCGCGGGCAGCTAGTGAAACAAATATCAGTCGGTGCTGTGCTGAGCTGAGATGAGTGCTCCAGTCCAGTCAAGCAGTCCCTCTCGCTCATGGATACTGCCGGCCTTCATCCCCTGCTCCTCATCTCCTCCCTCCCCTCCCTCCCCACCCGAGTCTTCCTTTACCCCATTCCACTTTCCACCAAGTCCCCCAGTCCCGAGTACTTTTCTTTGAGGAATGTGACGGCATAGGTCCTCCTCAGTTGTCTCTGCGTTAGTTTCTCCACGCGACGGCCGAGCCGACGCTGAATGACACGTCCACAGCGAGAAACTGTGATTTTGAATGCGGTGACTTGCGATTAGCGGCCGTGACGTTCCACCCTGGATTCCGTGTTTTCACGCCGGATATCATTTACACCTTTTTCGTGCATTTTCGCTGCGATTCGTTGTCCAAGAAGCAGCTCAGACTGAACGCTAGATTCACCAACCCTATTTCAGAATAAGTTATTTCTTGCCGCATCGTTCAGTGTCGTGCTCTTGACTAGACGCAGTTTTAATCCCACGCTTACGTGTACATTTCGCTATCAGTAGCGATTTTCGAGCGTTTGCGTGAGGAGCCTTTGCGTCCCGAAGCTAGCCGCTTCGTCTCCGACATTAACGTCTCCGCTCTATCATTTGCGTCGTTGACTTCGCGTCACCAACATTTCTAGCGGCTCCGAGCGTCTCAGTGTCTCCGAAATTAGTAGCATCTCCGACAATAGCGTCTCTTCCCGTCGTGTCGACAAGCCGTCGGTCTCTGCAGCGTGTGGACGAGGCCTCTGAACTTGCCGAGCAGCATCAACTGTCGGGGACGACAGGACGACGTCTCGGACGACGTCTCTGAACTTGTCCGCTAGCATCAACTTTCGGGGACGACAGGACGACGAGTCCCGTAGGTTGCATAGGTCCTCTGCAACCTACGGGGATCACCGGGCCTAAGCGTGTGGACGAGGTCTCTGCACTTGAAGTTGTCCAGCATCAACTCTCAGGGGACGACCGACAGGGCGACCAGTCCCTCCCGACCTGACGGCTTTCATCAGTTATGCCCTTCTTCTCAAGCTAATCTTAGTACCTAGTAACTTCCGCGTTCTTGCCAGCAACGGCTGCGTGCCTTGACAAGCAAATGGCTGGTCGTCGTCAGAGTTATTGCCAGCGCCTTTCCCATCATTTTAGTTTAGTCGTTGGAGTCCCAGATATCTCGCCGGGTCAGGCCCCGCGGATTCACACACCCCCGCGACTAACTCGTCGCCGCCGCTGCCCTCTCAATCTCCGGCTATCTCGTCGTCTGCCTCTCGTTCTCCTCATCGCCGCGTGGCTGCTTAGTGTGTGCGCCGGACAAGACGCTGGGTACGGGACACCTGGGAGCGGAAACCTTGGGAACGGGCCTTATGGGAACTACGGGGGAGGGGCTTCTGGAAACAAGCCTTATGGGAACTACGGGGGAGCGCCTTCTGGAAACGGGGGGTCTCCGCCGGCGCAGCTGCCGGCGCAGGGACCGAGCGGGCCCCCGGGGGGAGGGGAAGGGGGAGGGGGAGGGCGAGGGGAGGAGGAGGAGGACCGAGCGGGCCCCCGGGGGGAGGAGGAGGGGAGGGGAAAGCAGTCCGCCGCCTGGCGGAGGGATGGGACCGCCAGGAGAGGGGGGCCGCCAGGAGGAGGGGGGGCTCCAGGGGGAGAACAGGGAGGGCCTATGGTGAATGTGACCGCTGAACATGGTGAGGAGATGGCGAGGGGGGGTTGGGAAATGTGGTAGAAGCTTTTGTGTGGACTTGAAAGCAAGGGGGGGGGGTCGGTGGGGGGGAGTTGGGGGGGGAGGGGAGGGAGGGCCTTTGGTGAATGTGACTGCTGAACAAGGTGAGGAGATGGGGGGGGGGAGAGAAAGGGAATGTGGTTGGAGCGGGAAAATGGGGGGAGGGTGTGGAACTCAGTCCGCGCTATGCTGCTGGGAATGACGCAGGGGTGTTTGCACGTGGCTGATTATTGCACATGGGTAACTGCTTCCACCCTTTCTCAGGTGCTATACCGAGGAGCTGCGGCAGAGCGATGCGGGTTACCAGAGGTCTTTGTGATGAGTGCTTCATCCTACCTTACCACCCCTTCTCAGGCGCCCTTCTGAGGGCTTGTTGCGGCAAGGAGATGGGGATGCCAGATGGCATGTGGTATCCTGGCGCGCCCTCATTGACTTGTGGCTCGTATTGCACACGACTCCATCTTTCCACCCCTTCCCAGGCGCCCTTCTGAGGCCTTATGGCAGAGAGATGGGGGTGCCAGATGGCATGTGGTATCCTGGTGTGCCGTGTATCACTTACTCGTGGCTCGTATTGCGCACGACTCCCTCGTTCCTTCCTTCTCAGGCGCCCTTCTGAGGGTTTGTGGCAAAGAGATGGGGGTGCCAGATGGCATGTGGTATCCTGGCGCGCCCTGTAGCATTGACACGTGGCTCATGTGCAATCCTGAGGGCACCGTCAATGGCATGTGAGTGTGGCATGCATGGCATTTGAGTGCGGCATGCATGACATGTGAGTGCGGCATTCATGGCATGTGATTGCGGCATTCATGGCATGTGATTGCGGCATGCATGGCATGTGATTGTGGCATGCATTGCATGTGATTGTGGCATGCATGGCATGTGATTGTGGCATGCATGGCATGTGATTGTGGCATGCATGGCATGTGGTTGTGGCATGCATGGCATGTGATTGTGGCATGCATGGCATGTGATTGTGGCATGCATGGCATGTGATTGTGGCATGCATGGCATGTGAGTGCGGCATGCATGACAACTGAGTGCGGCATGCATGGCATGTGATTGCGGCATGCATGGCATGTGAGTGCGGCATGCATGGCATGTGAGTGCGGCATGCATGGCATGTGAGTGCGGCATGCATGACATGTGAGTGCGGCATGCATGGAGTGAAACTGCATGTATTCCTCATATAATCCTTGTTGACCCCATCACGTACAATCTCCCTACGTTTCTTCCCAGTTCGTTGTTCCCAGATGCCTCTGTTTTCTCTCATTCCTCTTTTGAGTTGACTCAAAACCAGCCCCCCTCTCTTTCTTCCCTCCCATTTCGGGAAGACATCTTGTTGTTTCCAAATGCCTCTGTTTTCTCTCGTTCCTCTTTCCCTGGCCTCTCTCCTTCCCGCCCCCTGCCCCCCCCTTTCACTCCATCCCCCTTAGTGTCATCCGCGATAAGGGCATCTCTGGATCCATCTGTTCCGATATTGGGCTGCTCACTTCACTGGAAAAGATGTAAGTTGGACGTTCTGGGTACGGCTGGTGCTTGCTTTCGTGTTCTGGGTTCTGAATTCAGGTAGTACATTCAGGTTCTGAATTTGGGTAGTAGCTTGGAGTTCTAGAGTCGGTTCGACAATCTAAGGTGACACTTTCAAATGCTGATGGTGTGCTCAATAGTGCTACAAAATCTCGAGGAAACAAAAAGGTTCATCGTTTTTACGTTTGGAAACATAAAGGGGAAATATCTGTTCGTCACTGTAGTAAAGGTTCATCGTTTGAGGCGCCTGAGAAATACGGCCAGTTGTTGCCCCAAGCATCGGCCAGTTGTTGCCCCAATCATCGGCCACTTGTTGCCCCAATCATCAGCCACTTGTTGCCCCAATCATCGGCCACTTGTTGCCCCAAGCATCGGCCAGTTGTTGCCCCAAGCATCGGCCAGTTGTTGCCCCAAGCATCGGCCAGTTGTTGCTACCATGCCTTGCCTGCCTTCATTGGCCGATTCCCTGTCCTCATCTCTTCCCTCTCAGGAACCTAAAAGCTTTTGGTCAGTCCTCTCCTCCACCCTTTCCCACCCTCTTGCCTCATCCTCGTTAGAGACTTTGCCAACAACTCGCTATCAAGCTCCCTGCCAACAAGTATTGGCAATCTTAGAAATCTGAAAGTCCTGTGAGTGTAACCGCGATTCCTGCTCTCTATCTGCGCCCTGCTCTCTCTTTCTGCACCCTGCTCTCTCTCTTTCTGCTCCCTGCTCTCTCTCTTTCTGCTCCCTGCTCTCTCTGTCGCCCTGCTCTCTCTTTCTGCACTCTGCTCTCACTCCTCTGTCTTCTTCTGGCAGCAATCTCCAGAACAACGTTCCAGAGCAAACTCTGCCTTGACCAGTTCTCTCTCCCCTGAGCAGCCTCTGTGTTGCTCTCACTCTGCTGTCTTCTACTGGCTGGGATCGATCTCCAGAACAACGTTCCAGAGCAAATCCTGCCCTGGCCAGTTTTCTCTCCCCTGAGCAGCCTCTCTGCTTCTCCTTCGCTGTCGTCTACTGCCAGCAATCTCCAGCCTGGACAACGCTCCAGCGAAGCCTGACTTGGGCCCCTTCTTGCCCATATCTCGCCCTTCCAGCCTCCCTGTTTCTTCTCATTCTTCATTAGAACGATATTCCTGCCTCAGCAATCATCAGATCGGAAGAACCCCCTCAACGGAATCATCTCACCCATCCTTCGTGTCTCTCACCTCTCTCTTCCCCTCATGCCCAGAAATCTCCAGCAGAACCGCCTCAACGGATTCATCCCCCCCACATTCTCTCGCCTCGCCAGCCTGGAGATGTTGTAAATTTCCTTCATCCCCACCTCGGCATCACATGACCATGCGGCATGCCCACCTCTCCCCCCCTTCCCCCCATCTACCCCTCCCTCCCACCTTTTCATCCCCCCTCTTCCTCCCTCTGCTTCCTCCCTCCCCCAAACCACCCCACCCGTCCTAGTGGCCTCATGTGTAAGTAGTCTAGTTTTGAGACGTGTCAGAACGTACCATCCATTCCTGCTGGCTTGTGTTCTGTTTTTGAGAATTCTTAAAAACATTTCACATCTGAGAATTCAAAAAATATATAATCCACTCTCTATCTCGTGATCATGACCACCTCGCCCTCCTCAACAACCTTCCCTCAACCCTCCCCTTTCCCAGTGACATTAACAGCGATGACATTGCTGGACCACTCATGTTCCCCCCCCCTCCCTCACCAACTCCCCTCCCCCCCCACCCTCTTCCCATCTCCCTTTTCTCCCTCCCCCCCCTTCCCCTCCCAGTGACATTTACATTTATTCAAAGCCGACTCAATGTGCCTCCCCCACCCCCTCCCTTACCACTCCTCCCTCCCCTCCTCCCTCCCCTCCTCCCTCCCCACCTCCCTCCACTCCTCCCTCCCCTCCTCCCTCCCCTCCTCCCTCCCCTCCTCCCTCCCCTCCTCCCTCCACTCCTCCCTCCCCTCCTCCCTCCACTCCTCCTCCCCTCCTCCCTCCCCGCCCCAGTTACATCAACAGCAATGGCATCGCTGGACCTCTCGTGTACCCCCCTGACTCCAGGTTTATTCAAAGCAGACTCGATGTGCACCTCCCCCACCCCCTCCCTCCCCATCCTCCCTCCCCTCCCCCCTCCCAGTGACATCAACAGCAATGGCATCCCAGGGCCCCTCGTGTACCCCCCCTAGAACTCTTGAGTCAACTCAAGATGACTTCTGAGTTTGAGTTGGTTAGAACTCACCCTCCCCCCCACCCCCCCTTCCCCCCACCCCTACACCCATCCCAGTGACATCAACAGCAATGGCATCGCAGGGCCCCTCGTGTATCCCCCTGGAACTCTTTCCAACCTGAAGCTCATGTGAGTCTCTTCCGTTTGAGCTGTCTCAAAATCTGAAGCTCACATGAGTGATTAGTTCCTCCTGCCTTTTAGCCGACTCAATACCTGAAGCTCATGTAAGTCCCTTCCTTTTGAGCCGTCTCAAATCTGAAGCTCATGTGAGTGAGTGGTTGTGGTTGCCAGCTTGCTCCTCGCCTGTGCAACGAAGTCCATTCCTCCCCTGATCCTGACGATTTTTGAGGCGCCTCAAAAACCTGTGCAACGGAGTCTGTTCCTCCCGTAATCCTGACGCCTATGATGCAAATGCAAGCATGCCTTGCGATGCATGCAGCCCATGTGAATGCAAGCCCCCCCCATGCGAATGCAAGCACCTAGAAATAGCCCCACCAGGTGTACCATAGTGCCAGCGTGGTTTGGCCACGTGATGAAGGAAGGAATGAGCGTACCATAGTGCCAGGGTCCTAATGCGAGCCGCCTCCTGACCACCCACTCTACCCTCTCTTCGTCTCTTACGCCCATGCTTTTCTGCCACTTCCTTGCAGCAACGTGGCCAGAAATAGCCTCAGTGGGCCGCTTCCTTCCTCCATCTACACTCTAGTAAATCTCCAAGAGATGTAAGATTTCTCTTTCCTTATTCTTTTTAATGTGAAATGTGGCCCTCCTTTCTCTCCTGCCGCCTCATTTCCTCATGCCCCTCCCTTCCCTCTCTGCCCCCGATCCCTCTCTAATGCATCCCCGATACTCTTCCTCTCACCCCCTCCCCCTTTGCGCACAGGGATCTCTCATTCAACGAGTTTAAGGGCTCTCTGCCCATCTCCAGCAGCAGCCTCAGCAATCTCAAAATGCTGTAAGTCGAGCTGCCTGCCATCAGTAAACTGCCCACCACCTCATTCCCTCCCTCCCTTCCCTCCCTCCCTTCCCTCCCTCCCTTCCCTCCCCCCCCCCTCCCTCCCTCCCTCCCTCCCTCCCTCCCCCCTCCCTCCCTCCCTCCCTCCCTCCCTCCCTCCCTCCCTCCCTCCCTCCCTCCCTCCCCTCCCTCCCTCCCTCCCTCCCTCCCTCCCCTCCCTCCCTCCCTCCCTCCCTCCCTCCCTCCCTCCCTCCCTCCCTCCCCCCTCCCTCCCTCCCTCCCTCCCTCCCTCCCTCCCTCCCTCCCTCCTCCCTCCCTCCCTCCCCTCCCTCCCTCCCTCCCTCCCTCCCTCCCTCCCTCCCTCCCTCCCTCCCTCCCTCCCTCCCTCCCTCCCTCCCTCCCTTCCTTCCTTCCTTCCTTCCCCACTCATTCCATCCTTCCTTCCCTGTCCACTCCACCTCTCACTATCGTCCCGGCCATGCAGCAACACAGTGAAGCTTCTCCTGTCACTGTAGCTTCTCCTGTTACTGTAGCTTCTCCTGTCACTGTAGCTTCTCCTGTAACCATGCGTAACTATGCATAACCATCTGGAACACGTGCGGCTATGCCTGACCATATGTTACCATGTTCATCTAACCGTGTGTAACTATGTTTCATTTAGCCCATGTGTGTTATGAATGGGACTACCGCGTAGCGCGGAGGGCAATGGCGAAACTGTGAATGAGTGAATGACAATAAAATGAAAGACAATACAATATATAGAAAGCCTAGGGTGATCCTGGACGTAGGATCGGAAGGTTCGGGAAAGGTATCGAAGGGCCTCGATGTGTCGTAGCGAGGTCCGGAAAGGCCCAGGAGGCTCGAACTGAAAGGTCTGAAACCCTGGCGATGGTTCGGGACTGTTCGAGTCGTACGCCCTGTAGCAAGCCTCAGTAAGGAATTACTCATTCCTTACACTCTCCCCCCTTCTAGATAAGCACACAAATAAACAAAACTACACACACTCTAACTGAATCTCGTAGTAGTGAAGCCACCACTGTTGAGAATCTCGAGCTTCTTCAAAGAAACTCCATCCAACGGTCGAAACGTGTCGAAACGATCGCCATCGATCGTAGCCGTCGATCCTTGGTCGAATTACCCTGATAACCAAACGGGCAATAGGGATACTACCGCACCACAGCTTCCCTGTCTTCAGCGAATCCTTCGCCGAGAATTACAAACCCAATCGTTGTGTACTGTATCCGCACAGTAACACTACGTTATTCACGCTGCTGCAAGTTGGTGAGCCGAATCTTCTGCATAGCGCCAAACTTGTCCGTAGCTCCGTAACTGTAGATCGCTCCTCGTTTAATTCCACGCGAGTCGTGACACTCGCAAAAACACACGTCCGTATTTCGCTAAGTCAAGGAACTCCAGCAATTCGTCAATTGCGAGGTCACTCGCGACACATGCGAGAACACGCGTCCGTGGCTCACGAAAGTCAGCGAATTCCATCAGCACATAGACGAAAGCTCAACCGGTTCAGTAACCGTATTCGATGTCGCCGCAGGCGGTTAACCTAAACACGCCTTCAACTTTCGCGAACACCAGCGAAATTCCCGAAAAGCCAACTCGAATCTGTCCGTCGATTCAGTCGGTCAAACAGCATCTGTCCGTTGATGCTCATGCAGCGGATGCCAATTGTCGAGGGAAACTCCAAATAACAACTGCTGTGCAGCTGCTCTCTCCCCCCTCCATGAAAAGAAAATCTCTGTCGTCGATGCCGAAAATTCCCTGCTTCAAGTTTCTTCAGACCCAGAAAACTAAGTATCGTCACACTCTGCTCGTCGGGACTAGGCTTGAGCATAAACCCGACCCGACCCGACCCGACCCGACTTTGCCCTACCCGATGTCGGGTTCGGGTCGGGTCGGGTCGGGTCAAGTCGGGTCGATCCTAGGATTTCGCCGACCCGACCCGACCATAACAGGTCGGGTTATCTCTTACCCGTGGTCGGGTCGGGTCGATCCAACCTAGGCTTGAGCAACGGGTCGGGTCGGGTCGGGTAACCCGACCCGAACCCGATTTTTTTACGGGTCGGGTTCAAGTTCCCGTAGGAAGAACCCGACCCGTCGGGTTTGATTTTTCCCCGACGGGTCGGGTCAACCCGAACCCGACATCCCCGGGTTCGGGTTCAACCCGACATGTCGGGTTGACCCGACCCGACGTCGGGTATTTGTCGTCGGGTTGACCCGACCCGACCCGACCCGATGTCGGGTCGCGACTGTACCCGTCGCGATTTTTGCGACCAGCCGCAGAGATGACAAAATTTCGACCAAAAGGTCGAAATTTCAACCAGAAAGTTGTTTGTTCAGTCTCGACCTAGACTATGGCTCCTTCCTATCTAGCAAACAGGGTTTCCTAAGGGTTAGTTTTGTGTTTTAAGCCGGTCCTTCTCATCCTTAGGCAGAAACTAAAGGCTACTGAGGGAAGGAAGTTAGTTTCTAGGGTGGAACGGGCCGCATTTCGCTGGTGTTTGAAAATCTGCGCAACTCTGGTCGCTCCGATTGCGTCGGTTCAAGGGGCGACCCGAGTTCGGGTCGGGTCGGGTCTAGGGTTGAGCAAACTACCCGCCCGGGTCGGGTACCCGGTACCCGGACCCGCTTTTAGGGCGGGTCGGGTATCGGAAATCCTGAAAATTACCCGCCGGGTCGGGTCCGGGTTACCCGGGCCGGGTATCAATACCCGCTACCCGGAATGCTACCCGACGTGTCGGGTAACGGGTACCCGACCCGGTCGGGTGAAAAATTACCCGAGGTCGGGTATTCCACCTAGACATGGGCGTAAGTCGCGCTGTGTTTTAGGTTTTGCGGCAAAACCGTTTTGGAGGTGAGGGGGGACGAGTGGAGCCCTACCTAGCCTAGCCCTACCTAGCCTAGCCCAACTTTAGGATGTCCACTAGTAGGTGGCGGGTAAAATTACCCGCTTTTCAGGGGGTCCGGGTCGGGTATACCCGGACCCGCCAGGCGGGTATTATAATACCCGCCTAAAAAAACCGGGTCCGGGTAAGGGTCCTGGGCATATTACCCGACCCGGACCCGACCCGAAATTACCCGACCCGAGGTCGGGTATGGCAAAACCGGGTCGGGTCGGGTAATTACCCGGTTTTGCTCATGCCTAGTCGGGTCGGGTCGGGTCGGGTCAACCCAACAATGTATACCCGAAGTCGGGTCGGGTCAACCCGACATGTCGGGTTCACCCGAACCCGTACATGTCGGGTTCGGGTTGACCCGACCCGACGGGTAAAAATCAAACCCGACGGGTCGGGTTCTGCCTACGGGAAACCTGACCCGACCCGTCAAAAAGCCGGGTTCGGGTCGGGTTACCCGACCCGACCCGACCCGTTGCTCAAGCCTAGTCGGGACCAGTCTCAGCGCGACCCTTTAACGCAGGGCAACTGCGCCACATAGACTCTAGCTCCATCCGACGCCGTAGATTAATATTCAACTTCTCAAACTGCCGTCGATCTGCTTCGCGTTGTTACCCTCTGTAGATTTTTTTCGCAACTCCACCTGACCAGTTCGCCGTGCAGACGTTCACCCATCGCGCGGCTATGGCAGGTACCCCAGAAAAACTCAGATACAGTTCTCAGCTCCGAAAAACGCATTCTCTGCAGTTTCACCGACTAAACATGCTGGTATTTAAACCATCGCACAGCTCGGTAGGTACCCGTGACCCCAGCTACCGCTCCAGCCAAAAACTTGAAGAGTTCCCACCCGAAAAATACCCGACGTTTAGCGACGCGTCGACGTTCACCCATCCTTGCGCCCGTCCAGGTAAATCCCCGAATGAGTCATCGCAGCCAAGCCTTTGATTATAGCCCCGAAACTGAGGAATAATCTTAGAAGACTCCCGCGTGACTCCAAATTTTCCGTGACGGCAGCACGTTTTTCCGACTGCAACAGTAACCCGAAGCTCCATTTGTTGAACTACACTCCAGAGCAGGGGTGAATCCGCCGTGTGCCGGTACTCAGGTAAGCGCAAACGCTATCGTAGTTGGGCGAATTAATCAGTCTAATTCGCGGGCAACTGCTTTGCAGCTTACGTGAAGGGTTCTCCTTCCCCCCCCCCCCCCCCGAAAATAACGTTTCTGCAACAATCTGCTCCAAACTGCTTCAATTTTTCTTCAACTGCCGCTTCACGATAAAATCCCCGTAGGCCGCTGTTCACCCAACGCCCACGTTCGTCGTTGTCCCAACAGTACCGCGCACGTTCTTTCGAAAAGCTCGCGCCTCGTCGATCTCGGCGACACATCCTCGCAGTTCGTATCGGACTCGAGCTCCGTGTACCGTCCGATCGTTGTCGCAAAAATCCTTCGTTATTTTCGTTTACCAGCTTCACGCGCCTCCCACTGTAGAGCGTCCGATTTTCACCAATCGTGCGCCTGTCGTGTAGCGCCGAAAACATTTCTTCATCGATCCACCAGCACAAGGTGATACGCAAGCACATCCTCCTTTATTCGTCCGGGAGCGGTCGATAGCATGTATCGTACTACCACCCGGTGGAGATGCTGAAAATCGGGCGACCCAGCCAAGTCAGTCGGGGGATCCATCTGCCGCTGGCTCCTTCAAATTTCCCGGCTGTTCCCTGTCGTTCTCCTTCACTGCTTCAGCTCAGCTCTTCGTCGTTGACTTTTAGCGGTGACCCGGCGATGACACTTAAACTCGACCCGAGGGTATTGCTGGTCGTCCTCCGTAGATCGTGGGGTATAATTTCTGACCACGAAAATGGCTTCCTCTGCGGGAATCCAGACTCGCCGAGCTCGAAACTCCAGGGCAGTCGAATTACATCTCCAGGCGGGCAGATCACGCGAAATAATTTCGAGGTCAGTACTTGAAAACTTTTCCATGCCTGAGCCCCACGTGTGCTGCCGTGCGATCCTTGGTCGTGCCGAAAACTCCAACGCCGCGTTTGCTTAATCCGAAGTCCCGTCTTCACCTGCGTGTCGCCTGCCGGAAACGCCGAGCCCTTGACATCAGCTACACTTCACCATGCAGCCACGTCTGCTACGCGCGCTCCTGACGCAATCCATTTCGCCTGGGGATATCCGCGAGCTTGTCGTCTCGTGACGAGCTCCTCGCTCCATTTGGACACCAATCCGAATCATCGTTGCTGCTTGTCGAAATTTCCGAAACTGCAACCGTAGCCCCTTTAACGACATGCGAAATGAACAACATACCGGAAACACTCTTCAAAATCTTCTCCATGTCAGGACGGACACAACCGCCCTCGAGGGGATGGCTCTCCTCCTCCCAAAAAAAACGTTATGCCCTCGGAAGCCCAGCTGGTGAGGAAAGTGGCTCTGAATACCAAGTGTTATGAATGGGACTACCGAGTAGCGCGGAGGGCAATGGCGAAACTGTGAATGAGTGAATGACAATAAAATGAAAGACAATACAATATATAGAAAGCCTAGGGTGATCCTGGACGTAGGATCGGAAGGTTCGGTAAAGGTATCGAAGGGCCTCGATGTGTCATAGCGAGGTCCGGAAAGGCCCGGGAGGCTCGAACTGAAAGGTCTGGAACCCTGGCGATGGTTCGGGACTGTTCGAGTCATACGCCCAGTAGCAAGCCTCAGTAAGGAATTACTCATTCCTTACAATGTGTAACCAAGCATAACCAGATGTATAGCCTCGTGTAGGTAGCCACCGCAGCCATGTGTAACCACTGCAGCCACGTGTAACCATGTGTGAACCGTATGTAACCGTGTCCCGCTCCGCATGCAGTAACTTGGCGAGCAACCAGTTCTCTGGTGACGTACCACCCACTCTCGGCAACCTCACCAGCCTCACTCGCCTGTAAGTGTTCCGAGAATAAAGTCACTGCAAAGAGGCGTACATTCGCCTGTTTGCGGTAACTTGGCGAACAACCAGTTCTGTGGCGAAATACCACCCTCATCAGCGTCACCCGGCTGTAAGCCATTATTTTACTCACCCTACTGTAAGCCGCTACAGCCTCCCCAACTGTAAGCCGCTACAGCCTCACCCTACTGTAAGCCGCTACAGCCTCACCCTACTTACTGTAAGCGCTACACTGCTGTATCTATACCCTGTCTCTTGCTGTGACCACTTGGGGGAAAAACAGAACCATCTGCCTGCTTTTAAGTTGAGTCAAAGGGATTATTTTTGCTGTGTGTATCCATACCTGTCGCTAGCTCTGCGGGGGAAACAAAATCATCTGCCTCTATCCATACCTGTCTGTTTGCTGTTTGCCTGTTTGCTATAAAATCATCTACTTTTTGCTTTCACTTTGCTGTCTGTATCCATAGCTGTCGCTAGCTGTGCGGGGGAAACAAAATCATCTGCCTCTATCCATACCTGTCTGTTTGCTGTTTGTGGAAACAAACTCATGTGCCTGCCTCTCTGTGTGTGGTGCAGGGAGCTGTCCAGAAACTTTTTCACGGGCACTCTTTCTTCGTCTCTAGCTGCACTCACTGCGCTCGTCACCCTGTGAGTGTGCCTCCTTCTTTGTCTCTAGGTGCACCTGTGTGTGGGTGCGTCTGTCAGTGCACAATGGACGCCTCGTATTTCACCGGCACTCTTTCTTCGTCTCTAGCGGCACTCACTGCGCTCGTCACCCTGTGAGTGCGCCTCCTTCTTTGTCTCTAGATGCACCTATGTGTGGGTGCGTCTGTCAGTGCACAATGGACGCCTCGTATTTCACCGGCACTCTTTCTTCGTCTCTAGCGGCATTCGCTGCGCTCGTCACCCTGTGAGTGCGCCTCCTTCTTTGTCTCTAGTTGCACCTGTGTGTGGGTGCGTCTGTCAGTGCACAATGGACGCCTCATATTTCACCGGCACTCTTTCTTTGTCTCTAGCGGCACTCACTGCGCTCGTCACCCTGTGAGTGTGCCTCCTGGTGCGCGTTTCCCATTGGTGCACCTGTGTGAGTGCCCTCTCCTCCCCATCCTCCTCCCATCCTTTTCTCCTCCGATCCCCTTCCCTCATCCCCTGCGCTCCACCATCAAGTGACTGGTGTGTTTTGAGTCGACTCAAAACACACCTAGATTCCCTTCCCTCCTCACCTGCGCTCCACCATCACACTTTCATCAGGCGACTGGAGCGCAACATGCTGGGAGACTCAGTGCCCTCTCACTTAGGAGCACTAGATCTCCTCTCCTCCCTCTCCTCCCTCTCCTCCCTCTCCTCCCTTCCCTTTCCTACTCCCTTGTGCCCCCTCCCTCGATCTCTCTTGGCACCTGGAGGGCAACATGCTAGGAGACTCATTACCCTCTCAAAATGTAGCACTCAGTGCCCTCTCCTCCCTCTCCGCCCTTCTCATTCTCCCTTATTCCCCCTCCCTACTTGTTCCTTCTTCCTTCTTCCTCCCCCTTCCTCCCCCTCTCCTTCATGCAGGCACCTGGAGACTCATTACCCTCTCAATGTGGACCACACAGTGCCCTCTTCTCCCTCTCCTCTTCTCCCTCTCCTCTTCTCCCTCTCCTCTTCTCCCTCTCCTCTTCTCCCTCTCCTCTTCTCCCTCTCCTCTTCTCCCTCTCCTCTTCTCCCTCTCCTCTTCTCCCTCGTCTCCCTGTCCGTCCCTCACCTAATTCCCCCTTCCTCCCCTCCTCCCTTATGCATTCACCTGGAGGGCAGCATGCTGGGAGGCTCAATACCCTCTCAATTCAGAGCACTCAGTGCCCTCTGCTTCCGCTCCTCACGTCCCTTTCCTCCTCCCTTGTGCCCCCTCCCTCGCTCTCTCTTCCATCAGGCACCTGGAGGGCAACCAGCTGGGTGGCTCTCTACCCTCTCAGTTCGGAGCACTTATTTATCTTATTGAACTGTAGGTCTCCTGATGGTGGCTATTCAGCTTTCTTTGAGCAACGTACGTCTCCTGGTGGTGCTAAAGAATTCTCAAAAAGTTGAATTGGTGTTTGAGAATTCTCAAAACCAAATCAACTCCTGGTGGTGGTGCCTTTTGAGCTTACTTTGAGCAACATAGATCCCCTGGTGGTGCCTTTTCAGTTGGCTTAAAAGCCCCATTCAGCCTAAGTGTACCATAATTAGCATCGTAGGTGGAAGCTTCAATCCCTACTCCTCTCGTTTCCTCTCCAGTCTTTCAATTCGTCCGTTGTATTAGATAAGAGGTACAGGCAGGGGAAGCTCGAACAGGCAGTGTAAGGTAAGCACGTACAAGGCAAGCACGAGACACTCCTAAGGCACGAGACACTCCACTCTTTTGTACCTTCTCACCCTAATCATTCCGTCCCCCCTCCTCCCGTCCCCCTACCTCCCATCCCCCCTCCTCCTGTCCCCCTTCCTTCTGTTCCCCCTCCTTCCATCTCCCCTCCGCCCATCCCCCCATCTTCAGTGACCTCTCTGGAAACCAACTGAATGGAGTCCTTCCTCCGACCATTGGCAATCTCACCTCGCTCACTCTCCTGTACGCACAAGCAGACTTAGCACCCCCCTCCCTTCCCCCCCCCCCACACACACACTCACACATAGGCACACACTCATACCCACACGCATACACACACACACAGAGCCACGCACTCACACACACCCACACAAACACACACACACACACACACACACACACCTGCACACATCTACACACACTAAAGCTTGCCAAAGCAACCTGCCTCACCCTCCCAAACCCTTCAATCCTCTTATTTCCAGAACAGCAACATGGGTGTTGCCTGCCCGTCTGCAGCACGCCACCAAGCATGCGCCGTGAGGAAGACTAACTCCTCCCTTTCCTGTCTTACGTCATTGCTTTAGCCCCTCGCTTTCTTCAACCCCCCTGATCTCCAAAACAGCAGCACGGGTGTTGCCTGCCCATATGGAGCATGCAAGGATCGTGTGCTTTGTGGCAGACCAGCCCCTCTTCAGCTCACCTGCCTTATAACACTTGTTTGGCCCCGTTTAACCCCCTCACCTTCAATGCAGCAACACCAGAGACACGGCCATCATTTTTGAGGCGCCTAAAAAAAAACAACACCAGGGACACGGCCATAATTTTTGAGGCGCTTAAAAAAAAGCAACACCAGGGACACGGCCATCACCTGCCTATCAGCATCCAATCAACCACCCGCCCCATGTGTGGTATACCACCTCCTCTCTCGCCTGCGTCAATACTTTGTCACCCCTTCAACCCCCTCACTTTCAATGCAGCAACACCAAGGATACAGGCATGACCTGCCCGCCAGCAGCAGGCCACCCATCTTGTGCAGTGTGGCAGACCAACTCCTCGCAATTCTGCCAGGCCTGCCCCGCCTTCTGTGCCAACTGCTCCACTGCCGGCCTTCCTCCACCCAAGCCAAGTAGGTAGCATGTTGCTTGCAGCGCTAGGGCTCAACAGCGATCCCATGCAGTGTGTGTCAGACCAGCTCCTCTTTCTTCTGCCAGGCCTGCCCCGCCTTCTGTGCCAACCGCTCCACTGCCGGCCTTCCACCCAAACGAAGTAGATCTCATGCTGCTTGCACTCTCTGTCCTTGCAGTGCTATGGTTGAATGGCTAGACTAGGCCATGCGGCGTGTGGCAGAGACCAGCGCCTCTCTCTTCTGCCGGACTTGCCCCACTTTCAAACCCTTTTGTCGGTGGCATTGTTGTTCTCAACTGCAGGTGATACTTCAGGTGCTGATGCATCCACAAGCCCGGCCTCCCCCCCTACTCCTCCGCCATCCTCCTCCTCCTCCTCCACTCCTCGCTCAGGGTTCATCGTCGGCATCGCTGTCGGTGCTGGCGCTCTGCTGCTGCTGGCTGCTATTGCTGCCTATCTGTGGTTCCGCTGTTACTCGAGAGGTGAGTCACTTAAGAGATGTAAGAGCTGCACCTCTCCTCCCTGTGCTTTTGGGTCGACTCAAAAGCAGATTCATTGCACGCGGTTTTTACATCTGTGGTTCCGCTGCTACTCGAGAGGTGCATCACTTAAGAGATGTAAGAGCTGCACCTCTCCTCCCTGTGCTTTTGGGTCGACTCAAAAGCAGACTCATTGCACGCGGTTTTTACATGTGTGGTTCCGCTGCTACTCGAGAGGTGCATCACTTAAGAGATGTAAGAGCTGCACCTCTCCTCCCTGTGCTTTTGGGTCGACTCAAAAGCAGTCTCATTACACGCGGTTTTTACATCTGTGGTTCCGCTGCTACTTGAGAGGTACATCACTTAAGAGATGTAAGAGCTGCACCTCTCCTCGCAGTGCCGAACCAGCATCATATGTGCCGACGATATCGGCGAATGCTAAAGAAAGAAATTCAGTTTTTGCATGCAGAGGTACTCAACCCCTTCTCCCGATTTCTCCCGACCAACACGTTTGCCCTGCAGGTAAGCTTGAACCCGAGGATGTGCCGAGCGCGAATGACATGTGCCGGAGGTACCCTCTAGAGCAAGTGAGGAAGTCGACGCGGGGATGGTTGAGATGACTCAACAGCACTTATCTGCGTCCTCTCTTCCTTTCTCCCCCAATTAACACGTTTGCACTGCAGGGAAGCCTAATCTTCAGGCCATGCCAAACCAGCATCACATGTGCCGGCGATACACCCTGGAGCAAGTGAAGAAGGCGACGAGGGGATGGGTGGATGCGAACCACATTGGGACGGGCGGGTATGGGGAGGTGTATCGCGGGGTGTGCCCGTTTGACGACTCCGTGGTATGGGCCGTTAAGCGAGCCAAGATACTCACCAACGACTTCAAGCGCGAGGTGCGTCTAGGGTTTAGGGTCAAGGTGATTGCCGAGATGATCCCGATGCTCCTGAATTACACTCCCCCACACTAGTGCCGGCCTAGGGCAAATGCGCTTGAACTCCGCACGCTGCGAACTGCTCTGATACCATTGTTTAGAAACGTGTCGTGCTACTGATGACATCGGAAGGTTATGTTATTTGGTGGACTGATACGTATACAATGCAAGCTCCTAGGCCACGCCTGTAGCCTGACTCCAATGCATGTCTTGGCCACTTACACATGTTTCCCTTCCCCTCTTCTTTCATTCCCCTCTAGGTGGAGGAGATGGCGTCGAAGAGCCATCCTCACCTGGTGCGGCTGCTGGGGTACTGTGTGGATATGGACATGGCAACAGAGCACCACGAGCAGATCGTCATCTATGAGTTCTGCTCCAATGGGGACCTCGAGAAGTACCTCAGTGGAGGTGAGAGAAGTGCCTCACTGGAGTCTAGCTGATGCTCTGCATACCAACACCTAGCACAGAAGAACACCCTATGAAATGGGATGCCTGGTCAAACAAGGTTGAAGGCATAGGGGACGTGTTTGGAACACAAGGGAGGGCCTTTGTAAAGATGCCAGCGAGGACGGCATTGCGAACCACAAAATGTCCATCTGAACATGCTTACGAATGAAGAAGTAGCGGATTTCAGTGTGTTTCGAGGAGCGACCATGAAAGACAAGCTCTTGCTTGCGGAGAATCATATGCTTTTATTGTCTCGCAACTAGGCCACAAGGACCTTAATTTTAACATGAACTCTTTCTTGCCAACTACAGGCGCCCGTGAGGGAGAACTGACGCTGCAGCAGCGCATGGAGGTGCTGGTGGGGGTGGCGCGGGGGTTGGAGTACCTGCACCAGTTTGACATCGTGCATCGAGACATCAAGCCTGCCAACGTTCTGCTCGATGCCAACATGCAGGTAAGAGAGTGACCTTATATTTTGACTCACTGATCTCGTGTGCACGGTTCTGTATTTTCACACACCGATCCCATTCCTCCTCTTCCTCCCCTCCTCCCTAGCCGAAGGTGTCTGACTTGGCTGGGGCCCATGACAAGCTAGTGTGAATTCTTGTGTCGTTCCTCATTGCCCCTTGTCCAGGCGAAGTTGTTGGACAACGAGCTGGTGCATATGACAAGTATATCTGAATTCCACCCTCCCTTTCTCACCAGGCCAAGGTGTCGGACTTTGGGCTGGTGCGCATGACAGAGGGCATCACAGTAAATCCCATTGTTTCTGTAACTTGTTCCCCTTATCCCCCTTATCCCCCTTATCCCCCTTATCCCCCTGATCCCCCTTATCCCCCTTATCCCCTTATCCCCTTATCCCCTTATCCCCCTGATCCCCCTTATCCCCCTTATCCCCCTTATCCCCCTTATCCCCCTTATCCCCCTTATCCCCCTTATCCCCTTATCCCCCTGATCCCCCTTATCCCCCTGATCCCCTGATCCCCCTTATCCCCCTTATCCCCCTTATCCCCCTTATCCCCCTTATCCCCCTGATCCCCCTGATCCCCCTTATCCCCCTTATCCCCCTTATCCCCCTTATCCCCCTTATCCCCCTTATCCCCCTGATCCCCCTGATCCCCCTGATCCCCCTTATCCCCCTTATCCCCTTATCCCCCTTATCCCCTTATCCCCCTATCCCCTGATCCCCCTGATCCCCTGATCCCCTTATCCCCCTTATCCCCCTTATCCCCCTTATCCCCCTTATCCCCCTTATCCCCTTATCCCCCTTATCCCCCTTATCCCCCTGATCCCCCTGATCCCCCTGATCCCCCTTATCCCCCTTATCCCCTTATCCCCCTTATCCCCCTTATCCCCCTTATCCCCCTTATCCCCCTTATCCCCCTTATCCCCCTTATCCCCCTTATCCCCCTTATCCCCTGATCCCCCTGATCCCCCTGATCCCCCTTATCCCCCTTATCCCCCTTATCCCCCTTATCCCCCTTATCCCCCTTATCCCCCTGATCCCCCTGATCCCCCTTATCCCCCTTATCCCCCTTATCCCCCTGATCCCCCTGATCCCCCTGATCCCCCTGATCCCCCTTATCCCCCTTATCCCCCTTATCCCCCTTATCCCCCTTATCCCCCTTATCCCCCTTATCCCCCTTATCCCCCTTATCCCCATGTTGCCTTCTCTCTCCAGGCCAAGCTGTCCGACTTTGGGCTGGTGCGCATGATGGAGGGCACCACGGTGAATCCAACGCATCGCTTCATATCGCCCCGTTATCCCCCCCCTCTGCCTTCACCTTCCTCCCCCTTCTCCAGGCCAAGGTGTCGGACTTTGGGCTGGTGCGTATGACGGAGGGCACTACGGTGAATCCCACCAGAGTGGTCGGCACTCCGGGCTATGTGGACCCCGCTTACTCCCGCACCAACAAGGCCACCCCCATGGCTGACGTCCATAGGTACGCGTTTGAGTTTGAGGCGCCTCTAATGTAGAAAGCGCACCAACTAGGCCACTGCATCCCAGCGTCAGCAGGAGGTGATGCTGGTGGAGGTGATGCTGCTGGAGGTGATTACATTGAAGGGTGTAACCCTCGTTCGTGCGATATTGATGAACCCATTGTATCCCTCTGTACCGTTCCTCTATGCAGTTATGGTGTGATGCTGCTGGAGGTGATAACGCTGAAGCCCGTGACTCTCTTGCTCCAGAAAGGCATTGTATTCTCTCTATTGTTCCTCTATGCAGTTGCTGCTGGAGGAGATCACGTTGAAGCCCATGACCCTCTCGCTCAACGAATCCATTGTATCCCTCTGTACCATTCCTCTATGCAGCTATGGTGTGATGCTGCTGGAGGTGATTACGCTGAAGCCTGTGACCCTCTCGCTCAATGGCAGCCTATGCAACATCAAGGACTGGGTACGTGCAATGTGCAATGTGCAATGTGCAATGTGCAATTTGCGATGTGCGATGTGCGATGTGCAATGTGCAATGTGCGATGTGCGATGTGCGATGTGCAATGTGCGATGTGCGATGTGCAATGTGCAATGTGCCATGTGCCATGTGCGATGTGCGATGTGCGATGCGCAAAATCTTTACGCGCAACAGCTGTTACGTTGCAAGTTGCAACAGAAAACCACAGCAGAACTCATCGCAGGAGTGTCTGCATCTCATGATGTGTTTTAGGTTTTGCACATGGGCCAACAACATGGGCCCACCACCATTGCACTTGGCCCTCCTGCCTCATCAATTCTCTCTCCGCTTATCCATTCCTCCCCTCCCATCCCCCTCACATCCATACCTCGCCTCTCAGGTCCGCCCCTTGGTCGAGGACGGCAACGTTTCTGCATTCAAGGACCCCCTGCTTCCAGAAGCTTCCAACGACCTCATTCTCACTCTCGCCAGGATCGGCCTCCAGTGCGCCGCCCTCCCCACCTCCTCCCCCGTCCCCCTCCCATGCCCCCCTCCCTCAATTCTTTTCCTCCCTCTCCCCCCCCCCACCCCCCTTTCCATTCGTCTCCTCCCATCTGCCTCCCCTCTCCCACGCTCAGATCCGCCCCTTTGTGGAGGAGGGCAACGTTTCTGCATTCAAGGACCCCCTTCTTCCAGAAACTTCCAACGACCTCATTCTCACGCTCGCCAGGATCGGCCTCGAGTGCACTGCCCTCCCCACCTCCTCCCGCCCCTCTATGGCTGACGTCGCGCAGCGGATCGAAGCTCTAAGGAGGGAGCATTTCGGCCGGAGGAGTGGTGCGGGTGGTAGCGGACGAGATGATGCTGACGTGGACCAGCGTATGGCCAAGATTGATCAGGAGATGTACAGGCGGGCGGAGTCGGGGTTATCGATTCAGGAGGAGTTTGTTCGGCTTAATGTGATGTCGGAAGATGGGACGTATAACAATGCGGTGTCTGGGTTTTCCACGGGTACTGCTGGGTACTCGAATCGGTCCTCGGGAGTGCTGCTGCAGTCTCAGGAGCTGTCTCAGGAGTTACGTCAGGAGTTTCCAACAGGCAGGTGAAGGGATCTCTAAAAAGAGTCAGAATGTGGGGAGTGGGGAACTGGAAACATGTCGGGGTAATCGATCCAGGAGGAGTTCGTTTGGCTCTATGTGATGTTGGAGGATGGGACATATATTAGTGTGGTGTCTGGGGCTTCGTTTGGCACTACTGGGTACTCGAACCGGTCTTCCTCGGGAGTGTTGCTGCAGTCTCAGGTGCTCTCACAGGGGTTACGTCAGGAGTTCCCAACAGGCAGGTAAGGGAGACTCTACAGCAGCTGGAAAACAGGGGCTGTGTACTAAAGTACTTGTGATAAGACCTGTCGGGTGGTGAAGAATTGGGGTTACCGTGTTGCAAGGGGTGTTGGGGGTGTTTGTTGTGATTCACCACTGGTTAAAAACATGTGGCTAGGTTCAAGAACTCATGGAGAGTGTGAAACAGCAGGAAGCCCAAATTGGCGCACTTGAATGGATAGTTCGCAAATGCAGACAGAATACGGCTACTTGTGTTAAGAAAGCTAGGCTAGTAGGAACGGTAGGAAGCTATGAAATGGCGTGAGGGTTTTGGAGCTAGGAGAGAAAGTTACGAGAGAAAAGGGGGACAGACTAGAAAGAGAGGGATACAAGGAGGGGATTGTACCCTCTACAGTAGAGTTTGAGAACCTACCAAGCCTACCAATTATATAACAAAATATATCATTTAACAACTTGGTGTTTACCTATTATAATACGGAATGTGTGCTATAGCAGATAAGGGACTATGCAATCAATCATTTCGTCTTTTGAGCTTGAACCACTGTGGGTTCACCCTCGCTGCCAGAGCCAGCCAAGGCACGAGTTTCCTAGCAGAACCAAGGCGAGCCTACACTCTCTGACTTCTCCCAACCCAACCAAGCAGCAAAACCATACTGGCGCTCTCAGGGCAGCCGTCTTTGCAAGTTGAACAGTACAGTGTTCCAGGTCACCTTCCGTAGGGTTGGTGGTGTCGTGGCAATGGTGAGGTGTGGTGCGGTGTGACTCGGTGAGGCTCCCAAATTCAGCTCCACGCGCGATGCCAGGGGCAGCCGTCCCATGTAAATGGCAGAAGTCGACCCACAGCCACAGGAGGGCGGTCTCTTGGGATTCTGGCTGGAATGTGGATGGATGGGCATTGAGCAGACCAGGCAGTGCGAGTGCGGCTGACGATGCATCAATGTCTGGAATGAACCGCATGCTGGTGGTGGTGCGGTGGTGAGAAGAGGGGAGTATGTTGTGCTAGTACATAGGAGCAGGTTCCTCCCTCCCCACCCCACCCCATCCACCCCACCTCTGCTCATATGCTGCACTGTACTGCACAGTGTGTAGTCGAGCAGTTCGCTAAGCTGCTGAAGTGACGGTGTATGGGGACAATCTCTAGGTGACAGGTAGTACTAACCTGGAGGTGATATCAAGGTGGTATCTCGAGGTGATAATCTCGAGGTGACAACCTCGAGATGACAATCTCGAGGTGACAATTTCGAGGTGACAATCTCGAGGTGACAATTTCGAGGTGACAATATCGAGGTGACAATCTGGAGGGGACGAGCCGCAGCTCCGTGCCGCCTGTTACCTTTGAGCACGCGGCATCAATCAACACAGGAAATCCGAGGCGCTTTTGAGAATTCTCAAAAACACCCTGCAATTTCTCAAAAACTCCCTGCAAAATCACTTCATTTTCACCCAGCCGCGACGGCGTGTAACGACTGGGGACGGAAATTACCCTAGAGATTGTAAACGCATTTCGCTGCGCCTCTGGGTGACCTCGTTTTGACCCGGTGGGTAGCGAGGCGTTACACGGCGGGTGCGAAGTGCGAAGCATCGCGAATGACGACCTGCAAGCGTGGCGAACAGCAGGGTCGTTCGCCGACGCGGTTCTCGCGAAGTTACCACCTCCACCAAACGTCGTCGTCAGCATGGCGACTCCTGTCGCTCTTTGTTCTCGGCTTCATCGCGTTTTACCCCAATGCGACGCTTTCCGCGGCCGTGACTCTCGTAGAGCGACAGCAAGGTTTGTGCTTGTATCTCGTGCGCTTGATTTGTTCGTATCGTCTGTGCGAGTGACGCGTGTGCTTGTAACGCATGTACGCGTAACACGCGTGCCAATTTCCGTTCCCTCGAATCCCTAATCTCTACCGTTGTTCTCCTTCCGCCATTCTGCTGGCATGTGTAAGCAAGGTGTTGGCACAATGTGCGATGCAGATGGGTGCTACAGGGTACAACTGGAGCCCAAACTCTCCATGCATCAAGGAGGAGGGGCTTCCGTGAAACCCAGATGGAACACTCAACACCATGTGAGTACAATTATGAATCAATGTGTATGCGTAGGCGTTGATGCTCCATGCAGAATGAACAAGGAGCTTCCCCCCCCCCCCCTCGCCTCACTTGCTTCATTGTCCTTCCCTTACCACTGCTCCTTTTCACTAACTCGCCCACCTGCCTTGCACTGCTTTGCCCCTCTCCAATCTCACCGAAAGCATGTGCCATTCTATCCTTTTCTTTCTTTCCAACACTGTCCTTCCCTTGCCACTACCCCTATCACTGCCCCTATCACTACACCCCCATACATACAGTTCTTTGCGCCGATCTTATCTTACTGTACGCATCTGCTCCTCTATAGGCAACCTCACCACACTCCTTACAATGTAAGATGCACTCGTTACGATGTGATATGCCCTGCTGACAACAAGCGCGGTGTGCTCCAACTCACCGCTCTCCCCCCCCAACACATCCATGCACCTTCCTTCCCCTCACCCGTGCCCCCTCTCCTCCCTTCCCCTGTCCCCTAATCTTCCCCCCGCCCCCTCCCCTCTCCCCTTGCCTCGTCCCCTCTCCCTTGACCCCACTCCCCTCCCCCTTGGACCTTGGTCCCTTGGCCCCACCCAACCTTCCCTCCTGCCTCCTCCCCTGCCCCCTGTCCCCTAACCTCCCTTTCCCCCCCCCGGCCCCTCCCCTCTCCTCTGCCCCGTCCCCTCCCCCCTTTTTTCCCCCCTCCCCTCTTGCCGCCTTTCCTCCCTTCCCCTTGTCCCCTCGCACGTGCCCCCTCCCGAGCGACTTGAGCTTCAACCATCTATCAGGATCCCTCCCCACCAGCACGGGTCAACTCACACTGCTGGAGACACGGTGAGGGAGAGGGGGGGGGGGGGGGGGGAGGAGGTAGGGAGGAGGGGGTAAACTGGTTGAGTTACCTTTTGCCTCACAGGTACCAGGGGGAATGAGAGCATCTGACCCGCAATCTCGAAAAAATACTTGTTTCAAGCACCTTTCCAGCTTTCCCTTCTGCGGCAACAATTCTTGGTCTGCGTTTGCGTCGATTCAAGAATAGGAAACCAAATGAGATGAGATAAAGATCAAAGGAATCTGTATAAAAATAAGAATGAGGTAGTGGAGAAAGAAGGAAATGAGAAAGAAGTGTAACGGGGTCGTACTCTTACTCCCCAAGAATCAGCAAACTCCCCATAGGCTCGACAGAGGGGAACGGAATGGCGCGAGAGACACTAGGGGCGGCTAATGTACCGAGGTGTGGGCCACAAGGGCCTTGCTGTCCTGGAGGATAAACGTGAGCTGGTGGCGGAGAGTGATCAGCCAGGCCAAGAAGCCAATCGCGCGACCCTCGTCGCCCAGGCAGAGAACAGCGGTAGGCAAGGTCGCCATGGTGGCAGCTAGCGAAAACTGCTGCGGCGAGCTGCTGGAGACAGTAGTAAAAGGCCGCGGACGGTGGCTGGTAATGGCGGCAGCAGGGGGCTGCTAGTGGTGGTAGGTAGAAGCTGCAAGGAGGGGCAACAGGCCGCGACGGCAGGGTGGCTGCATGTGAGAGTACGACCCCGTTACACCACTTGGCCTTTTTCTTATTTCCTTCCTTTTTTATTTCTCTTTTATTCCATCTCATTTGGTTTCCTATTCTTCCTTTTCCATTAACCTTTGGTTTATCCTGCTATTATAATTATATCACTGACCAGGCTTGGGAAGTACTGGTGCTCTCTATCTAGCGTAATCCTGCTGTAATCCCTTAAAGCCAATAGCCTCGCGTGGCTATACGCAGGGTGATTCTATCTTCTAGAAGGGTCTATTCCCCTAAGATAAGATAAACCTGGTTACCTGATGTACTCTGGAAGTAAAAAAGCGCCTTGTACTGATCGATAGTGCAATCTTTCCTCGACACATTCGATCCTGTGACACTTGGTAATCAGAGCTTTTCTCACTCGGCCACGCTCAACAAAGCAGCAGCAGCGGGAAAACCTGCCTCGAAAAACCGCCGGGGGCGACCAATTCGACGCCGATTCTGGTAAGCACCAGCTCCGCGATTTTGAACAGGATGGCAACCTTCGACAACACCGAGGTTACCCAGCAGCTCTTCGCGCGCATCGCAGCCCTTCAGGAGGAAATGCGAGCGGATCGCGAAGCGTGGCGAAACGAGTTCGAGCGAGTAACTCGACTCACCGGAGCGCAGTACGAGACGACAACAGCGACGACGCAGCAGTCGCAACAATTTCTAGAGGCTCCGAAACCGCGCCCACCTGAGCCGTTCGATCCGAGCGATCGAAACTCCGACGCCCGCAGATGGATCGCCGGGATGGAGATCTACTTCGCAGCCGTCAGATGGAGCTCGCCAGTCTGGGACGGTCAACGTGTACGACTAGCGGCGACACTGATGCGAGGGCCGGCAATCGAGTGGATTGGCGGCAACAGTCCCTTCATCCATGGTGAAGCCACGTGGCAGCAGTTCCGCGCTGACCTGCTGAAACGCTTCGAGCCGATAAATTCCAGTTTCCTTGCCCGGGAAAAAATTCATCAACACCGACAGTTCGGGAGTGTAGCGCAATACACGCAGCAGATGGAGGAATTTTATAACCGCATTCCCGACCTGACCGAAGGGGAAAAAGTACAATCGTACCTCGCCGGGCTGAAGACCGAAGTCAAACGACAAGTCGCAGCATCAAACTACGCGAGCTACAGTGACGTCGTTTCGGCAGCGGAGCGCTTCGACATGGTCAACGCCGGAACACGACGGACGCACGTCGGCAGTACGCGACAGGGCGACCGCTCGGCTCACCCCACGTTCGCCGACCCGATGGAAGTCGACAGATTCGAGGGGCGGCCACGTCCGAAAAACACCAATTACACGTGTGATTTTTGCGGGGTGCCGGGTCATCGAATCTTCGACTGCAACAAAATGAAAGTCGCACACGTAGAGTATCGGGCACGCAACAGTGGCAGAATTCCTTCAGCCAATCAGAAGCCAAAAAACAAGAGTCGCCAGTGATTGCGGATCTAGCTGGCGAAAATAAAAAGATCCGAAAGCGGCCGCGGGATTCCGGAAAAATCAACTTCGACGAAGCTGATTCGACGCGAGAAGGAGGAAATGATGGGGGAAAATCTCCACCCCACGACCAGTCTTCGCCAGGGAAAATCGCCGAGGAAAAATACGACTCCGCGAAAAAAGACTCTGCCGAGACAGGGAAACTCCTTGAAGACCCAAGAAATTATAAGAATTCGTTAAAGTTATCTTATAAAGATGCTTTAATGAAAACTTATGATTTTCGAGGAGCTAGAGCCTTGGAGAAATTTCGGGAGGGACTCCAAAAGAAGCAGACAACTGTGGAGATTATACCGGTACCGGACAACTT